AATTTACTTGAAATGGGAAAACATCATAGAGTCTAGCTTTAGTTTTGGTGAAGTTCTGATGCAAATAAACTAAAGAATTTATTTAAGAATGAACAAAATTAACTAAAATTAAAGAAATTTGACTTGAAATGGGAAAACATCATAGAGTCTAGCTTTAGTTTTGGTGAAGTTCTGATGCAAAAACAAATCCTCCTCGTGTCTTTCCGTGTCTCTGCCACATCTCCTTCGTCTCCGGCCTCCCTCGTGGTCTGTCCACATCATCTCATCTGCACGTCTCCCAGCCCCCCCGCACAAGTTTTGTCGCTATAACGTGTTGCCACCGGCAAAAACATTGCTGGGTTGACCCGCACCAAATTGTACGCCGCGTGTCACTGCACTTTCCTTAATTGCGTTTCAAGTACAGCAGGGGGACCCCCCCCCCCCCCCCCCCGCCGCCACCCCGCCGCTACTGGACACGTAGTCGTGAGGCTGAGAACTCGCGCCAAAGGTTGCAAACGGGTTTTGATTTCTTACCCGTACCCGGCCGCACCAGGGTCGCAAACGGGTACCCGATACCCGGCTACCCGTACCCGGCCGGGTATCGGGTAGGGTACGGGTATCGGGTACCCGATTGCGACCTCTGGGATGAAGCCATGTTGCAGGCACGGGTGGGTTTATTCTAGGAACTTGAATTGTGAGAAGAGACAAGACGTTGGGAAATGAGTGACAAACGGTTACTCACCAGTGACTCAGAGTCTACCCGTACCCGGCTGCACCAGGGTCGCAAACGGGTACCCGTACCCCGCCAGGTACGGGTAGCCGGGTATCGGGTAGGGTATGAGTATCGGGTACCTGATTGCGACCACTGACTCGCGCCCACCCCAGTACAATTTCCTTGCTACGGGTGAAGTCGGTGCCATGTGATTACACGCACCGATGTCCTGCCCCCCCCCCCCACTTCCGACATGGTGTGGGGGAGGCCTCCATCCATTTGGTGGCATTGAAAACGATATTAAAATCAGTAAATTAACAAATTAATAATATAATAGGGTTTTTTTTGCGTTTGCGTGTAAAAGTTGAGCAAAGCAGCCGGGGCAAGTGGGCTTGCGATTGTTTATCCCGCGACTCTCTCGGGGTCTTCGATGAGTTTGTTTTTCGGAGCCTCTTGGCACCTTGAAAACCCACGCTGAATGTTAAGAATCATGAATGTGGTCTGGGATGACTTTGGGCATCGTATAGCAGCAGACGCCCACAGTCTTTAAATGCACCAGCTGTGAAGGCATTTATTTCTTTTATTTACTGATAATTTTTTTGTCCACTAATTTCGCAAACAAAAGTGTACAATCGAGACGTAAGAAATGCAATACCAAATAGAATAGATTAACTTTATTAAATCTTGACCCTGAATGGTCCCAATTTTTGGATTCGTTCCCTCCCTATAATCCGATCTCTTGTTGCATGCGTGTCTCTGGGGGTTTTGTCGGCTCTTGAGGCGTGAGGTTAGTCATGACATGAGTTTGGGGGTCGTTTCCGTGGCGATTGTTGGCTTCGAGGCAGGAGGCTGGCGATGTGGGAAGTTATATTATTGTAGCTGTATCCACTGCGGGCGCAGTGTGACTCGTTATGTAACCCGCAGAGATTGAAGTTTTTGTTCCGGCCTAAAAGAGGAATTCTTCACTCTCAGTGATGTTTATTTACTGCATATTCAAGCGGTTTCAATTAGCGCACTTAACTAGAGGTCACGAACTTCCGTTTGATATACATGTTATTTTTTATTCGTAGATAATGTGAGCGTGAAGAAAGATGAGAAGACAAATATGTGATCCGTCCAAATATATACATACAAATGAAAAGAAATCCTGTGGTTCCCCGCTGAATTGAGCATGGGGCGGTGCTCACTTCCTGTTCACTGCCCTGAGTTGTGGTCGGAAATTCGACATTCCTCTGGTATGAATTGTCCCCCGACAGGGATTTGAACTCGTCACCTCCCAACTTCCGAGCCTGCGGTGGCGAGATGTTAACTCCCTCGCCTGGCATGCAGGAGGTCGTGGGTTCTATCCCGACCTTGATGCCCTGTATATTTGGAATTTGCGTGTCTCTCTCTCTCCGTGGTCGCGTGAATTTCTCTCCTGATCTTCCAGTTTTTCCCCTCCACATTTAGAATCAACGTCACGGGTTTAGAGTATTGTGCTGCTATAAATGTACACATGTTAGCCACTTCTTTGAGCTATCATCTGTGGCCAGGGCACTTTCTGAAAAATAGCTATAGAGCTCAGTGGGCCTTACCTGAAAGAAAAAAAGCAGTTTAGTTATTTGCACAGAATAAAATAAGCGAATTGCTGTCGGGGTTACTGTCGTTCAAAAGCCAAAAAGAAGGTAACGTGAATACAATTTTTTGCGTAGCTTTAAAACCGCATTCCCAAAAACGTGTTTGTGTGTGCAAGTATGCTGGCCGTGACTTACTGCCTGCTACTTTTTTGTTCGGCGAAGCCGTGGGCGGCTGTGGGGTTGGAGAGACTTCACCCAGAAGTGTTTTTCCTTAAAAGGAGCCGAAGCAGGGCAAGAATTTCCGTGAAAATGTCTTCACATTCTCAAATCAATGAGCACTCTCATTCCATGTCTGCCGAGTGCAGGCAGCAGTCCCACAGTACGCGCGTTTTGGCTTCCCCTAATACATCGGCGCCACCACCGCCGTGGTATCGTTTGGCAGCACGCTGGTACTTGCAAATCGGCGATCGCTGGTTCAGTTCCATCTTCCGTCGCAGCAGTCACAACAACGGGGGCGACTTTCTCGAATCCCCCCCCCCGCCCCCTTAACTTCTATCCACACAGCCTTATTGAATGGTTACACCACAGTCGGTCGATCAAACAGTTCGCATGCGGTGGGGCATAGTGTGGCTAAGTACTCCCCACCCCCCCTTACAACACGTCTGGTCAACGCGGCGGAGTCGGCTAAATACCCTCTTAGAGATTTGAAGCTTTGGTGACTGCACGGATTCATATTCTTAGGTTTTTTGCGGTGAAGTCACGTTTTTATTTTATTTTAATTTTACTTTTATTAATTTAAATTAAAAAAATTTTGCCTACGTGACTTTACCAAAATAACCTAAGAATATGTACCCTCTTAGAGTTTATTCAAGTGGAGCCTCTTCCACCAGCAGCGGAGAGAGCCAAGCGATTGCAGGGCCACTCCTTTACCTCCATCCGAACCGTCGTTGCACTCTTGGTTCTTCCAGCAATTTGTGCCCCGCTCGCTTTCCCATCATCCCGGCCAAAGAACGCTGTGTGGCTTTGCCTAGGCTGGGCGCACTTTGACACGGCATTGTCTGCCAAACAAAGTGGCCGCAGTCTCCCCCCCCCCCACCCACACACCCCTCTCTCTTTCACGCGTCCTGTAAGGTCGCACCGTTGGCTGAACGTTGCGTTACCGCCGCTTTCCGCTACTCCCCCCCCCCCCCCCCCCCCCCCGTGTGTCCCCCTGTCCCACGCGTACTTGCCTGCCCCGTCGCTGCTGCCGTTGTTCGCGTGACGAGTCGCGGCGGTGCCAGCCCCCATCAAGCGGGCGCTCATCTTAAACGTCCGTGTTATTTTAGTGCCCGCTGGAATGGACCCCGTGACTGCCTCCGCACTGATTCGAGCCTCGTGACGATGACATTTATTCGTAGGACGTTCCCTTGGCTGTGTAACGCCGTTGTGTAAAGCCCCCTGCATTCTTTCACAGTGCCCGTATCAAACAAAAAAGAGGGCCCAGTGGCCAAATCAACGCGGAAATGAGCCAGACCTCGTCAGACGTCGAGAGCTAAGCAGGCTGGATGGGTACAATCCGTTATTGTACTGTACTACGGTGCTTCCACGTTTGTGCTCCCTGCCTTCACAAACCCACACGGTGGGCCACCTTGGTGAAGCATGCTGCAATGACCCCAATGACCCAAGCGACGTGGGCAAGCCCTCATGCAACGCTGGATTGATGTACATCTATACGTGCACACAAATAGATTATTTTCTTTGGGTCTTTCAGTAACGTCACGTAGATAGGTTAAAAGAAAATAACCCATCTATGTGAATTCCTGCAGTCACGAAAGCTTTAAGTCAAGATTTGACAAATAGATTGTTTGTCGAAAGGGTGGCCCCGGGTGTCTGGCAGGTCTCGTATAGTTTTATGAAAGAGTACTGCGTTTGTGACTGTGATCCCCTGGGTTCAAATCTGGGCAGCTATCCCCGATTAATCCAAGTCCTCAAGTGTAATCAGTTTATGATGTCAGCCAGGCCACAATTCACTGTACAACAACAACAAAAAACCCCCCACTGCATTAAATATGGGTTTTCGCTTAACTTGGCATAGTTCATCTCTTGAGAACAGACGCTTCTGGTTTGATCAGCATGTGGTGATCATTCTTTAACATGGCTTCCAAATCCTGTGCCCGGACGGAGTGAGTGTGTGTGTATAAAGGGGGTCCATTGATGGGAAATTCTCAACCGTTTCTGACGCCGAATTCTCACTGATAGGGATGCCACACTGCACTCTCCACGAGCGTTGTTTTAAATTGAAACGTCTCTGTCTGATCACGGACGCCGATAGGGACTGTACTAAATGATTTATAATTTGAAGGGTGGTAAACAAAAAAGCTGGCATTTTTCTTTCAAGCTAAGTAAAATGGGCGATGTTTATTAGTCTGGGCCCTGGCTTGCGTTAGCTCGGTTGGTTATGACAAGGCCAGTGTGTGGAGATCACACCGCTGTTCTTTTCCACACGAGACATTTCCCGCACAATCCATTCCTTTATTCTCCCTCCCATCTCGCCTCGCTCCCCCTGCTGCTGCACCGCCTTTCCTCCACCATCCCCCCCTTCCCCTCCGTCTCGCTGGTACTCACGCGCCCCTCCACAGCTGGTAATGTTTAATCGGGCCCCGTTGATATTTTAGTTCGGAGGAAAGGGTGGGAGGAGGAGGAGTGGTGGGGAGAGAGGGGGGGGGGGGCAGTTGCTGCTTGTTTATACACACGAGCAGCACTCAATAACCTCACCACTGTGCCACGCACGCCTGCCTGCACGCAGCTGCCCGTCATTCCTCGTCTCGTTTCAAGAGCGAGCGTCTAACCTAAACTGAAACCACCGCGCCCCCACAAGCAAGCCCGAAGCTTTCTCCCGGGGACCCCGGTAGACAACCCTCGCCGTGCCGGCGTCGTAGGCGGCGGAGGCACCGGCGGACGAGCATCGCGGGGACGGTCGTCGGCTTGATTCCGGGCGTCGCTCAGAACTTGTCATGGTGCTTTTGCACGCGCGTGCCACGGCCGAACCGCACTCGGCTGCCCGCCACGGATTACTGGCACGGGGAGCACGAGCCGGAGAGATGTGGGTCTCGCGCACCCTGGCGAAGGTACCGAGCTGCGGGCGGGGGGGGGGCACGCTGCGAGTTTTTGTGCAAGATCAATGTGAACCTTCCCACTACCGTGGTTGTATGTTTCTGCGTCGGCTTTTTTTCCCATTGCCGTGATCTCCGATGGCCTTTTCGGGTTGTTAACCTCCCTCCCTCGTGTTGGTTCGACGGATCTTCCCGCCGGCACTTCGGGCGAAACGTCGGACGTCGTGCCGAACAACAACACCGCGGCACAACCCGGAATCGCACCTGGGAGTAATGTAAAATCGGCGATTAAAAGAATAACAAGCTTGGAGCTGTAATAAATAAATATATAAGCATTTATATTGTACTATAGAAATTATATTGACCGCCCCCCCCCCTCTCAACACTTTTGTAAATTTGTAACGAAACAATCCTTTACTTTGTCTTTCTTTGCTGGGTTAGGAGCTGCATGCGCACATCTTATACTTTTTTTTCTACAACAATTTTTTTCCTCCCTCCCCCCCCCCCGTTTCCCTCCACTTCGTGCATATTTGCCACACAGCAAGGTCTCTCTCTGACCTCTGGCACACAGTTTGGAGGCTTTGCAACGTGCGACAGCGCTCGCGTGTTGACAAACAGGCCGCCACTGCGCTGGCTTGTCCCATCGCATGCGAGCTCCTCTCGCTCGGGGGCAGTATTCGAGCGTATTGGCGACACAGCGGTGGTGCGAGCTAATAGCTAAGAAAAAGCTAAAAAAAAATTTGCAATAATTATTGATTTTCCCCGTCATACCGCAAACCCCCATAATAGAGGGTTTTTTTGGGTTCGATTGCGTAAATATATAAATGTGGCGTTAAACCCGCCACCACCTGAAACAGCCAACTAGTAAGGGTTATCACGTAAACAACACGTGCCAATTCGTCACTAGTACAGCACGCCGGTGTGTTGGAGAGCAAAGCCACAACATTTACAATCTAAGTACGACGTTTCGCCAGTAATTACAACTAGCTTCATGCGACAGCCAGATTTGTGGAGAAATCCTCCTGTTTCGTTCCTTAAATAGAGAGGGGTAGATGTGATGAGGTCACGTGTGAGCTCTTCACGTGTGAAAAAATAATCTACTTTCTGTGATGGCCATTTACAAAAACATGTTTACCAGCCTCGGTCGTCATGGGCACACCGCTCCGTCATCGAGACCACCGTCACTCCGAGGGCATCTGAGCGGAAGCGATCTCCTTTCGCCAACGCACACACACAAAACAAATTAACGGCATGTGCCAATTTTAGGAGTTTTCCTTATGCAGTTGCATTTAAAAAAGACAAAGATCTCCCACATCGCCTCAACAGGCTGTTGCGGCAAGTGCTGTTAGCAAGCAACTATGAAGGCCGGAACGGCACACAAAGGGGGTGGATGGCCAGCACCACGCTGGGCCGCCTTTGTCTCCCTAGACGGCAATATTTACACACTGCACTCGGTGCTCATTTGAGGCTGAGTCAACCTAGGGGAGGCCCAGGACCGGTTCAGATAATCGTCACTGGTGTTGACCCGTGAGCGAGAATCGAACTCGGGTCGCCGAGTTTGTAGTGCTACACTACTGCTCACCACACACACATGCATATACACACTTACAAAGACAAAGATCTCCCGTATAGCCTCTAACAGACTTGCGGCAAGTGCTGTTTAGCGAGAACCTATGAAGGTCGGAACGGCACGCAAGGGTGTGGTTGGCCAGCACCACGGCCAGCTGACTTTCTCTTCTTAGTCGGCAATATTTACACACCGCACTCCGTGCTCATTTGAGGCTGAGTCGACCTAGGGGAGGCCCAGGACCGGTTCAGATAACCATCACTGGTGTTGACTCGTGAGCGGGAATCGAACCCGGGGGTCGTCAGCTTCGTAGCACAGCGCGCTAACCGCTACGCTACCGCTCCCCACACGCACACATATGTACACACATACACATTCACGCGCACGCACGCAAAGTAATTTACCTCTCGGTGGGTGGAGCAGTGACGCATCTGCGTGCCGAGTCCAATTCCCTTCCACGGCTAACATCAGTGGCGCCAAGTGTTATATCTTAACCGGTCCAAAGCGCCCAAGTTTTTAGGAGCCCACGCTTGACCACCTTGAATATTTCAACAACCACCACGACCGCCATTCCCTGTGGGAGGTGTTCATCCAGCAGTGGACTGGCAAGGGGGGAAGCAAGTGTAGCTTGCAAGCATCAACGATGGTTAGAGCCACGATTGCGCCATGGAAATCTGACCCCGCTGTGTTAGGTCTCACAGTTGGATATGTGAGGTGCGCTATTCTTTGCTGGCATTGAGACTGCAACACGGGCATACATAAGCCCTGTTCAATTAAACAGTGATTGTGCCAGGAACAACCTTGCACCTGGCATATGAACGTGGAATCTTTCGTACTGATTGTTGTTGCCACGTTCTGATCCTCCCCCTTACCGGACGTCTGTGGAAAAAGAGCCTTGTAGCTCATCGGATTCCTCCAGTGTAAATAAATCTTCCGATTTTGACGTGCCGCAAGGGTTGATGCTGTGGACAGGGGCAGCAGCAGCACCGTTGCAGGTGCTCGCGCAGGCTTCTGAGACGCTCTGAATTTTGCATTGAAGCGAAACGCTTTATTGTTTATTGTTGTAGTTGTTGTTGTTGAGCGTGAATCTTCTTGCCGTTGCCGGTATTTCCGTGGTGCACCGTTGGAATGTGTCGCTCGACCTTGGTTGTTAAATTTAGCTTGGGGCGGGCCGGCGGGAGGGCCAATCCGAGTCGTGGCTCTTTGGCCTAATCTGGTTACGGGGGGGGGGGCTTTGTCGCGGTGCAGTGTACATGAGAGGGGGGCGGGGGGGTCAGCGTCGGGACGGCGGGGAAAAGCCGAACTGAGAGTTGCTTAAACTGGAACCGGCTTGTTGTCGTCGAAGAGCGAGTTTCTTAGACTTGTAGAGACCCACGGACACCCACCGAGGACCCATAGACACCCACAGAGACTCGTAGAGACCCACGGACACCCACAGAGGATCCGATAGAGACTCGTAGAGACCCACGGGCACCCACAGAGGACCCATAGACACCCACAGAGACTCGTAGAGACCCACGGACACCCACAGAGGACCCATAGAGACTCGTACAGACCCACGGGCACCCACAGAGGACCCTTAGACACCCACAGAGACCGACAGAGGAGGCGGGGGGGGCGCCAGGCCAACACAAGCCCCTCGTGGAGAGGCCCCTTGTGGAGCCATCACGTGCCTCTCGTATTCCTTCACAATGTGTTTTGAGACGACTTGGATTCACCCCGCTTTTCCACCGGCGTGATTGTGAGAGTGCTGATGAGGCTGTGGGGGGAGGGCGAGGTGAAGGGTGCAGCGATTTTGTTGTTGTTGTTGTTGTTTGTTTTAATCGCCCGACCGTCCGGCCATGGTAAGACGTTGCTCTGCTGCGTCGAGCGCTTCGTCCGCGTTGGGCGAAGCGTTCGTGGAAACATTGTCGTTCGTGCGCTCGATGTGCTCCATGTGCAATGCAATTTAAAGAGAAGGAAAAAAAAACGCTAATTTCCAGTTTTTCGCAAGGCGAATTTGCGGGGCCGTTTCAGGTCGCTTTGACGCGCGCGGTGCTTCGTGTTATAATATCCACTCGTCGGCACCGGGCGCTCTCCGACGCATGGCAATTGAAGGAATTTCAATCGTACGAAAGTTCTAACTGCTGACGGAAGATGTTGACGAATGCCCAGCTGCATTATCCGAGCCCGTCTTTTACAGCCGGTTTAGGAGTAAATTGACATGAAGGGGAGAATTGTACGTAATTTATACTCTCCTTCGAGTTGACCGCCACAAAACGCTCCTTAAAAAGGGTGGTTGGTCGTACACCCCATCGCAGGAACCTCCTGAAAACGCCGCGAGGCCTCGGGGAGAGGCTCTCCTGCATTGACACCTCGCGTACAATCGCCGTTTGCACTATGAGACATCTCCTTTACCAGTGGCAAAATATAGTAACAGGTTTTTACCCTTTCAACTGGTACAAAAACTGACACCTTTATACAAGGCATCATGTTTGCAATAACCACAACACAAGCAGTCAAAATGCAAACAAAAATTAACAACTCTGATGATGATAATGATATGCATTGTCCTTGAAGTTGATTGGTCCACACCCGAGACAGCTTTCCTTAGAGCCTAGTCTCCATTGGTGTTGGACCAGATGGCGCCAAAAGGCGTACAACTCAAAAACAGTGCACTATCAGAGTATTGAGAGCTCGGGGTGAGCATTTACACTATGAGACATCTCCTTTACCAGTGGCAAAATATAGTATCAGGTTTTTAACCTTTCAACTGGTACAGAATGCAGCTGATGGTTCGGTCATAGTTCACCGGTGGAAAACGATCATAGTTATCTTTTTTTGCCCTCCCTCCCTTATCCGCATCTTTAAACCTTTGCCCTCAATCAATCATTTGTAAAGTTTCCGTGGCACAGGACGACGCCCGCTGATCTCCAGGTCTTCCCGCGCGCGCCCTCTGCTCATTTAGAGCGTCTTTCTGTCCCCAGACCAACTCCCTTCCTTGCTGTTATCAATCTGGCCTTCTTCTTCATCTGTCTTCGCGGGCCCCTGTATGCCCAAGAACACGCCCAAGCAATGAGAGTCTTTTGCTGCTGTTGTACGGCAGGGTGGCGTTGCAGCGGTTAACACCTGCGCCTCGCAGCACGAAGGGGGGGGCCCGGGTTTGATTCCCGACTCGCACGCCTTTGCGCGTGGATTTTGTATGATCTCCCCCGGTTCTGCGAGGTTTTCCTCCTGGTTCTCAGTTGTCCTTCTGTCGCTGACATTCAACGTACAATGTGTGTAACTCGTTTTGGCCAAATATCACAGTGCTGAGAGAAGCTACCTGCAAATTACTCGATTGGGATTACACGCAGCAACATCACCCCCCCCCCCTACTGCTTAGTGTTCATAATAATACAAAATGATGCAATTGCTATAATCTCAGAATTTTACCCTTTCCTCACCACCTACAAGCTGACACTAATAGGACTAGGTGTTCACCTTCTCAACAATTGGCTTCGACTCCTCACTTCCTGCAGGACTTCAGTCTTCGGTCATGTTAGGTGGCATTGTTCATTCGGCTGCAGGTTCTGTGCTCATGGAAACAACCGCAGAGTTTCCATCTCATTTTATCGAACAGACGTCATTTTTTTTACGAGCTGGTCCGGTCAAGTTTCCTGAAATCTCAAGCCTGTCCAGGAGGAAGCCAAGCTTAAGGAAACTTAATCTAAAGAATCCGACAGATGACAATCCCTGTTACACACCACCCACCGGTCCCAACCGGGGAGTTGATTTACAGCGACGTAGATTTCGCCGATTGGGAAAACAATGAGGTCGTCTCCTTATCTTGTATCTCAAGGATATCGTTGTTTTCAATTGCAGAAATGTAATACGCGGTTTTAAAATACATTCTTTCTGGTCGTTCATATTGGGGGCTCAATGTCAGCTGGAGCCGTCTGGGGCTGAGCGCCCGGAAAAGATTTCCTCCCAGGCGTGGCCCCCCCCCCACCCCCCCCTGCTACAGGGTGGGGGCAGGGGGGATCAGCATTTGGTGGGTTGGGGAATGCTCGGGAAACATTCCATAAAGTGCTGGTCATAATGCCTGTATCGTAAGCAAATCTGAGAGGTCGTGAATGTTTTAATCAAAGCACATGCAGCTATGCAAACAAAACTAGAAGCTTTATTTGATCAGGTAAGGCCCACTAAAAGCGACCTGGCCACGACTGATAGCTCAACGAAGTGGCTTAAAATGTGTACATTTATAGCAGCCAAATACCGGAGGACCCGGAGAAAAATCCACACGACCACGGGGAGAGAGACAGACATGCGAACTCCAAATATATACAGCAAGCGTCAGGGTCAGGGTTGCGTCCACGACCTCCTGCATACCAGGCGAGGCCGTTAACATCACCCCCCGGCCGCTCCGAATGCTGGGACAGTGGGACACTGCGTGAAATGGTTCCGTCACTAACGCGGGCGCCGTGTCGCGCAGGGACCGGCGGGCGTCGACATGGAGGGCGCCCTGACGGCGCGGGACCGCGTCGGCGTGCAGGACGCCGTGCTGCTGGAGAACCACACCAGCGAGGCCGCCTTCCTGGAGAACCTGCGCAAGCGCTTCCGCGAGAACCTCATTTACGTACGTGCGGCCGCGGCGGCGGCGGCAGCTGCGGCCAATCGGGACCCGCTGCAGATTTGACGCGTGGGGCGGTCCGACCGACGGGACCCCCTGAGAACCTCGTCTCGAGGTTGCGTCCGGCCGCCCTGTTTGGAAAATGGCCACTCGGAGCTGGAATATGGGAAAGCGCTCGGTTATGATTGATAAGGCCACGATAATTATGAATATTAAGGGTTAACAATATGTAAATGTAGATATATTTTTTTTGTCCCAATTATACCATCCCCCACCTGCCCCCCCCCCCCCTCCTCGGCTTTTGATTTGATTCCCAAATTCACGCTCGGAACTATCGACGCAGAACTCGGTGATGTTTGTTACTATGTGTTGCTTGCCTCATGAAACTAAAACAAAGTATGCAGTTGAACAGAAGATGCAGCTGTGTTATTGGGTTGTACCACGCGTCGTTTTGGCGCAACGTCCGACGTTTTGTCACCACCGCTTGCTGGGAGCTTCTTGGAGACTTAATTTGAGAATCTCCCAGCGGAGAGAAATGGCCCCGAGCGAGAGATTGCAGGGCCGCACCTTTACCTCCTACGGCGTCCGTCCTTGTGCTCTGCGGCGCAGACGTACATCGGCTCGGTGCTGGTGTCGGTGAACCCCTACCGCGACCTGGAGATTTACAGCAAGCAGCAGATGGAGCGCTACAAAGGGGTCAACTTCTACGAGGTGCCCCCCCACATGTGAGTCTCACGGTGCCCTCCCCCCACTACCTCCCCCACTACCTCCCCCCACCCCACCCCCCACGTCCGCCCCTCCCCCCCGCCACCGTCCGTGCGTCTTGACGGCAGCAGCGGACGGCGGTGGCGGCAACAACAACAGCAACAAGTCTACCGGTTTTCGTGTTCACGAAATTCAATTTGACGCAAGCGCTGATTCCGTTGGATGTGAACGACAAAAAACTTTAATTCTTTGCCAAGACAGCGATCTGCCCTGTTGGTGCTTGTTTTGCCACGAATGTCACGTGTTCCTGGAATGGCCCAACAGCACCAACTCCGCCGCTGTCACTGTTTGTGCTCCGTAGCCTAACGCGGACCTGTAGCCGCAATTTTCACGAAGGTCTGGACAAAGGCCCCGCCGTATACCGATGGTCCAATTATTATTTATGTATCTCTTAATAAAAAATGTATTATCTGCCTTGAGCAATGAAGTCTCAGAATGCTAAATTATTAAGTACAACCTGTAAAGACATAGGAGAGCTGCACATCGTTCGTGTTAGTATAACGACGACGACGGTTGTGGATGACACTGGTTAACGACGCCGCAGCTACGCGATCTCCGACAACGCGTTCCGCTCGATGCGCTCGGAGCGACGGGACCAGTGCATCCTGATCTCGGGCGAGAGCGGCTCGGGAAAAACGGAGGCGTCCAAGAAGATTCTGCAGTACCTGGCCATCACGAGCCCGAGCAGCGACCGCGTGCACATCGTGCGCGACCGCCTGCTGCAGTCCAACCCCGTGCTGGAGGTGAGGGGTCACGGGGACACACGCTCGCCCTGGTGCAGCAGATTCGGAGAGCGCCAAAGGGCGGCCCCCCCCCCCCCCCCCGTTTTAAAAGCCGCCCGTTTTAGCCGAGTCGTTGACCGAGTTGTTTGACCGGCGGTTCAGAGCATCGAGCCGGCACCGCTGAGGATTCTGGGTTTTCGAATCGAGGCAGCTGCCTGCGATGATACCGGGTTCTTAAAAGCTTTAGTGAATTGATTGTCATAGCCCCCGGGTCGTGGATGACTGGACGGGTGAATGAAAATAAAAACGTCACGTAAATTTTGGTTCTGCACCTAATTTGGCTAAATTTTAGTTGTCACAATTACACATCAGTCTGACTGTCGCGCAACGAACATTACTCTTAAGCGACGGAGCGCTTGTGGGAAAGTGCCCCGCCACCCCACGTCCGCACTATATGGACCAAAGGTCACTTGAAGGAATCTCTCTCGGGGAGTTCAGCGATATCCGCTTCCGCGGGCCGTTCGCTCACACCGAGACGGTTGCACTGCTGTGCGAGATGTCCGAATGAATGCTCGAGCACCTTGGCATGAGGCTTGATCGCACAAGTGATGAATAGCTTGGGGGGAATAGAGTTATAAACATACAACGGCAAAACGCCGACCCTGACGTGCAGTGCGCTCGCCCAGGCCGGCTGGACAATTACTTGGAAGGGTCCCCAGTGTCACTGAGATTGCCCGAGTCTATTCTGGTCGTGTTTACGCTCCCAACATCGTGTCCTGGTCGTGACGTCGCTATGATTAAGTGTAATTACGTAAGGCAAGTACTGGGGGGTGGGTGGGGGGAGGGGTTTGTCGTCAAAATAAACGTCAAAAGATATTCCACCAGCCAGGGTTTTTGCGCTCGGTGTGGAGTACCCATCGGCCGAAAGGTTGAGTGCTATTTTATTTGAGCAATGCCAAATGACCTCCGTTTTCTTGGGCATTTCTATCACCTGCTTCCTTTGCAATATTCCAAGACAGCGCTCAAGTATTTAATCTGATTGGTTTCGTCGCTGTACCACCGCGAAAAAAAAAAGAGTAAATCATACATCCAGAGCGAAAATGGGTTGTTGCAATCCCTTTGTCAAGCCCCGAAGCCTGGCCTGATGAAAAAGAAAATACAGTAAAACCTTGGATTGCGAGTTACTTGGTCTGCGAGTGTTTTGCAAGACGAGCACATTTTAAAAATAAATATTAATTTGATAAACGAGCGAGGTCTTGCAATATGAATAGTACATGTATACGATTTGTCTGCCGAGCGTCACGTGATCACAACTGATATACGAGTGCTTTGATGTACGAGTGCTTTGGATTACAAGCACGTTTCCGGAACGAATTATGCTCGCAATCCAAGGTTTTACTGTATCACGAATGCACAGAAATGTAAAAAAAAAGAACATTGATGCACTTACAGGTTAACGTAATGACATTCTTAAGGCTTATGCTAGGCACACACCACGTGATTTTCCCACAGTTAACCCTCTCCCCCGACTGCACCCGGCCAGGCTGTTGATGACAATCGGGGTGAGTGGCGGTAGATGGGGGGGCGGGGTCGACCCCAAATGCGGTGGGGATGAATTCCTTCCCGATCGAACGACTCGATTCGGGGCGCCGCTGTGAAAACAACGAGAGGCTGCTGACGTGCAGCTCACGAGCTCGCAGCCGAGGCACCGGCGACCTTTTACGGAGAAAACAACCACGGTTCCGGAAAACAGGAAGTCGTTCAATTTGTGAGAAATAAAACTGGGGGGGGGGGGGAGCAATTTTTACTTGAAATAACTTCCACGATTTCTTACGCTTATTCATAGAAACTACGAACGCAGGATGCGTGGGCACGCATACATCACCACCCCCGCCCCCCCCACCATTGCCCGGAATTAATTATTTTGTCCTGGTATTTTCACATACATTTTCTCAGCGCTTTTTCCAAGCCTGCAGGCGGTCCTTTGCCCTGGGTTTATTTTTTAACTCGTGTTTGTTTCTCTAAAAATCCCTTGCTCCCCTCCCCGCCCCCCAAACCCCCCTCCCCCCCCCCCCCCCCCGTGTCGCGACAGGCGTTTGGAAACGCCAAGACCCTTCGCAATGACAACTCGAGCCGATTTGGAAAATACATGGACATCCAGTTTGACTACAAGGTGACGCAACGAGCATCGCGCCCCGTCACGTCGTCGCCTTCGGGAATGAATTGTTGATTACAAACGTTAACGGTATAAGGCAAGCATTTTGACGGTGAAACGGAGAGGGAGCGTTTTTTTACGGTAATAATTATAATCATTTACATTCATTTGTACGGTGCTTTCCACTAATGTCTCAAGGCGCCTTCTTAGAATAAGGATGAGGAAAGGCCAAGAGAGGCAGAGGAACTAAATAGAATAAACTGACTTAGGAAGATGCGTTTTAACTCGAGGGAACGTAACAACAACGATGATGATGATGATGATGATAATAATTAATCGTAAATGTACTCGCGTGCAATGTCTAATTCTGCTTTCCCGTGTTGAGGACCCGTCTCTCTGTGAATTACAGCCACCGTTCACTCCACTCTCTCATTGTTGCAGGCCACAATGCGCAATTTCCTCGCCGCGATTGTCCAAAGTGCTCCCCTGTGTGCCCCCCATACAGTTCATTCACAACTGCGGGTGACGCAACCGAATCGTGCGCGCGCTCTGTTGCCGGCCCAGTCTCACAGCGTGCATCATCACCATCGTGAAAATTCTTATCGCTAGCTTCGCAATGAATACGTTCTCATCAGATGTTCAAGTGACTGCGAGTGCGCGTGTGCCTTCGCGCGTGGAGACTGTTGGCTTGTGGTAGCGTCTCTTGTATTGTGCTACGATCCTGGCAACCTGGGTTCGATTCCGGAACTTTGCATTCTTAGCATGTTGTGTCTTAACTGCAGCTGTGTTTGGTCTTCTTTACGTGGCCTTAAAAAATTACCGTGCGATGATTGAACTTCAGCGGTGGTGAAACAACGCTGGCCCAGGCACGGTGCTGGTCACGCCTCTCCCGTTGTTTTGCAAAAAACTAAAGGAACAAAGATCCCCTGTATAGCCTGCACAGGCTGTTGGGGAAAGTGCTGTTTGCGAGCACTTACGAAGACCGACACTGCCCAAGGGAGTGCTGTTGCCAGCGCCATGCCACGCCACCTTTTTTTCCGCATGAGTGAAAGTTGACATCCCCTGCCAGTAACTCATTTTAGGCTGAAGCAACTTAGAGGAGGTCAGTGCTGATGTTCACCGTGGCCAGGGATTGAACCCAGGTCGCCGGGTTTGTGGAGCAGGCCACGAACTGCTTCACCACCGCGTACCCCCTGTTATTTGCCGCGCAAGCATTCACACGTCCTTGCTAGCAACAGCACTCGCCCCTGCGTGTATCTGTAAGGCTTAAACGAGGTGACGCTTCCCTCTGTGTGTGCGCTTGTATAACTGGCCGACTCAGCCTCAAATGAGTACCTGGTACGGCCAGGCGTCGCGCTGACGATGTAAGCATCGCCACTGGGGAGACAAAGGTGGTCAGGCGTGGTGCTGGCCACTCACTCCCTCGTGTGCCGTGCCGGCCTTCATAGGTGCTCGCCAACAGCACTTTCCCCAACAGTCTGTTGAGCTCACGGTGGGGGGGGATCTTTGTCTTTACAACAGGGAGCTCCGGTCGGTGGACACATTCTGAACTATTTGCTGGAGAAGTCGCGTGTGGTTCACCAGAATCACGGCGAGCGCAACTTCCACATCTTCTACCAGCTGCTGGAGGGCGGCGAGGACGAGGTGCTGCGGCACATGGGCCTGGATCGCAACCCGCAGAACTACAAGTATCTCATCAAGGTGATTGTGCAAAGACGAATATCCCTCGTATAGCCTGAACAGACTGTTGGCACACGTGCTGTTAACGAGCACCTTTGGCGGCCGGAACGCCACACTAGAGAGAGGGTGGTTAGCCGACGCCACGTCCGGCCGCCTTTGCAACCCAAACTTACAACACCCGGGTATTTCTGGCCAGTCTCCCATCCCAATCGCTGGCCATAATCAACCCCTGCTTCGCTTCTGAGATGTGATGACGTTGGGTGCATTCAGGATGATTTTGCCGTGTGCAGTTTGCCTCTGGGTTGGCTGAAATTTGAGGCAAGGGCTCGCAACGCAAAACACTGTGGGCCCATGGAGAGCAGTCCACCAAAATTGAAGTTTATGACCGTGAATGTAAACATTGACGAGCACTTCCTGTGCAAGGCACGTCTTGTGTGCCACTGTGGAGAGTTTTGCGGTCGCGCTGCTGTGTGTTCGGGTCGTTACCGCGTGTGCTGTTCCGCACGATGCCCCGTGCCGCGTGGGGAGCCTCAGGAACTGAGCGTTTTTAGTCGATGAATAGACAAACGGTTCCCGGAGAAGCTGTGAGCACGTGGAGAAAAACTTTGGACGTCGCGCCAAACGACGCGCGGTTATCCCCGTATAAACACCGGGGAGGAGTTCTTGTGCCGATTGGATGATGTTCGTGCGCCAGGGCCAGTGTTCCCGCGTGAGCTCCATCAACGACAAGAACGAGTGGAAGATTGTGCGCAACGCCCTCCGCGTCATCAGCTTCAGCGACGAAGATGTGGAGGTGCGGAGTCTGCTGTGCGCGCGTGTTGTCGTTTTTGCCGGTCGGCCCTCGTGACCGGCGATGAGAGTAGTTACACGCGCCTTGTACGCTGCCCTGTTGTCAGTACGCCGCTGCATGAATATTGTGGATGATGGTGCTTGCTTCGTGAGCGTACTGCATGCGGTGAACGTTGGCGAAGGTGGGGAGCGTAGACGTGGCATCCATAGTACAGGGCAGCAGTGGATTTTTCTGCACCACACACGTCTTGACCACCACCTAGCTCCCGGGTGATTTGGCCGGAGAGAAGAAACCGACGTGCTCCGGCGCCTTCACGATTGCGTGCTGCCACGACAGGGGTCAGCTGTCGCTTTTAAACATTAATGATCAGATTAGGAAAAACAAACAGCTCGACGTGGAATGTTGCTGGGTTCAAATGTTGTTTTCGCGTGGGAACAGTTTTACAATTGTAATGCGGGCGCGGGCGACCTCCCGGATGTGACGTCACGGAGAGGTGGAGTTAGGTGACGTGGGAGGAAAGGTTAAGGTTCTTAAGGGAGGAGACCGGAAGAGGAAGGCAGAACGAGTGGGACTGGACCAGAGTAAGGCCACGTGGGCAAAGCCAAGGGGTGGCAGCGGCGGCCAGCGGTGGCCAGCTAAGGGAGCAGCCAGCGGAGCTGCGAGAGAAGACAGCGGTGGGGCGGCTGGAGAGAAGGCGGACGAGGAGCTGCGGGGAACACAGCCGGCGAGGCTGTGTGTGAGGGAGAGGCTACGAGAGCGACGAGAGGAGAGAGAGGCTGAGAGAACGACGAGGGGAGAAACTGCAGGAGAGCAGTATCAGTGTCAGTATAGAGTCTTATAGAAGGACAGCCGTGCGGGTTAAGAGAGAAGAACCGAATAAAGGACACCAAGCCAGACATCGTGGTCGAGTCCTTTATTACACAATGTAACCAAAACGCGCATTGGAAAACGGTAGCCTCATCTGGCTGACGGATCAAATGCTGACGGATAAAATACAAAAGCTCGAGGCTCTAGACCAAAGCCAATTTTGTTTTCTGCAGTTGACACAGGGATGGCTGCACTCTCACACAATCCCGTAGGCCGAGTTCGGTGGTTTGGGTACCGGGAAAGTAATCTGATGCCTGCAATGAGGTCGACCGTTACTGTCGAGACTTGGGCATAAGAAGGGGGCTCACTGGGGGACTTTGCCAAGAAAATCTCCTAGAAAGGGGGGCTCTGGTGGGAGCTTTGCCTGGCTTGGGACCCCTACGAAGGGGGCTCACATGGGAGCTTTGCCTGGCTTGGGACCCTTACAAAGGGGGCTCACATGGGAGCTTTGCCTGGCTTGGGACCCTTACAAAGGGGGCTCACATGGGAGCTTTGCCTGGCTTGGGACCCTTACAAAGGGGGCTCACATGGGAGCTTTGCCTGGCTTGGGACCCTTACAAAGGGGGCTCACATGGGAGCTTTGCCTGGCTTGGGACCCTTACAAAGGGGGCTCACATGGGAGCTTTACCTGGCTTGGGACCCTTACAAAGGGGGCTCGCATGGGAGCTTTGCCTGGCTTGGGACCCTTACAAAGGGGGCTCACATGGGAGCTTTACCTGGCTTGGGACCCTTACAAAGGGGGCTCGCATGGGAGCTTTACCTGGCTTGGGACCCTTACAAAGGGGGCTCGCATGGGAGCTTTGCCTGGCTTGGGACCCTTACAAAGGGGGCTCACATGGGAGCTTTGCCTGGCTTGGGACCCTTACAAAGGGGGCTCACATGGGAGCTTTGCCTGGCTTGGGACCCTTACAAAGGGGGCTCACATGGGAGCTTTACCTGGCTTGGGACCCTTACAAAGGGGGCTCACATGGGAGCTTTGCCTGGTTTAGGACCCTTACAAAGGGGGCTCGCATGGGAGCTTTACCTGGTTTAGGACCCTTACAAAGGGGGCTCACATGGGAGCTTTACCTGGTTTAGGACCCTTACAAAGGGGGCTCACATGGGAGCTTTACCTGGTTTAGGACCCTTACAAAGGGGGCTCACATGGGAGCTTTACCTGGCTTGGGACCCTTACAAAGGGGGCTCGCATGGGAGCTTTGCCTGGCTTGGGACCCTTACAAAGGGGGCTCACATGGGAGCTTTACCTGGCTTGGGACCCTTACAAAGGGGGCTCGCATGGGAGCTTTGCCTGGCTTGGGACCCTTACAAAGGGGGCTCACATGGGAGCTTTACCTGGCTTGGGACCCTTACAAAGGGGGCTCGCATGGGAGCTTTGCCTGGCTTGGGACCCTTACAAAGGGGGCTCACATGGGAGCTTTGCCTGGCTTGGGACCCTTACAAAGGGGGCGCACATGGGAGCTTTGCCTGGCTTGGGACCCTTACAAAGGGGGCTCACATGGGAGCTTTGCCTGGTTGGGACCCTTACAAAGGGGGCTCACATGGGAGCTTTGCCTGGTTGGGACCCTTACAAAGGGGGCTCACATGGGAGCTTTGCCTGGCTTGGGACCCTTACAAAGGGGGCTCACATGGGAGCTTTGCCTGGCTTGGGACCCTTACAAAGGGGGCTCACATGGGAGCTTTGCCTGGCTTGGGACCCTTACAAAGGGGGCTCACATGGGAGCTTTGCCTGGCTTGGGACCCTTACAAAGGGGGCTCACATGGGAGCTTTGCCTGGCTTGGGACCCTTACAAAGGGGGCTCACATGGGAGCTTTGCCTGGCTTGGGACCCTTACAAAGGGGGCTCACATGGGAGCTTTGCCTGGCTTGGGACCCTTACAAAGGGGGCTCACATGGGAGCTTTACCTGGCTTGGGACCCTTACAAAGGGGGCTCGCATGGGAGCTTTGCCTGGCTTGGGACCCTTACAAAGGGGGCTCACATGGGAGCTTTGCCTGGCTTGGGACCCTTACAAAGGGGGCTCGCATGGGAGCTTTACCTGGTTTAGGACCCTTACAAAGGGGGCTCGCATGGGAGCTTTACCTGGTTTAGGACCCTTACAAAGGGGGCTCACATGGGAGCTTTACCTGGTTTAGGACCCTTACAAAGGGGGCTCGCATGGGAGCTTTACCTGGCTTGGGACCCTTACAAAGGGGGCTCGCATGGGAGCTTTGCCTGGCTTGGGACCCTTACAAAGGGGGCTCACATGGGAGCTTTGCCTGGCTTGGGACCCTTACAAAGGGGGCTCGCATGGGAGCTTTACCTGGCTTGGGACCCTTACAAAGGGGGCTCACATGGGAGCTTTGCCTGGCTTGGGACCCTTACAAAGGGGGCTCACATGGGAGCTTTGCCTGGTTGGGACCCTTACAAAGGGGGCTCACATGGGAGCTTTGCCTGGCTTGGGACCCTTACAAAGGGGGCTCACATGGGAGCTTTGCCTGGCTTGGGACCCTTACAAAGGGGGCTCACATGGGAGCTTTGCCTGGCTTGGGACCCTTACAAAGGGGGCTCGCATGGGAGCTTTGCCTGGCTTGGGACCCTTACAAAGGGGGCTCACATGGGAGCTTTGCCTGGCTTGGGACCCTTACAAAGGGGGCTCACATGGGAGCTTTGCCTGGCTTGGGACCCTTACAAAGGGGGCTCACATGGGAGCTTTGCCTGGCTTGGGACCCTTACAAAGGGGGCTCGCATGGGAGCTTTACCTGGTTTAGGACCCTTACAAAGGGGGCTCACATGGGAGCTTTGCCTGGCTTGGGACCCTTACAAAGGGGGCTCACATGGGAGCTTTGCCTGGCTTGGGACCCTTACAAAGGGGGCTCACATGGGAGCTTTGCCTGGCTTGGGACCCTTACAAAGGGGGCTCGCATGGGAGCTTTGCCTGGCTTGGGACCCTTACAAAGGGGGCTCACATGGGAGCTTTGCCTGGCTTGGGACCCTTACAAAGGGGGCTCACTTTGGGGCCTGGCCAGGAGGGTGCTGTATGCTGCCATGAGGCTGTTTCGGGGTATGCTCCCACACTTGTCTTGTGTCACCATTGTACATTTATCATGCTGGTTTGCCACGTAGAATAGCCACTGTTATCGCGTTGTGTAATGGTGTGTGATGGGACAGGCTGCCGTGCAAGGAGAGACATTCTCGCTGGTGACCCCTGCGAGCTATTGTTAGCGTTTCCCATGACTTTATGCGGTGTCATGTGGCCTAAAATCCAACGACTCTGCACGTCTTGTTTGGCGCCCTGTGTATACGGGTTAGCTCGCACGTTATGATGATGCATGCTGTGTAGGAGGGAGTGCGTGCTGCCAAGCAGTGCTCTTCACGCGGTGTTCCTGCAATGTTTTTTTTGTTAATTTAAAATTGATCATCTGCGTTATGAGACCTCCTTTGCCAGTAGCAAGATATAGTGATAGGTTTTTACCCTTTTATCCGGCACCAAAACTGACACCTTTATACAAGGGATCATGTTTGCAATAACCACAACACAAGCTCCATTTTGTTTGCATTTTGACTGCTTGTGTTGTGGTTATTGCAACCTATTACTATTGATAATCTGATTACAAACGGTGAATCGAGGAGTCGTATGGGGTTACTGTTACCTGCCCTTTGGTAATTTGACCTACTTGTCAACACTGCATGAAAGCCTGTGTGTGGTGTGTGTGTGTGTTTCTGGGTCGAACCAGTTTATTTTTCCGGAACCCAATCATCGTTGCACTTATCCTGGCAAGATAATGTTCCCAACCTTGCGCATTTCCACGAAGTGTGTCATCGGTTCATCCGTTACAATCGATTCTCGCTCTCATTATACGTGCATCACATTTGTGTCTCGTAAGAATCGTTTATTTTACTTTTGCACACGTTTTATTGATACAATTTTTTTTCCCTTTTCGCCTCGCGGGTTAGAACGAGTGAGGTAGAACGAACGCAGAGAGAGAATGAGAACAACTTTAAAAGTGGTACAAAGGAGACAGCCAGCACACGCAGCACTGAGACGGTGCAGACCGCATTGAAGAAATGAGATGCTACGAGCAAGACAATAAAGAATCGATCCTGGAATTATGCCCGATTGTGACGATTCTTTGCACTGCACCCCCATCCCCCGTCCCCGTAGGGTGAATCGTTACATGCCCAATATGCTTGCCATGCTGAATAAAACTTGTCCCCCGCAAAAATGCCTCCATGTTCCGCACACGTGATCGTGATTGTTCTGATCCGTTGGTCTTGGCTGCGCAGGCCCTGCTGGGGGTGGTGGCTAGCGTCCTGCACCTGGGGAATGTGCAGTACACGGAGGACGACCAAGGCCACGCCAAGATCGCCGGAGATGCCCAGATCCGATATCTGGCTCGGGTATTTCTCTCTCCCCACACGTGCTCTCTGTAGCCGACGGCCTCGGGCTCTCTGGTCTGTTGGCACTGCACTACCTTCTCTGACGAGTACCGGAGATCCGCACGCTGCTCGCTCGGCCGTCGCTCTGGCCGACCGTGCAGTCACTCTTAGAGGCCGATAATAGTGGGACCTGCAGCAGAGTAATACGGTACAGTGTCACATATCTGACAACCGTGTATTCACCCTGACTAATGAACCGCCCACACCCAGTGCAGCGTTAATTCACGGTTGTAAGAGTCGCTTTCTGCGGATGTTCACACGCGACGTGGCACTGTAATTAGACCGCGTGGTATTATTTAAATGTATAAATCGGATACAAACTTCTGGGCCGACACTGCAAAGCACTTCTCGAAGGCTGCTCATGATCAAAAAGTAAATGTGTGCATTCTGACCTCGTCTCCTCGCCGCGGTTATCCCAAACGCTGCGGCTATTGATTATCTTGCAAAGCAAAACGCCGTTGACGGTCGGTGGCTGTTGGCGACCCTGACCAAGTGGTGGAAATTCCCAGCACCCGTGATGGGAGCCAGTCGATCCATCAGACAACCACTGTTGGTGTTTCGCAAAACTGTGCAAAATTTTTTTTGTATAGACCTCGTATGGATAATGGGCCCGAGGAAATAAAAAAAAAATGTAAATGAAAAAAAATCTAAAATAAAACCAATTTCGGGGATTTGTACGCGGGCTGCCTCCCAATGGTGGAATCGCGCGCTCCACCCCAGTTTGCCATCAGGCGCGCCCCCCCCCCCCACCACGTAGCAAAAAAGCGGACGCGGTGCCGTTTGGGAAACCCGTCGCCCACGGTCCGTGTCTCTTTGTCTCGCGTCACGGCGTGCAGCTGCTCGCGGTGTCGGTGACGCAGCTGCAGGAGTCGCTGACGCACAAGAAGATCATCGCCAAGGGCGAGGAGGTGAGCAGCAGCACCGTGTTAAATGTGATGAAAACGAGAACCAAAACCTTTTTTGTTTTACCAAGGTAAGGCCAACTCAGGTATGGGGCTAATTTTCAGACGCGACCTTGCCGTCAATTACAGTTCAACGATGCGGCTTATCACGTGCAAATTATAGCAGTCAAATACTCTTAAATGCATGTTTCTAAATGTGGAGGGGAAAAAAACCAGAGCACCGGGAGAAAAATCCACACGACCAAGTGGAGAACATGCAAACTCCAAATATACAGCAGCAGGCGTCGGGGTCGGGATCGGGATCGAACCCACGACATCCTGTATACCAGGCGAGGTAGTTAACATCTCGTCACCGAGGATTGTACGTATGTATGTTGAACTTCTTCCGCTCCGTACGTAGCCGACCGTGCTAATCAGAGGTGCGGGAGAAGGACAACAGACAGAAATGAGTTGCTGTGGTCCCCTCTAGCTTCGCCTATGTTGGGGTGTGCGCATGCACACGTGTCGACACGCTTTCCCTGTGGGCGTGCGTGCAGCTGGTGAGCCCCTTGAGCGTGGATCAGGCGGCCTACGCCCGCGACGCGCTCGCCAAGGCGGTGTACGAACGCACCTTCTCCTGGCTCGTCAATCGGATCAATGAGTCGCTGGCTAACGAGGTAGGAATTTTGACCGAGACGGATGTGTGTGTGTGCGTGTGTCTGTGTGTATGTTGTGGGGAGCGGTAATGTAGCGGTTAGCGCGCTGCGCTATGAACCCGGCGAGCCGGGCTCGATTCCCGCTCACGGCCAACACCAGTGACGATTATCTGAACCGGTCCCGGGCCTCCCCTAGGTCGACTCAGCCTCAAATTAGTACCTGGTGCGGTGTGTAAGCATTGCCACTAGGGAGACAAAGGCGGTCGGGCATGGTGCTGGCCACCCACCCCCTTGTGTACCGTTCCGGCCTGCGTAGGTGCTGGTGAACAGCACTTGCCCCAACAGTCTGTTAAGGCTATACGGGGGATCTTTGCCTTTGTTTGTATGTTGAGCTTCTTTCGCACACCGTACATAGCCAACCGTGCTCATCGGAGGTGCGGGGGGGGGGGCGAAGGGCAATGAAGTAGACGCAGATGCCAGGAAGCACGCAGTGATGATGGAACGCCGCCAACAATAAATAATTTATTGTGCAGCAGAGCTGTCACATTCACGTCTTTGGTTTAATGTCGCTGGGGATGTTATTTGGGAAAACAATTCACTGGCGAATATAACGGAGGCCCTCATCCGGCAGGGTATCGACAAAGGGCCGTAAGTTGGTATTCCTGTAGCTTTATCCAACGTTGACTGTTTCTGGTTTTGTTTGGTAGCATAAATATCTACTGTGCATATCTCAACTTCAGACAAACGCGTGCAGTCAGTCGTAATAGCAAGAAGGCAGTCGGAAGCAGAGTAGAACACGTGCTCCTTGATCAAGGCGGAATTACAACCTCCAACGCAATGGACGGGGCCTTACAATGGGGTTTCTAAATTACGCCCCGTGCTTCAACAACACCTGGCTTCCATGCTAATGAAGTAAATTCATTTTTTATTGTACTTTGCCTCCCACGTGATCATTCGGGGGTTGAAATGTAACAGTGGTACCCTTTAGTGGGTTGTGGGGAACGAAGGCTGAGGTTGGAGACGTTTGCGCGTCGGCGGTGCAATGCGTGTAAACTTTCTCCACTTGCCGAGTGTCTTGGGCCGTGGCTCTGTTAGGGGGGTGGGGGCGGGGGGCTCGTGTTACGATGGGCGAACGTGGACTTGTCGCACAGCGTCTCGCCCCGTTTGGCGTTTCAGGATACGCAGCAGAAGTCTGTGATTGGGCTCCTGGACATCTACGGTTTCGAGGTCTTCCAGCAGAACAGGTGAGGGACATCGCGTGGCCTCTGGCATCCGCGCTGGGGTAAAAACGAACTTTGTGCAGGCGCGAGCGCTTGGGGTACGCGGAGATGGTCAAGGCGTTGTTATCGCTGTTTTCGTCCGTCGTTCTTGCTCTACATCAGGGGTGATCAACCCGTCACAGACCAAGAGGCAAAATGTACTCGTGAGTTCTTCAAAGAGCCAAATGTATAATATATAAGTGTGTGTATATCGTGACAGTTTTCGGCACAGCACGGGGAGACATTCATTATCCTTGGCTGCTACTCTTGTAGTGCGTTCTATGTTTACGCCCCTTCGATAGAGCCGCGTGTGTGTGAATTTACGTCGGTTGGCGCATCGCTGGTCTACATCAACATCAGCCACACGAAGAAGACCTTTGATTGCAGTTTCTAAGCGTTAATTTTCAGGTGTCTTGTGGATAGAGTAGACGACGTTGGATTTGAGCACACCTTATGGTGGGCACAGTTTGCCTAAAGGCAAAACATGCTTAGATTGCACCGCTGGGTGGCGGTGGGGGGAGGGGGCAAAATGCAACTTCTGATACAAGCACACGACTTCGGATTTAAACGAACCTGGCCATGTGCTGATAGCCAGCTGTTACAGTAAAATATCATCAGATTAGTTATTACTGGTAAGAACCACCTGGTTCCACCAGCCCACAGAGGATTTTTGTGTCCGTCCGTTGTGCATCCAAAAATAGGAGGGGCTGGGTGGAGAGGGGAGGGTGGGGAGGGGCAGGGTGGGGAGGGGAGGGTGGGGAGGGGCTGGGTGGGGAGGGTGGGGCTAGGTGGGGGGTGGGAGGGGTGGGGCTGGTGGGGAGGGGCTGGTCACCCCGTGGTGCCCTTATATAACTCAACGTTTAACCTACTCACGCCGGCTTGTGCCCGCCCTCAGTCGGCCATATTTGCGGAATACACCACGCCGCCGTTGACCCTGGCCATTGACCGAGCAACCCAACGTTCCGACCAGCTCCCTCCGCAGGAATGTGTTTATACTGGAGGGATCCGATGAGCTATACAGCTCTGTTTCATAGCTGTGTAGTAGGGGCATGCCAGAACGTTACAATCACAAACAATACAAAAACACGATAGGAGTGCACAGTATAGGAGGGGCAAGCAAATCACAGAAAAAACACAAATAAAACTAAACTATTTTCATTTTACCAGGTAAGGCCCACTGAGCTATGAGCTTCTTTTTCATAAGCGACCTTGCCACGATTGAAAGCTGAACGAGAAGTGGCTTGTGTGGAAATTTATAGCAGCCAAATAACCTCAACGCATGTTTATACAGCGCCGTCGCAGCAACCGATTGTGGTCGGTTGATGCGCGCGCACGCACGCGCAACCTGCTTCAGCGGCGTCCTTCCTGCGGCCCGTCATCTCACTCCGCCGCGTTGTCCGTCGTTTTCCACCGCCGCCCTCGTGTGCCGTGCGCGCAGCTTCGAGCAGTTCTGCATCAACTACTGCAACGAGAAGCTGCAGCAGCTGTTCATCGAGCTCACCCTCAAGTCGGAGCAGGAGGAGTACGAGTCGGAGGGAATCGAGGTCAGGTCGAGCGTGGTTCAGTCCACGGATAGCCGCCGTGTGACCGCCCCCGCCTCCCCCATGGCCATGCCTTTTGAGTGGCCGGCCTGTCATGTTATTTTTTGACAGTTGCGTCGGTTGATCCGAGCCCGCAGCGTTATTGCGAGTGCCCGCACTGAGCTGCTGGCTTATTTGTTTTATTGAAGTTATTTTTATCATTGCAGTGGGAGCCAGTGCAGTACTTCAACAACAAGATCATTTGTGACCTTGTGGAGGAGAAGTTCAAGGGCATCATCTCCATCCTGGTTTGTACCTTTTACACTTTGGTCACGTTGAAAAGTTAATAATGCGTCTTCCGGATTAATAAGATGCCTGCTGTCGAAAAAGTTATCCCATCGCTTGGCATGCTGTTGTTGAATCAATAGTGGTATGAATCTATCGAATCTCTCCGGCGACATACATGTATGAATTGGACATGAATGCATGTATTTAATGCACCGTGCTTTGGATGAACCAGAATGATGCTTTGTGAGCAGGTTTGATAGACCTTTGTTATTTTCATTTAAAAGAAATATTCCACGTCTGCATTTCAATCGTACTTTTGTTATACCACATCTATTCGATTTTTCTGTCAAGGTCTTGAGTAATTATTTTTCAATTCGACACTCGTATGTATCTTAAATTTAATTGGCAATTAAGTGTGAGCATAAGAATTGGTGTTTATTCAATTATCCAACAATTAATTATTATAATAATCATCTTCTGCTTGTACACCTTGAAAGCTCGTTGGCCTCGTGTCACGTGCCCAGTAACGAGGAGGGGGGGCCGGGGGGGGCACAGGGGACGTGGGGGGGGGGAACGAGGGGGGGGGCCGGGGGGGGGGCTGGGGGCGGGGAACGAGGGGGGGGGGGGAGCCCTTTAATTGACCGCTCGCGTGACCCCGGTCACCACGCAGGATGAGGAGTGCCTGAGGCCCGGCGATGCCACAGATCTGACTTTCCTGGAGAAGCTGGAGAAGACGGTGGGAGAACACCCGCACTTCCTCACGTGAGTGCCCGCCACAACACCGCTCGCAACGACGACTTCTTATTAAAGAAGAAAAAGAATAACTGGAGGAATTGCGAGCTGTGTTTTGCTCTCTTGCCTCTAACCAAAATCACCCAGAATGCCCATTTGACACTTACCGGTTTTTACGAGCATTACTTGCAATGTTTTCTGGAACACTCAAAATGTATGGATCGCGTTAATTTCTTTACCGAGTATTTTGGTTCGTGACGAGCACAAAACCTGCAGCTCTGTTTGTTGATTTGATTACTCCATGGGTTGCATAATGCGATGAGTGGAAATCAATCACGCGATCGATTTTCACGTTAACTTTGTCACGGCGCAAAGAAGCTCATTCGAGACGTCCATTCTAACGGAGGTGAAGTCTTTATTACTAAAGAATAATGTGTTTACACGTTCGTTCTGACAGAGGGTTGAAGTCTTTATTATTATTAAGAATGACGTATTTACAACTCCGAACGTAATTGCTACCCCGCGAACAGTCAGCCCCGATGGTTTCCACCTCGTTGTTCCGCTTGTCCCGTGCGTGCCTCTCTCCCCATATATACCCGCTCGGGTCCGCCCCTATCGGGCAATGCCCTCCACCCCACTACAGCACTTATGTTCAATTATCTGAACGTGTATTATTTATAACCTACACAGCAGCTTACGGCCACCTGTTCACAATTTTCTCAACGTGTACCCTCCAGCACTTTCTCCGTACAGTCCCCCACAATGGTTCTGCGTGTACGTGTGTATTTCTATGTCGGCACAGAGGCGTGGATTTCTTTTTTCTTCACGTAAAACAATTCGGGCGATTTCCACGTGAAAATTAGTGACGGGTTATAGCAGCTTGAATTTTTAGCATGTTTTTTAGCGGTGTGATCCAGCGGTGTGTGTGCGTTGTCAGTGGGGAGCGGTAGTGTGGCGTTTAGCGCGCTGAACCACGAACCCGTCGGCCCGAGCTCGATTCTTGCTCACGATTTCTAGAAACCGGTCTCATCCATAAGGCGAGCGTTCTCCCCTGAAATGGCCAACGTTATGCGTAGGATCTAAGTCGGGTACTTTTGAGAACGAGCATCTCCCGAAGCTTTCTGGCCACCCCACCGGAGGTGCATGCAGAAGGAGCTCTCCGGGAGATCGCGAATCACGTGTGTTGTATCGTGTTGCATCGGAGTAATCCAAACATCTCTAGACACATTTTTCAGTCGTCTTGTTTTTTGAGTATTTTAGTTTTATTTTTCATTCCGTTTGGCTCCTAATCTCTGGGGACGTCTTAACTTCGTTAGGATCATGTGGGTGCCCGCTGAGTAAACAGTGAATGTTCCGGGGGAGCTAGGGTACAATAACAAGGCGACATAAAGTTGTAATACAAACATTACGGACGGGGAAACGAACACGTACGCAATAAAAAGTGAACGGGTAAAAGTGATGACAATTTCAATAGCTGAGTTACACAATCCAAAAATAAATGTTACTCAGTTTGATTTACAACTTGCGCGCACACGATTCCTCTGTCACTCAGAGTAGCAGGACTTGATTCTTACACGGTGTGGGCTGTGCACAGGCAGACTCGAATACTCGGTGCGCACCATTATGGCCTGAAAAGGAAAAAGCTCACGACAGTTTCACCTCGGATCTACGAGGCTAACCAGGTGGAGGGGGGAGGTTCTGTGTGTTTAGGGTATTTGGCTCATATACATATCCACGTGATAAGCCGCTTTGTTGTTGAGCAATCATTTGTGGCCATGTCGCTTCTGAAAAATAGCTTAAAGTTCAGTGGACTTTACCTGCTAAAATCAAGAAAACAGTTTTGGAGCAGTAGTTGTCTCACCTGATGACGATTGCTTGTCTTGCGATCAACAAGGGCAGGGGGTGGCACCGTTGCACAAGATCAACATGAATTCTGTTGGCAGCGTTGCACCCACATGGAGGAAACCTTCAAATGGCATAATAAGACATACTCTTGGGTTTTTTCGGTAAAGTCGCGTAGTTAAAAATAAAATAAAACAAATCACGACGTTTCGATCGCAACGTTGTGATTTGTTTCATTTTATTTTATTTCTACCTACGTGACTTTACCGAAAGAACCAAAGCGTGTAGTTTTAGAGTATTTATGTATTTGTTGTGATTGGCTTACCTTTCCTATAATTAGCACTCCTATCGTTTTTTTTGTATCACTTGTTGTCGTAACTTTCCGACTCGCCCCGTACTGGAACATCCGTGAACAAACTCGCTTCATAGCTCACCGGATTCCTCCAGGATTTGCAAATATTCTCGACGATTCCGATTCTTGCGTGGACGCAGGCACAAGCTGGCGGACCAAAAGACGCGCAAGACGATGGCGCGGGAGGAATTCCGCCTCCAGCATTACGCTGGGGAGGTCAACTACAACGTGACAGGTGGGGAACCCGCACCCGGCTACGATCGGTGCGGAGTGGAGCGGAGCGCGTGTCACCAACGCCCGCAGTTAGCTTGGGGCGTCCAGTTCTTGCTGCGGAGTTAACATTGCCAGCAGGGGCCCGAGACAACGCGTAGTTGAGAAGTAACGACGGGGGCCTTTAAAGTTTATGAGAAATTAAGGTTTGGTTTGTACACGTTTTGTCGACAAGTACGGTACTCGTGAGAGCTGACTGTCATGTAGTTGTTGCTGCGACTCGTTTAGCCCTGCTAAGCAGCGTTATCTAACGGAAGCGCTGCTTTGAGGTTTAATCGTATTCCGTTGCATTGCCGTTTGCAGGGTTTCTGGACAAGAACAATGATCTGTTGTTCCGGAACCTGAAAGAGGTACTGCCGAGTTGTGTGAAATTTTCCTGGCAGGCGTTCATTCATGCACAGTCACAAATATGAATGGAATTTTTAATGGGAGTGATTTTTTCATGCATTTATTTTTATTTTTAATACGGTGTCAAAACAACGGCCGTTGTGGTTAACCCCAAAGAACAAAGAGATGTTTCCAATACGTACCGAGGCTTGGCCTTTAATGACTATAGGACGTATTTTAGAAATATCTACACTGGGGGAGACAAAGGTGGCGAGGTGTGGTGCTGATGCCACCCGCTCTCTTGTGTGCAATGCCGGCCTTCATAGGTGCCGTGGTGGCGAGATGTTAACTACCTCGCCTGGTATACAGGAGGTCGTGGGTTCGATCCTGACCCTGATGCCTGAATATTTGGAGTGTGCATATCTCTTTTTTTCTTTCTCCGGATCCTCCGCTTTTTCCCTTCCCATTTATAAACGCGCGCCCTAGGGTATTTGCCTCCTGCTATAAATTTCCACGCGATGATGAGCCACTTCGTTGAGTTATCATTTGTGATTGCCAGGTCGCTTCTGAAAAATAACAGTATGGCTCAGTGGGCCTTGCCTGGTTGGGGGAAATTAAAAAGGTTCTCACCAACTGCACTTAACCCCCAGCAGTCTCTGTAGGCTCTTTGGGGGTGGAGGAGGTCGTTGTACACGTGGCCTTGCTGCTTGCGCAGTACCCCGTTGCTCACGGCGTCTGTGCGTGCATCTTCTAGGCCATGGCTGGAGCAGAGAACGCCATCCTGAAGCAGTGCTTCCAGCGCAGCGAGCTGGTCGACAAGAAGCGCCCAGAAACGGTGATGACTCCAACGGGGCGGGGGGGACCACTCACCGCTTCGCCGCACGTACACGCCCGCGGTTTAGCGCGACTTCGTCGCCATGCCAACAGTGGTGACAGCAGTGTAACGGTGTGAACGAGCCGACGTCGATATATAAAATACGCACGGGGTGCGATATGAATCGTTTTAATCGGTACGTGCGTAGCGATCAGCTTGAGGGGTTTCCCTTCATCACGTGAAGCTCTTTCCTCGCAATAATTATTTTTGATGATTACCAGCGGGTGAAATATTAGAAATTAAACATTTCTCAACTAAGCCCGTTATTACAACCTCATCAATAGTTTTTTATGTGTAGATTTGCTCAATTTTGTTTGGGCACACAATAATAATTCACCCCTACCCAGCGATCGGAAAAGATTCGTCACGATCTGGGATTGCGATTGAGTACAATAATCTAGTCTTTTTTTTAACGCATGTATTTAACCCAATCTCACCGGATCTCAAAAGCTTGGATAATGCGTGGATGGGCGACCACCAAGCACGGCGGGGTTGCCGATAGGTTGTGGGGCATTGTGGTTGGGCAGTAGAGGGCAGTTGCAGCAAAATTCATTCGACCATGCTCACGTATCTGTATCTCCTCACCTTCATCATCCCGTACTGTGACCAGCGTGGTGAAGTATGGTCGATTGACCCCCACGACCCGCACGGCGTGGCGAGGCCCTAACCCGGCAGGCAAGAGGCGTGACGAGAGGTGGTGCGCGTGATAACCGGGCAAGAGTCGTTGAGTCTGAACCGCCGCGTGCCTGGAATCGTTGTGGTGGGACAGGCGGCCACGCAGTTCAAGGGCAGCCTGGCACAGCTGATGGAGATCCTCATGTCCAAGGAGCCGTCCTACGTGCGCTGCATCAAACCCAACGACGCCAAGCAGCCCAGTGAGTGCCGCTCCATGCCTACAACGATCATCGTCGTCATCGTCAGCCGTGATCTATCCACTGGTGGACGGAGGCCCCTCCCCAAGCCATAACCATCTCTTGTTTGTCCTGCGAGACACCCACCCCCCCTACCCTTGTTACACAAACACTCTCCCATGATTGTCGACCGCATCCACTCCCAGCGGGCTCCATCCGTGAACGGACTTACACGTGAGAATCAAAACGTAGAATTGGGCTAAATCCGGACGTTGTGTTTTTTCATACACCACGCTCGCGTATGATCTCAGCATCCCCGCGATGGAATGCTGTCGCGTGCGCCACAGAGTCGATCGTCATCTCCTCTTGCCCCCCCCCCCTCGTGCCGCCACACGCGCGCTCTCTGCAGGCAAATTCGACGACGTGCTGATCCGCCACCAGGTGAAGTACCTGGGCCTCATGGAGAACCTGCGTGTGCGCAGGGCTGGCTTTGCCTACCGCCGCAAATACGACGCCTTCCTCAACAGGTAAACGCCCGTCGCGCCCACCGACGGGGGCTTTTTTGCTGTTCCTGCGAAACTTCACTCCGCCTCGATTCCGCCGTATGACGTCGCCTTTGTGTGCCCGGGGCAGGTACAAGTCTTTGTGCCCAGAGACGTGGCCCACGTGGCGCGGGCCGGAGGTTGAGGGCGTTAAGCGCCTGGTGAAGCACCTCAACTACCGGCCGGAGGAGTTCAAGATGGGCCGGTACGCGCGCCTCTCAGCCACGACCCAGCAATCGCCTCTCGTCTTATCTGTCGCGAGTTGAAGTATCTTATCTCCCTGTTCTTATGAGAATTGTGGTGGTTACCCATCCATCTCCTTTGATGGTCCTGAATCATTTGTGAAATTTGAACGTTCCTATGGAGGCGGGTACGAGTCGATCCAATGACCTCTTCACAATGCCAACGTGGCACTTAAGAACGCGACAGGGTGACGAACGATGATAGTTTTCACGTTTATTTTGTTCACGTTTTAAGTGCGAACGTCTTGCAATCGCGTAAGTTTTGTGCCCACGAGGTGCACTCACCTTGCACGCAGGGTTCTGTTTGGAATAAACCCTGTACGTAAGGCCACCCTATGCATAAGGTCATCTTCCTGTTGAGGCAGCCGACTTATATCAGACACCGTCTGTGGATGGAAACAGCGCTTATTTCACAAGAGCCCCGATGTCCACCGTTTGGCGTGTTCATAATACGAGGTTTTATTTTCAGAACGAGCTCTTTCGTGTTCCTGATGCCGACCACCGCCTGCCCTTGGGAATTGCTTTCAGAATCAGGATCTTTTGTTTGGGCCCGCAGGAGGAATCCGATGAGCTATGAAGCTCTTTTACTCGCAGATGTCCAGTCGGGGCGGTTCACACTTACAGACGCTTGACACACGTAACAGACTTCGCTGCCAACGATATATATGCACGTAATTGTGTGTTTTTTTTGTTACTTTTGCAGGTCCAAAATATTCATCCGGTTCCCAAAAACCCTGTTTGCGACGGAGGATGCGTTTGAAAAGCGAAAGCACGGCATAGGTGAGTGAACACCTCGGGATCGCCTTGCCTGGTCTTGTTCATCTTCTTGGTTCTTTCGGTAAAGTCACGTAGAAGGGAAATAATAAAATAAAAATAAAAAACATTATTTTATTATTATAGTTCATTATATTATTATTTTATTATGTTCTATTTTTATTATTTTATTATTTCCCTTCTACGTGACTTTACCGAAAGAACCAAGAAGATGAATCCCTGCAGTCACGAAAGCTTTAAATCGAAATGGTCTTGTTCACTTATTATGGCCGTTTGACAAATGCACATAACGGGCAGTGGTTGCTCCCAAGGCTCTGTTTGTCGATGAATAAACGCACGACGGTCATTGACAATCCCTTTGTCAATCCGCTGCTGGATGAAGGCCACATCACACACCGTGTGTCCCAGTCGGCGTGGTCTTGAGTGAGCAGGCGGGGTTCAGATATCGCTCACCGGCGACGATGGCCGTGCGGGGTTCAGGGCGCAGTGTTGTTCGCCACCTTTGCCACGGCGCCACCATAGCTGTCGAGCTTGCGAGCGCGAACTCGATGCCTCGGCATCGCTATTAATCCAAAAAGTTACATTTGCACAGTTTGTTGTCTTTCCCCCTCCCGCTCCTCCAATTAGCACGCTTGGCTACGTACGATGCGAAAGACGTTCAACATACATTCATGCGTACACTTGCATATTGTGTGCTTACATCGTTTAAATGTTATGCGCTTACGCGCACGATTGGACTCGTGTATTATCGCGAGCGGGTTGGGATGGACGTTGACGGACCCGCGCGCTCGTGTTGTCCTGCAGTGACCACTGTGCAGGCTGCGTACCGTGGACACTACCAGCGCAAGAAGTTCCTGAAGATGCGGACTGCATGTGAGTGGGCCGCGCGTCAACACGCACCTCACTCAGAGGAGCGACGCAGCTCGTCGCCGTGGCCCGGTGTTCCCTCCCCCTTCCTCGCTCACCTCGGTCCCCTCTCCCATTATTACATTGCTTGGCGCTGCTACTTCGTCGGTGTTAAATGTCACACTTTGTTGACCCCAGACCTCCACTCTGCCGGCATCTTTGCCGACCCTTGCGCCGCTGCTTGTCTGGTTTGTAGCCGGACGTGTCGTGCGATGTTACGCCTCCTCCGATCCATCGCGCAACGAGGCAAGGGATCGGTCGGTCTTGTTGGTTTGGGGAAACTCTCACGCCGTGAACTCGTCCGCGTGGACGTCTTTCGCTTTCGTGGTTCCTCTCGTACTACGGGTCGTGGATGTTTCTCGAGTTCCCGCCGTTTCCGTCCATGCGCGGGAGTTTCCCTTGATGAGGAATTTGCCAAACATCTCCAAGGCAGGAGGGGGACATCCTTTGACGAAAGAAGCTTGAGACTCGGTGGGGATTTCCGGCCTGAACGGCATCATGTTACTCATCGACCACTACTTTTTTCCCCGCACAAGGCGAAGAAGATGCGTCATGTTTATTTTTAATCGGCACGGTCGTCTTGGGTTCTAATGTTCGCATACTACGGACAGAGTGACGCGACCCAACTTCTGCGTCGCATGACTCAGCTCGGCTCACTCTTACCACTCGCATCCCCTTCGTGTCCTGTTACAGGTTTCGTTCTGGCGGTAATCTAAGCTTATCGTGCATCAGCTCTGGCCGATGGGCGCGGCAAGTCACAGCTTCGTGAGAATGTCGTACGAGTGGGAGTTGAGGCGGTACGCATGTGGGCGGCGTGTGACGGTGTGCGAGTGCATTACTGCAAGGTGCCTTGCAGGGACACGTGGTGTATTATTCCCTGGACGTGTGTAGTGACACCCGACACGGTAGTCTTCATTAATAGGAATCTTTATTTCTTCCAGCACGAGACACAGTCTTTAAAGATTTCCTTCACTCCAAGCGTCTCGAGCTTATCGCGTTTCCCCCCTCCTTATATATCCCTCAAGCCCCTTTCTCGAAGGTTCCTTGACCCACTTTCCCTCCAGCCAATCACCTTCCCACATTCTCTAACGAATCCCAACCGACCTCCTTGTCAATCATCCTCCGTTTCCCGCCCTTTTCATTTAGTATTTCCCCTATAATCCCCTTTCATCAATTTCCCCGCCTCTAACCAATCCCCTTTCAGGCCCGTTAAGTACCAATCAGAGGGCTTTGTTTTTGACGTCCTGATTATCCATGTCACGTGGTGTCCACCACGTCAGGTGGGTATCGTTGGTAGTGATGCAATCTCAACACTTGTAAATCCACCCAACCAGGGCAGTCACCTCACCACCGTGTGCAAATCTAACGATTTGACGTTACAAATGAATCGCTGGCAGCAGCCATGAATACGTGACTCGCCAAAACGGGGAATTGTGTGTAGAGGGTCGTGTGACCTGCCAATTTACTAAGCCCCACAACGGCGGCAGTCGTGAACGTAGAGCGGTGTCGGACGATGAGCATGTCCCGTCCCACGAACGGCGGCTTGGCACGCACAAGCGCACAAAGCGCGCAGTTGGCCAATGGAACAAGGGCATTTCGCAAGGGAAAAACGGCGTTCACGACGCCGCAGACGTTGTATCCGTAGCGATAATAGTGTTCAGTTTTGTATTGGCGTCGTGCATGCAAATCGTACCTCGCATTCGCCGAGGAAGCTGGAAGGCAGCGAAGCGGCGAGCGAGCATCAACAGTTGCGCGGGACTCTGTAGTCTTTTCATTAATTTGGTTTAATTCACGAGTGTGCTTACCTTAATAGGTGTTCGCAAGTAACACTTGCCCCAACACTCCAGGTCTGGGTATTGCATGTGCGTGTGTGTGCGGAGACAAAGGCGGCCGGGCGTGGTGTCGGCCACCCAACCCCTCGTGTGCCATGCCGGCCTTGATAGGTGCTCGCTAACAGCACTTACCCCAACAGTCTGTTTTCTATATGGGGGATATTTGCCTTTTTTGCGTGTTTTACGCCTATGTGGGGCATTGATTGTGTGTTTCGCGCGTGTGCAGCTATTGCGGTGCAGGCGTGGTGGCGCGGTCTCCTGGCGCGCAGGCACGCGGCACGCCGACGCTGGGCCGTGCTGGTCGTGCGCAAGTGAGTTGCTTGCACCCCTCTGTTCATCGCTATCACTACTCGCGTGGGGGGTGGGGGGGGCCCCGAAACCACCCCATGGCCTCAAGGACATCGTGTGGCCTCGGTCCCAGGACTTGGCTTCAAGGCACACCAGCCTTGAGACAGGCCTCGGGCAAAAGGGATCCGGCCCTGACCTCGATATAAGAGAGGATCTTGGCCTCGATATATTGGAGGATCCTGGCCCTGTAGCTTCAGGCCTCGGCCTCAGCCTTGGCCACGTGGGTCCCGGGCCTTCAGTCCAGGCCTTGTGTTCGAACGCAGGTTTTGTTTTAATATTCCCGGTTTAAGTTCCCCCGTCATGTTACGACGTTGAAAAGACTCTCGTTCAAAACTCTGCTGTGAGCAGTGCGTTACGTAATGTCGGAGGATCGGCCCCCAGAAGGTGACGTCGTCTCTGAAGTCCGTCTAGAAAGCCTTGTCTTGTGCCCTGTAAAAAGTTTATTCGATATCGAGCCAAAACGGGGTTGATCTTCCTTTTGTTAAAAACAAATTAAATGGGGTGCTTTCAATGCGGTCATTGATGACTGAGATGATATCATCAACCTACTACAATTAAGAACGCAGTTTAAATTCAGGGTGGCTAAAACCAGGAACGCATGATCTCAGCAGTGACCACACAGTGTTTTGATATCATGACTATACCATTGAGCAACCTTGCCACATCTTAAATTGTCATTTAAATGTGTACCAACTCGCTTTTGTACCATACCTTGAAAATTATAATGTTAAGCTGTTCAGTTTTTTTCTCCTCTGAGTAAGTTTTGGTAACAGAATTACCATGCATAGGCAAAAGATCTGACCTCTCCTAATCATTCAGGAAATATGTTCCTTTCATCAGCACAACCGGGTGCCACGGTGGCCAGGAGATGTTAACTACCTCGCCTGGTGTACAGGAGGTCGTGGGTTCGATCCTGACCCTGTGACGCATGCTGCTGTATATTTGGAGTTTGTGTGTGTCTCTCTCTCTCTCTGTGGTCGCATTGATTTTTCTCCGGGTCCTCCGGTTTTTCCCTCCACGTTTAGAATCAATATGCCTTTGGAGTATTTGGATGCTTTTAAACTTTCCACACGATAAGCCACTTTGTTGAGTCGTCGTTTTCTGGCCAGGTTAGCCAAGAGCTACATAGCTCGGTGGAGCTTACCTGGTTAAAATAAAAAAAAATTTGAGTTGGTTAAAATTCTAATGATCATGACTAAGTTAACGAGAATATTCCCACCTTTCACATTCACCTTTCACATCCACCAGTTTGCGTCTTTGAGGGGGCTGTGCGAGGCGTTTGTGTGTAAGTGGTTCCGCCGTTGTGCCCGCCCGCCCGCCCGCGCGCCGTTCAGGTTCGTCAGCGGCTTCTCCCACCGCCACAAGCCGCGGTGCCCCGAGAACGCCGACTTCCTCGACTTTGTCCGCGTCTCCTTCCTGCAGCGCCTGCGCTCCCAGCTGCCGCACAGCGTCCTCGACAAGGCCTGGCCGGTGCCGCCCCCTGCGCTCACCGAGGTAGCCACGACGCCCCACCGTGGCCAGCGCTGCGCGTGGGAGGGGGGGGGGGGTGTGGGGGGGGGGGCTTCCTTTTCTTAACCCCTCCTTAAAGAGAGGTGAAGGTGCAGCCCTGAAACGGACATCCTTGTGCCACTGTTGGCGGAAGGACCTTCACTCGAAGGAGGGAGGGGGGGGGGGCGGCTCTCGATAGAGACTCCCTCTGTGAAGTATTTTGGCCTAGCCCTTCCATGTTGGTCAGACATCTTGGAAGAGAAGGGAGTTACCGGGGTCAAGGACTGGTCAACTGCACGCGGCCCCCTGTCGTACTGACTAACAGTGGTGAACTCATTCATACTGGTGGGTGGACAGAGTTGGAAAGAGGTGTGGCGGGTCTTGGCCCATTGTGTTAACTGGCGCCCCGAGAGACCAAACTGGTGTGACCTCTGCACTGCGCAAGTCCGGTGTGCTCACCGTCGCACCACGGCAGCATCCTCCCTTCTTGGCGGAGGCTCACCGTGTCGACCCGTCACCGTTTACCCCGTGTTCTCTTGCACAGGGAAATTGAGTTTTCAGGTCCAACACGGCGTACAGCCGTTTCAATACGGGCAAAAAACATTGCCTATTTGTTTGTGTTTCTCCCTTGTGAAGGGACTTTGTAGGATAAACTTTGAGATTTATAAGTGGCACGGGGTGACCGATAAGGTCTGAATTGGTCAGTAATGAGGTACGGCACTGATAAGGGGTTGACAGCTTTGTGGAGGGTGCCTGGAAAATTCATCGTGTGGTCGCCGTGTGGCTCAGGGAGGGTTTGATGCACCGGGTTTTCAAGTCGAGAGGTAGACGGTCTCGGCCCGGTCACCAATGACTACACAAAAATCCCACAATATAAAATTTATATCTGCCGTTAAATTTGCAGACATTACCGCTCTTAAGAATGAGGGAAAAAAAGTTGGTTTCGCTGCTGGGCGAGGAACGCTATTCTCTGCAGCTTTGCCCTATTACATGCATATCGTGGGGCTGTCACGTGACATGCAAGGCATCATGGGAGGACCGATCCAATGGTCACAGTTGTGCCTTTTGCTGTCGAATAAATCACCACGTGCAGTGTGGTATCTCTCTTTATTTGTTTCCAGCCTGCACACAGGCTGGAAACAACTGCTAATACTTTAGTTTATAGAAAGTATTAGCATTGGGCTTTTTTTACGGTGCAAACAAGATAGCACAAATACAAACACTTCTTGAACTGTGACCCTGAATCCACAGCACCTTCGTACGTTTTGGGTGTGCATCTCTTTTAAGCCCACGCATTCGGGCATGAAGTAAATACGAGCTTTATTTGTTGTACTTTAAATGTTTGACGCTGCTCCTCGGTCGGTGTCGTCGCCGCTGCTGCAGGCCTCGGATCAGCTGAGGACACTGTGCATGCAGAACATGGTGCGGAGCTACTGCAAGAAGATCAGCCCCGAGCGCAAGCGACAGGTGAAGGAGCACGACTCATGTGTGCGCTCTGCAGCACGTGGCAGCGGCAGCAGCAGCAGCAGCGCGGACCGGCACGAACACCCCCACGTGTCCACAAGCAATCTGAGCGGACTGATTGATGTGAAGTGTTCGGTCCTGAACATCGCCCCCCTCCTCTACCTCCTCCCCCCCCCCCTTTAACACTGATCGGCAATGCTGCTGAAGTGTTGGGTCAAACAAGCGCTAATGACCGACACAATGTGGGAAGGCTTTCATCATTTGGACCGCATGACACCAGCACTCCATTGCCTCCCCATTTAGAACGACATCAGGGGATCTTTAACCTCCACTGTGAAGCAGAGAGGGCCACGTGTTTCAATGGTGAATGCACCCGCAGTATTAACCAGGGGCGGCCTGCCGGATTCGGACCACGAACCTCTGCTACAAGCGGCGAAACACCCTTCCCCCGCTGCGCCATGTCACCGCGACAGGCTCGTCACACCGGTTGACTGGTAGGTGTTGGTCTTGCTGGTGGTGTGTGCACGTAGCTGGAGCAGAAGGAGTTGGCCAGCCGGCTCTTCAAGGGACGCAAGGACAACTACCCGCAGAGCGTGCCCAAGCCGTTTGCAGACACCCGACTGAGTACGTATCTCTCGCACGCGCAAAGACAAAGATCCCCCCCTCCCCCTTAGAGCCTTTAGCACGCTTTTGGGGCAAGTGCTGTTAGCGAGCACCTATGAAGGCCAGCACGGCACACGAGGTGGTGGGTGGCCAGCACCACGCCTGACCGCCTTTGTCTCCCCAGTGGCGATGCTTACACATCGCACAAGGTGCTGATTTGAGGCTGAGTCGACCTCGGGGAGCCCGAGGACCGGTTTAGATAATCTTCACCGGTGTTGGCCGTGAGCGGGACTCAAACTCGGGTCGTCGGGTTCTGTAGCGCAGCGCGCTCACCGCTACACAGGCACACGCCTACACACGTGAGCACGTACACACACACAAAGGCAAAGGTCCGCCGTATAGCCTTTCCAGACTTGTGGGGCAAGTGCGGTTAGAGAGCACTTGTGAAGACCGGCAAGGCACACGTGGAGGTGTGTGGCCAGCACCATGCACGGTCGCCTCGGCTGCCCCCAGTGGATCTCACAATCGCCCAGCCACCGCGTACTCCGTTCAGTGACCAGCCACACATTCATGCAGACACCGCCAGCCGCCTGTCCCTGTTGTAAGTGTACACCTAGGACTTCGATTGTTTTACGTACGTTTTGTGTCGAATAGAACTGTGTTTTTTTTTCCTGAATAGCCACTTAAAACGATGTAAATCGTCTTGTTTTACAGATAACAGTGACATCAACCCTAAAGTCCTGCAAGCAATTCGGCAACAGCAAAGTCAAGGTAATATGACAAAGACAAAGATCCCCCATATAGCCTTTAAGACTGTTTGGGCAAGTGCTGTTAGTGAGCACCTATTAAGGCCTGGCACGGCACACTGGGGGGTTTGTGGCCAGCACTGCACCTCACTGCCTTTGTCCTCAGTGCTGATGTGGACACACTGCACCAGATACTTATTTCAGGCTGAGTCGACCCAGGGGAAGACCCATGACCAGTTCAGATATTTGTCACCAATGTTGGTTGTTAGCGGGAATCAAACTCGGATGATTGGATTCGTAGTGAAGTGAAGTAAGAGTCACAAAGCGTTGTAATCGGTTCACGGAAACCCTGCAGCCACGCGATTTTACGTCCTCCACAAAAAGCAAACTGAGAATCGATTCTTGACGAGGATCGCGACCCACGATCACCCAATTCTATGAATCACTGCGAGGGTGAATGGCTGACACAGGGCAGCAGGACACACAAATGTGGCACTGTGTGAGCCCGTGACACTCAGTATACACACACACAGGGCAGCAGACACACACTGTGGCACCATCAGCCCGTGACACTCAGTATATACACACAGGGCAGCAGACACGGCTGAGTGTTTCTTCGCCGTGCCACCAAACAAAATCGGTCGGTCACTCGCATGACAGCGGGCTGCTCGTTTCCCTCTTGCGCAGTACGGCGTGCCGGTGACCAAGTACGACCGGCACGGCTACAAGCCGCGCGTGCGTCAGCTGTTGCTGTCGGACCAGGTCGTCTACGTGGCGGAGGAGGGAAAGCTGAAGCAGAGCATCGACTACAGCCAGCTGGCCGGTGAGCAGCTCGCAGCACGCTCGGCTCGGCACAAATCGGTTTGGATTTGTGTAGCGCACAGATGCAAATTCATCTTGAGAGGCTGCGTGCACGCTGCACAAAGACAAGTGCTGTTAGCGATTGTAAATTGTAAATGTTGCGGGTTTACTCTCCAACACACCGGTTTGCTGAACTAGTAACGAATCGGCACGTTTTGTTCACGTGACAAACCTTACTCTGTTTGGCTGTCGCTGGCTGGCGGGTTTAATGACACATTTATATTTATGCGATCTAACCCAAAAACCTCTGTTATAGCGAGTAGCACCTATTGCAGGCCGGCACGGCACACGAAGGGGGTGGGTGGCCAGAACCACACCCGACCACCTTTGTCTCCCGAGTGGCAAAGTATACACACTGCACCAGGTTCTCATTTGAGGCCGAGTCGACCTAGGGGAGGAGAACCAGGACCGGTTTAGATAATCATCACTGGGTGTTGGCCATGAGCGGGACTCAAACTCTGTTCGCCAGGTTCATAGCGCAGCGCGCTAACCGCTACACTACCGCTCCCCACATACACACGCATACACACGGACAGACGATAGGACGTCTGTTAATGTTTTGCCGTGCTTCCAGGCAGAGGTGGGACAAAGTCATTGTTATGCAAGTCCAAGTCGAGTCTGAAGTCATCAAATTCATGACTCGAGTCTGACTCGAGTCCAAGTCACATGACTCGAGTCCACACCTCAGAGGTGGGACAAAGTCATTGTTATGCAAGTCCAAATCGAGTCTCAAGTCATCAAATTCATGACTCGAGTCTGACTCGAGTCCAAGTCACATGACTCGAGTCCACACCTCAGAGGTGGGACAAAGTCATTGTTATGCAAGTCCAAGTCGAGTCTCAAGTCATCAAATTCATGACTCGAGTCTGACTCGAGTCCAAGTCACATGACTCGAGTCCACACCTCAGAGGTGGGACAAAGTCATTGTTATGCAAGTCCAAGTCGAGTCTCAAGTCATCAAATTCATGACTCGAGTCTGACTCGAGTCCAAGTCACATGACTCGAGTCCACACCTCAGAGGTGGGACAAAGTCATTGTTATGCAAGTCCAAGTCGAGTCTCAAGTCATCAAATTCATGACTCGAGTCTGACTCGAGTCCAAGTCACATGACTCGAGTCCACACCTCTGCTTCCAGGCACACAGAGGCAGAGGGCACAAACAACAGCGTGGTTTCATTTCATGTTGTGCGCACTTTGTTTTGCACTTCGGCCTGCGACACCCAAATCGCCTGGAACGCGCCCAGTCTTATTGAGATGTCGGGAGCGAAGCAGGCTTCGATGGCTGTGCCTCGATATTATGAGTCGTGGGGCACGCATCAGTGTTCCGCTGCAGACACTCTCATGCCTGTGTAAGCAAAGCATGCTTGTGCCTATGAGTGCGCACGTGTACACATGCCTGTATATACAGGGACTTCTCTACTAACGAACGAGTTAGTTCCAGGGGTCTGTTCGTAAGTCCAACTTTACTCCTGCCGATTCCAAACGTGTTGTACGGCGTGTACACTAAACACAGGGGAATTGCTTTACACGTTATAGAATCTCCTGTAGATGTAGATGCCACTGGTTCTTCACGTTCTGCAGATGTAGATGCCACCACCGCCATCTATTGCGCAGGAGTTGAACTTACGTACTTTCGGTCCGAACAGGCAACTGGACATACGGACCAGGTTTGTTCATATCTCTGAAAGTTCGTCAGTCGAATGTTTGAAATTAGAGAAGTCCCTGTACTGCATTTGCCTAAACACACGCGCACACCCTCAAAACAAATGTGGGTTTTTTTTCTTACCTAGTTCGTCTTGAAATGATACCCATATCGTTGGCCCTTTGATCGTCTTGTTAGCCCGTGGCCATGTTAATAACGAATGTACATTCAGTCCTTTATACCAGGCGTGTAAACCGAACACCTCGTTTGTATTCATTGCTCACTCGTCAAATACTCCGCACTGACCACACCCAGTCGAGTCACACTTCGCCTCATTTGCTCTCTTGCCACTTAGACAATTCCCGTATTCTACAAATTATGAGACGATCCGGAATGTAAGACGCTCGCCCGTCCACCCGCCCGCCCGCCCGCCCCCCTCCATCAAATTAAACTAAAACAATTTTTATTTTACCAGGTAAGGCCCACTGAGCTGTATATAGCTCCTTCTCAGAAGCGAGCTCGCCATCACAAATGATAGCTCAACGAAGTGGCTTATCAATGTGGAAATGTATAGCAGCAGCCAAATGCTCTAAACGCGTGATGTTGATTCTAAACGTGGAGGGGAAAAGCCGGAGGACCCAAAGAAAAATCCACGCGACCGCGGGGAGAGAGAGACTTGCAGACTTCAATTATATAGGCGTCAGGGTCGGGATCGAAATCACAACCTCCTGTATACCATGCGAGCTAGTTAACATCTCGCCACCACGGCGCACACATTTTAAGTTACACAAATTTAGCCACACATCTGCCGGGTTATACTATGCACCCCCCAACCTTTACAAGAGGAGGTGGACGTGCATGTCATTATAATCGTTAATAAGCGTTAATAACCAGCAAAGTTGTACAAAGATACTCGGGATGCGTGTGCTGCTGTGGGTGGATTTGTGATCAATAACGATGGACGACAGTCCGTCTTGCCACTTTGCCGTCGATCACTCTTCGACCTTTCAACGCCGTTGTATTTCCAGCAGCATTTCTTTCTCGAGCCTCACTGCTGATGAGATTCGGAAGGCCAAAACCAGCCCCACAGTTTGCTTGCGTAAACACATTTTGAGGAATAATATTGGTCTGTAGAGTCAACAGACTGATGGACTAAAATACATCTTTGAATGCATGCGTGTGGAGAGATTAACAGGCGTGTGCGTGCGTGTGTGTGTACGTGCGTTTCTGTCTGACAGGCATCTCGGTGAGCTCGCTGAGCGACGGTCTCTTTGTTCTCCACGTGCCTTGTGAAGACAACAAGCAGAAGGCAGGCCTGCACCCGGTCGCACTTGGCAGACTTTTGTATTTACTCTTTTTTGAAATGTGACCAGAGAAATACTGATATTGACCAACGCCATTTTCTCTTCTCAATGGCCCAGCCTACGAAATAAGCAAGAGGGGATGACAAAGTTTACGTTCCCATAGCGGAATTTTTCGTCGCACAATCTTTCACGAGTCCTCTCCTCAACAGAGTCAGGCCTTAGCCTCAAACTCCCGCAACTCTGACGTAATTGAATCATTATAATAATTATATAGCCCAGGAAGTTGGGACTAAAGTTAAGTGAGATTGCAATTAACATATTTGTAATTTTATTTTGTAAATTACCTTGCCAATGTATGTTTTAAAGGGACACGTATGAGTGGTCACTGAAACAATTGATTTAAATTTTTGTATGTTTGTATATGTGTATAAATATATATGTGGGGAGCGGTTAGCGCACTGCGCTATCAACCCGGCGACTCGAGTTCGATTCCGGCTCACGGCCAACACCAGTGACGATTACTTGAACTGTTCCTGGGCCCCGCCTAGGTTGACTCGGCCTCAAATGAGTACCTGGTGCGATGTGTAAAAACATGGCCACTAGGGAGGCAAAGGCGGCCGGGCGTGGTGCTGGTCACCCACCCCCTCGTATGTCGTGCCAGGCCTTCATACGTGCTCGCTAACAGCACTTGCCCCAACAGTCTGTTACAGGCTATACGGGGGAATCTTTATCTTAGTTTTTTTCTACGTGTGTACGTACGCATGCAGGAAGCACAATTGAATGATGAGTTTTGAGACGAGGTTCTGCTGTGTCTCTCGTGTGTCCCTCGTTTGCACCGCTCCCTGTGGGCTCCTGCAGGGAGACGTGGTGCTGCAGAGTGACTACATAATCGAGACTCTCACCAAACTCGCCATGATCGCGAAGAAATCGGACAACATCAACATCACCCAGGGCAGGTGTGTAGGCATTGCACAGCACCACACGCACATGTGTACGTGCGTACGTATGTGTACTGTATGTTGAACTTCTATTCGCACCGTAAGTAGCCAACCGTCACTCGATCGTGTAACACCGTCGCTAGGGTCGGGAAACATACGGGTTAGCAGGGGGTAACCTGCGAGTACGTCCACAGTAGGGGGGGGGGGCAACGTTGCCGCTGTGCCGTAGTCCAAATTGAGTAGTTTTGCAGGTCTCAGTGTCAGCGTTGGGATGTTGAGCCAATAGCGGTTACGTGGCATGCTGCCTTAGCCTTGGGAGGACACCGGAGACGCCCCGGAGAAAACCCACGCGGAGCAGGGAGAGAAGGTGCAGAGACCTCGCGGGGAATCGAACCTCGCCACCCGATGAGGACCATCCGAGTTGCGCGCCGATGCCCCCTCCCCGCGCTGCCACAGCGGCGCGTTGCGTCGGCGTGTGGTACACACGGCGAACTTGCCGATTGCGGTCTCCTGATCCGTGTCCTGTGGTGCGTGTTGTGTTGCACGCACGCACGCGCGCCCTCTCTCCCGTTGTGTGGCGCAGCATCAAGTTCAGCTCTGGGCCGGGCAAGGAGGGAACCATTGAGTTCTCGTCGGGCTCGGAGCTCATCGTGGGCAAGGCAAAGAATGGCCACCTCTCCGTGGTGAGTTGAACCTACGGTTTACCACTAAGTGTGGATGAAGGGACGTCGGAAGTGGTTCTGTAACGTCATCTTCCAGGGATGCCCTCTAACACTGGGTGGTGCGCCGCTCACTGCAAAAGTTCATGCTGGGCAATGCCTCTGTCTCATGGCACGATGCAGATAGCACAGTAACTGGGAGGGGAATAAAAACAAGTAAACCCGTAAAAACAAAGTTTTTCACTATAAATCCTTTATATGCGTGGCGGCTAGAGTCCTCTCGTCCTCTGGCTTGAGATGGCTGCCACCTATGGGTCAGATGATTGTCTGCCAGTATTAAGCAATTGGTAATTAAATATTTAATTTGTTTTCCCTAAACAGTGTAAAATTTTTGAATTTTTTTTCACGAAAATTAATTGTCACACACAACGAGTCTGTGTGGAAAATGTCAGCTCGATTGGATCACGGGAAGTGGGTTAAAAAACGAGCGAAAGATTTGCACAGTCCTAAGCAAGCAAGCGAACTTAATATAAAGGATTTAAAAATATATTCGCCTGTGGAGGACGCGGGGATCGATCCCGCGACCTTTGGCATGGGAAGCGAGGGCGCTACCAACTGCGCTACTCCGCCACGGCCTGTGGAGGGGTTACGCTCTGGGCTCTTACACTGTGACGTTCAGCCAAAGCCATGAATGAGTTATATTTGAATATATGTATAATAAAATGTTTTTGCCTAAAAAGTGTAACATTTTGGGAATTTTGTTTCACGAACATTAATTGTCTGGCACAACGAGTCTGTGTGGAAAATGTCAGCTCGATTGGATCACGGGAAGTGGGTTAAAAAACGACCGAAAGATTTGCACGGTCGTAAGCAAGCAAGCACGCAAGCAAGCACGCAAGCAAGCAAGCAAGCGAACTTAATATAAAGGATTTAAAAACAATATTGTCATATGTAGGCCTTCCGAACCCCCCCCAAGCCTCCACCACTTCTCATGATCCGACGATGCATCGATGTCCCGAACACCTGCACGTGGAATTGTTGCAACCCGAGTACATACGTGGTTTACATTTAAGGACTGGTGAACGGAGACACGTGAGCGTTGGGGGCGATGACGGCTTGACCTAGGCCGCATTCGCTCACATGTCCCCTGTGTGCTCCTCTGTTTCCCCAGGTCGCTCCGCGTCTCAACTCGAGATGATGTGGCTGCTGCATCCCTCGCGGTGGGAGGAGGGGTGGGGTGGGGGGTGGGGGTGGTGGGAGGGAGACCGCAAGTGGGGGGGTGGGGGGGGAGCACCGTTCCTCGCACAGTGGAAGAAGACCCACTTCTCCCGGCATCTTAAGGCTAACCGTGGACCAGCCATGAGCTCACCGACCGCTGCGCATTTATTATCGATAGTTCACTTATCTCGTTGTGTGCGTGTGTGATTTTTTTTGTAATTCTTTTTGTTGCATACTTCCTCGAGTATAATTGTTCATGTGTGTGAGATTGCATCTTCACGATCCATAGCTCGACAGGGGAACCCATGGGCCACTCACAAAAGTGGGGCACTGTCCTTTTTTTTATAGATACGCACCCCATGTGTTTTTTGGAGAGCAGTAATGCAATCTGTTGAGGCGGACTGACACTAATGCCAAAAGGATGTGTACGAGTGGCTTAAAAATATGTTGTCGAAGATTGTGATTTGTGAAACGGTGCGTCGGGCGGGAGGGGCGGGGAGGGCCTTCGGCGTCGGGTCTTGAGACTTCTTTCTTTCGCAACACGAAAACTAAATATATTTCTGAGGAATCCTAAACGATGACTTTGTGAGGCAGCTTGAGATTAGATGAGCTTGCTTTGCTTCCCTTCGACAAATCATGCTGGGAGTGACCTAAAGCCATTAAGATTCCATAAAAAAACCGGCACGTTTCTTTCGGCCTAGTGATATAGGCTCCACGTCCGCAAGCTTTAACGTCGGCGCTCACTCTGCACTCGTCCTTAATGCCGAGGAATTAATCAAAAGTTGCTGCAAAGGTCGTACGGGAGAGGTTCCTCATCTCTTTCTACGCCGGTGGTGGTGGTGGTGGTGGTTTTGGAAAGAGGCTGCTCTGTTTCTGTAATCTGCACCGATGCCAAAATATAATGCCGGATCAATGCATAGTGATAAAGCACGTGGCATATGGCTCCTGTTAAACTATGTTTCCCTTTTTGTCACACTTAATTTCCTTGTACATTTTGTCCGATTCATAGGTTTTGTAAACGTGAGGAAAGCGTTGGCACGGAGTAGTTCGGTTGCCTGCCATGGCCGACACCGATGGCGAGCGATATCTGAACTGGTCCAGGGCTTCCCTCTTGAACCAACTGCCACTAACCATTGCGGGGAAGTACGGTCAAAAGCCGTGACAGACACAGCAAGAGGGGGGGGGGGGGTGGAGCCATTTGATTGGCCTGAAAATTATAATTGTGTTATCTGTAAACACATTTCCTCTAAATATCTTTCTCATCCATTCTGTGTGCTTCACTTTTGTCTGTAAAAATGTCTCTTCTCCAGAGCAACATATAGTGCCAGCCCATACCCATCTAACACAGGCTACCATCTGCCATACAATCAGGGGAATGTGTGAGATACGCGCCATCCGACGACGCCAATGAGATCATCATTTCGTGACCGTGATCTCACACGGTTTGGAAGATCGCGTGATAAGTGGACGTCATTTCATTCCGCGCACACAAATCGCATTAAATCCGTTGACGTTATGTTTTTCAGATGTGGAATCCAACCGATAATAATAGCACACACTTCATTGTCTCTGTATTCGCCGGCGATGATCACCGTAATGTGACGCGATTCTCTTACCGTGCGCGCGCGTGGCATCGGTTGGCGCCAGCGTCACGGTTACCGGCGCCGCGTGCCACGGCAGTTTTGCTCGTCGCCTGCGGTGTGAAGCCAAACTGCCAAAAAAAAACATAAACAAGCCACGAAAATTTGAAGAGAGCCATACTGGGAGCACTTATCCAAGGAGAGGCGACGTCTCTTTGAAAAAAAAAAAAGCCCCGAAGAAAATGAGGTTATAATGGGGCGAAAAAAAAATGTTTGTGCAATTTGGGGAAAATTGTAATTCTCTTTATTGTGCTGCTTTGCCTTTCAATCAAACTGCATTTATTCCTTAAAACATGTTGCTATGATATTATCGATGTATGTACGTCAGGCTAATGAAACTCAATTTCGCTGCGTCATTGGCACACGTGTGCGTGTGTGTGTTGTCTTGAGAGTTCAAAACCAATGTCGAGGGGGAAGTTGGATTCACCTGGCCCCTGGTGACGGCTCTCCTGCCGTCCCATCAGCCACCTGTGGGTTGCCCTGCCACTTTACCGGCGAGCTCCTCCAGAGAGAAAAACTCCCGTTGAATGGACGCAAACTTTCTTGACTCTTTCCGTTAGGTTCGCAGTTCAGTCCAAGCGTCTCCCTGTTCCAACAAGCGTTGGGCAGTGCCTTCCCCCCACCTCCCTCCTCTGCTGGCAGCCCTGAATTTGTTGAACAAACCAGACTGCTGGTAAAGAGACCCCAGGAGATGGAAATCTTTCCAGAGTTTGCTTGCTTAAACAGTAATGATGCTGGATAACGTTGGTCTTGGAGAGCTACCGAATGGGGCTGATGGAACAGATCAGACTTTCTGCTTGTATGTGCGAACATTTCCACATTCTCCATTCCTGTGGTGGGGGAGGAGGGTGGGGCCCAGTCGATATACCACGACCACTGTTGACCTAGAAACTTTCGCAACCATTTACTGACCACGGCGAGACGATGGGTGGGAATTTATGAACCCCCCTCCCCCCACCACCCCCTGCACTGCAGTTTGAACTCCCACCGTTCTGACCGTGACGCGAGCGATTTTTTTTTTTGTGTTTGATGACCACAGCGCCCGCTGGCCGCGTTCTGTTGGATCGTCGGTGCCCGTCGCTGCGTCGCCGCGAGCGAGTCGCTTCGTGGGCGGTCAGCGGTGACGTTCCCGTGGCCCGGCCGATTTTGTCGTCCTCCCGTTGACGCTTCCGACTGCGCTACGCGGACCGCGGGCTGATTTCCGTCTCTTGACTTCTGATTGTTGTAAAGTAAGAAAAAAAAATTACCGGTCTCTTCGTCGCTTAACAAGGGGGGGGTGGGGGAAGGGGTGGGCTTGGGGGAACGTTGGTTGGCAAAGTCTTCGATGAGTTTTTTTTGGGCCGTTTGCTCAAGTTGGGAACCTGTTCCCCACCCACGTGTCACCGGACGTCTGGCGGACTGGCGAAAGAGCGTTCATTGCAACAACGTGATTGTCACATTTATTAAATGCAAGTTTGAAAAACCGAAGTGATTTTCCGTTATCAAGTGGATTGTGCATTGTGAGCGATGATACATTTGGGGTGGGTGGGTGGGAATTCAACGTTCCTGTGATGTGGTGAGACCATCTACAGGAAATCCGCTGCGAGTCGGGATGACGGCAAGGGGGATAGTCGGGGGTGTCCCACTGCAGGGGAGACTGCATTCTGAAGGTGTGACGAGAAGTGTTTTGAAAGAGGCCACTGTAATATGTGACGGGCACCTCGAGCAATATTTATCAAAAACTCACATCACCTACGATCTCGAATCCTTGTTGAATTGACCGTGGCTGTGCAGAATGATTTCGGGACCATAATTGTCACATGGTATGGTAATATTAGCAGTGTATTGCGTCTCCCGTGCCCTTTACAGCATGATTTTAATCTACGTGATGTATTCTGTTCTTTGGGTCTTTCGGTAAAGCCACGTAGATAGAAAAATAATACAATTATCACGGCGTTTCGATCGCAACGCAAGCAATCGTCATCGGGTGAAAAAATACAGCGGGAGATTTGCTGAAACACGAAAAGAGTTGCTGTGGAAACTGTCCCCGTAGAGGCGTCGTGATAATTGTATTTTTATATCTCCGTGGCGTTACCGAAAGACCCAAAGAGTACGTGATGTTTCAAAGAATGAGGCGTGCTACCTTACGTGGTGTTAGTAGGAGGCACAGGAGGAGATGCATGGATGTGTGCGCGTGCTTTCAGACCCACTAAGGTGCATTTATGGGGGGTGCGTGGTGAAAAGTTGCGTTTTTTGTGACCGAGATTGAGGATTTGTGAGCAGTTGCTGTAGTCTTCTTGGTTCTTTCGGTAAAGTCACGTAGAATGGAAATAATAAAATAATAAAAATTAAAACACATTCAGACTCTGTCTTCTCGACAGACCTGTTCTCCACCTGAAGACGGCTGCTTGCGTTGTGGCCGAAACGTCGTGAGAATTATTTTATAATGGTAAATTTTTATTATTTTATTATTTCCATTCTACGTGACTTTACCGAACGAACCAAGAAGATGAATTCCTGCAGTCACGAAAGCTTTAAATCGAAATTTAGTTGGTGTAGATTGACGCTTTGCCTTCACGACGCACTGACATTGCGTTGAGAAGCGATCGAGCTTCAGGCTCGTCCTCTATGTTTAGGCACGACAAGTCGATAAAGGTTGAGACGTGGCCTTAGTAGTAGGTGGTCTTACAACAGGGGTGGGGAACGTCCGGCCCGCGGGCTGTATGAGGTCCGCGAAATCATTTGGTGTGGCCCTGCCAAGGCAACCGCAGGCGGGACTCGAAATTCAATAAACCTCTAGGAGCAAACCTGGAAAAGCAGTTGCGAGTAGCAGCAACATCATCAATAGCAGCTAACATCACACGCCTCGCCAAAGAGAAGCAGTTCCAGCCATCGCATTAGGGGCGAGTTAATTAACTGTTTGACCAAATATAACGGGCTAATTTTTAAGTTGATAATTTTGCATGGCCCGCGAATGATGTGATAAATATCCAAATGGCCCTTGGCAGAAAAAAAGTTCCCCACCCCTGCCTGAGAAGGAGAGAGGGAGGAGAGGGGTGGCACTTGCAGAGGGTGGTAACTGAGGGTACAGGTTGGACCAAGTTCAATTGTGGGCGTTGGCTTGTACAACGGGAGCCGGCTTGCATCAACTTGTCCGCTGTTGACGGCTGGGATGCTGCCTCCCGAGTCGGCCAGCTGCATTCACGCTGCGTCCAGCAGCTCCGAGGCACGCCGGCCCCATCGCCACCCATGGCCATTGAAGTCGCAAAACCCAAAGTCGCTTTTCCCTGCTCAAACGAGCAGCGTGGGGGGCTAAGGCAGGTGGTGGCCCTGATCCCGTGATGGATGTACCACGGCGCTGGTCACCGCGAGGTGCCACTTTCTTCTCTGCGGCAAAGTTCGTGCAAAGCCGTCGCCACGTGGCGCGCGTCGCGACGTTGTTGCCGTCAAGTTCAAGACGAGGGCACCGAAAGAGAGAGAGGTTTGCCGGTGGTGGGGGGGGGCGGTCACCGCTTACGCAGCGGTGTTCGTAACGTCGCTGCGCAAAGCCGTGCGAGGTGCCGGGTGCGTCGTCGTTGTGCACATTTACATGCGCTACCAGAAGCCTCGCGCGATGCTTGTTGAAACGGCCTTGCACCGAAATGCCCGCGGTGAAGAGCGCAGGACAACAACACTCGAGCTGGAGCGGTAGGAGGTGGTGGCACCTCGGGTGTGAGGGGTGGGACAAGTGCTCTAGGAGGGCTCTCGCACCCCCCCCCCCACCCCGAAAGGGACCTGTCTTGCCCCATGGCTCAGAGCCCCTGGGTGAGACCGCGACTCCCACTGCCTTCTCGATTCAAGTTTCCAAGTTTCATGTATTAGGTGTAGCCCTGTGAGAGCCATGCGGCTCTTGAGTCGGGTGCAACCGCAACAAACAAAATATGAACAGAGGACATCTGAAAGCGACGATGTGGACGCTTTTGCTCGTCACCGCTGTCGTTGACGTCTCTTGACGCGTGCGTTTGACGCTGTGGCTTTCACGGGCGCACAAAACTCAAAAAAACTCATGACGTTCAGCTCTATGGCGCTACGAACCTGGCGACCCGGGTTTCGATTCCCGCTCACGGCCAAGTGACGATTATCTGAATCGGTCCTGGGACTCCCCTAGGTCGACTCAGCCTCAAATGCGTAGCTGGTGCGATGTGTAAAACATCGCCACTCGGGAGGCAAAGGCGGCCGGGCGTGGTGTTGGCCACCCACCCCCCTCGTGTGCCGTGCCGGCCTTCGTAGGTGCTCGCTAACAACACTTGCCCCAACAGTCTGTTACAGGCTACACGGGGATCTTTGTTGCCGTACACCCCCACACAGAGATGCCCTTGCCGGACACGGCAATCGGCCACTTGCCGTGAGTCCGGGATGTGTTTCGTGCACAGAAGTTCTGGCCGCCGATCCTTGTGTGCGATCGGCGAACTTTTGAACGTGATCGTTTGGACCGCATGCATTATTAAACAACAGGCAACGACTGTTTTAGTGATCGATCAGACGCAGACCATCATAGTACATCTCCCTTGCCGGGTGCCACCACAAAGAGCTGGAAATACTTCACTGCTACCGATTTATGCGGCCAGTAAAATGTAAATTGTACGATAAACATTACCCGCTTGCAAAAAAAGGTTATCACTTAATTTGCTTGTATTGAGCAGGGAAATGCAATGAGTAGGGATGCTGTGACAAGCAGGAATAAAACAGGGACCTTCAGGCGGTGACTGTGGTTCAGTGTGGTTGATTTCAATCAATGAGGTTTCGAGATCGAGGGTAAATAAAGTACCGCTTATGGGAAGTCCACAGTGGTTCTTGTAGAGAGAAAACTCAACACATTCGCCAAAAACAGTGGCCTTAAAATGAAAAATACATCATTCAAATTATCATGCGCATTCTATCCTAAGGTTCCAATGCACAATGCATGCAAATCAGGAAACAAAAACAGCCAGGGGCAACCGATCCAAACTAAAGAGGGAAGGCCACTTTAAAGAGATGGGTTTTCAAAGCAGAATTAAATACAGGGTGCTTCAAAAAATGTGAACACTTCTGAGAATTTGCAACAATGCCGCAAGAAATGTACCTCCAGGCTCTGGAGACCACCTGGAGAAGATTCCAGGCACGCGTTGACAATGATGGCGAACAATTGTAGACTGACTTTTTAAAGCTATTAACACATATTTGTTATCACGTAACAGTGTATTATTCGCTCTTTTTCCATTAAAAACGATAGTCTCATGTAAGCGTTAACATTTTTTTGAAGCACCCCGTAGATACTGATATAGGCGACATTTTGGGCAACCAAGCCGTTGTCTTCACAGCACACAAATGCATGCGCTTCTAGACTCACCCCTGCCATAGGAACCTGCCATTTCCACCACCAGCTTCAAGGGGGCTGTTAACAGGCGACGCATTGCATCGACCGGGGGTGGGGGGGGTGTCATTCGCTGTTTGTGTCTGTGTATGCGCACGCACGCACGGGTCACCTCGAGTTCAACACAAAAGACAGCGCGTGTGGGACCAGCTTTGCTAAAGTGCCATTTTTATTATTTATTCATATTCATTAAACGAACCCCCGCCCCCTCCGTGGAACCTTTTACACATTCCTGAGCGGTTGTATTTGCTGTCAAGTTGGAACAAAAAAAAAGTTTATTTTTAAAGCTCCACTCAGTGACTTCTACTCGAGCATGCACACACACACACGCACACGCGCGCGGGCACGCACGCGCTTGTTATTTGCACGCAATAACAATTATTGACAATAAAATAATCAGTGCACTTTACAGTTCAAATCTCAGTGTCCGTTCGCACAACGTGGTGTATAAATCTTCCAAAAGAAAGTTGTCATTAGGAAAACACATACGGGCAAAAAGCATCTTAAAAGTTGTAAAAGTAAATATGAAGCCTGGATAAAATCACAACTACAGTAATCATATCGTCGAAATCATTGCACAGGCTCGTTTCGCCGGGCATCCGGTATTCAAATGTCGATTAACCTCAAAGGGACCGCGGAAGCCAAAACGGGCTAAATCACTCTCTCAAAAAATAAATGTTTACACGGGCTTTTCATATTCTCTTCGGTCCACGGCAGATGCATTAAAATTTCACTCCGATAGTGAAGGGCTGAAAGTTTGGAACTCTCATTATGTTTGGATCGCCTAAGGAAAAAGCAAGATGCAAATCATCACACTTATCCGCCCCATGCGTATGAGCTGACTTGGCAAAAGTGTGCGACAATCCAGTAGGAACTAGGTGCTCAAGAATCATCATCTACGTCTGGGATAGAGACCGTCTGTAACTGTCCTACTCATGCACAACTAGAAGGATAACAATGCAACAAAGAACAGCGCTTTCGGCAAGAATGCGTGACACTCTCAACGCACACATTGAGCGAGGGGCATACGCAGCCACAACGAAAAACACAACCTGAAGATGGCTCTATGAAAGTCGAATATTAATTTACTGCATTTCAAATGCGTTCCAACGAAGCAAACGTGAAAAAAAAAAATTGGGCCAGAAACCGCACTCACTTGCCCTCTCACCCTTATCCGCACTGGGCGGAAATACATTTCAGACATATGTTGTGGCACTCGTCAATATCGCTCGCCCTTAATTGGTTTCAATCGGATTCTTTTTTTTTTAACGCATTTTGTGTCACATCTTGTTTTTCGACCGTGAAAATCAATGCAATTAACAAAGTGCATTTCACACGCACAGACAAACTCTTACAAAGCACTTACGCCTTCAACGATGCGCGGCAGAAGGACTACTTGAAATAAGCGTGTTATCAAAGAAACCTTTAATACCGGCCACTAATTAAAAAAAAAACTGCATCAGTAAGGCATTTCAAAGTCTTTGAATGGCCACCAAATTATTTGACACGGAAATTATGGAAATCGGTTGACATCGTTGGCTGAATTGAAACCAGACAACAAGTTCAGGCATTGAATCACTACAAAACCAAGCACGGCTGAAAAGCACCCAAAATGAAACGTGGCGTCGTGAGAATCAACGCTGGGCCCAGCGTTCCGGGAAAAGTATCTCCGAAACTCATTTTACGGACATCAATTTTCGACACATGGCACATTGTTACAATTAACGAACACCAGCCGTGTCCGCCCACCAATGGCGTATATTAAACGCAAGATAAACCTCGCTCTATGACCAAATATCATTCTAAAGGAGCCGGCGAATTCCATTGAGCACACATCACCACCTCGTTGAACCCGCTCCACACACATTTCACACATCACGAACCATCAACTCTCCTTTCCCCCCCGACATCGATCTTCGGTTTTTCAGTCCGTGTCCTCACTTTGCGATTTTGTTCTTAAGCACATTTATCATATTGAGTAGCTGGGCGCAGATCCATGGAGGTGATTATTTTAATCCGGGGAATATGTAAAAAACAAAACTTCCTAAACACGACATTGACAAATTTACTCTTCAACACAACGATGCATTCAACGCGAGAGCCTCCTTACGACGCTTCCTGGACGACACGTCCTCGCCTTTTTCCCACCTCCAAACAATCCACGAAATCCCGATCACAACTGACAGCATCACAGCGGATAGTGAGACCACACAACAACGCCAGACATCAGTAGTACCACATCTGCATTATCTGTAACAGTATACATATCAAAGTTGTATATTGTTACGTATTTTATGACAAAATCATACAAAGGGCTTAGCCTCCTAACTACAACGCATCCATGAAGTTGAAATCTGTTAGTATAATCTTACATTGCTATGCTATAGTATGGAAGCCATACCATCAACTCTTTGATGTTTAAAACCAAATTTAGCTTCAGAATCGATGCAACCAAGCATCCGCCGATTTTGTGGAAAGGAGTTCGAAACCACGGGAGCCAACTGGACGTTGCAGTGGGTGACAATTAAAGGTCACGTGACCAGCAAGGTCACGTGACGGTAAGGTCGCCCCCCGCCCTGCAGGATTTCGCGATGGACTGCTCAGCGTGCCCCCCCCGCCACCCCGTTGTGGCCCCCCACCCCGTTGTGGCCCCCCACCCCGCTGTGAAACGACCTCCAAGTCGCCCCCTCTCCCCCCACTGCCCCCCCTTGTGGGTGCACGCGTGGCTGTGCCCGTCCGGTCTGTTTTTAATACTGAAAAAAAAAAGACTTTAACACTGACACTACAAAGGAATTCGTTCACTTGGAGGAAAACTATATAATTATTAAATAAACCGCACCCCACTCTTTAATTGGTTTGCATAAATTAATATCATATACATTTTAAACGATCTTCCAAATATGCATATAGCACGTCAGCTGATTTACCCGACGCCGATTCTAAACGCGCCTGCCTACAGAATGAACGCGGCCCACGGAGTGACAGCAGTCGATGCTCTGGGCAGAGGGCAGAGAGGGCAGGCGGGTATAGATGCACAGATATTATCATCATCATCATCACGTGGTGCCATGTAAACAACTTAAATATGCTCTTTTATAAATTCATAATAAACAAAACAATATATACAAACTTCCAGTTTAGCTCCACAGCCCTTCCAGTTGGGGCTTGTTCAACAATACCAACATTTGTCGCGAGCAAGCAGACTGGTTGCGAGGGGCCAACTCTTACACGGATGCCATTTCCAATTATTCCAACAAAACTGTTTCTCTGAAAATCAACGATTAATTCGCTCGCTCTCTCACAGAAAACATTCCCTCGTGCAAAGGTAAGGGTGCAGGCCCCGAAATTGCTTCGCGTTTATGCTCAACTTCTTTCGCACCGCTACGTAAGCCCACCCGTGCTAAAATCGGGAGGTGGAGGCTCTTTCTCACACCACCCCTGCGTGAGCGCGTTCTGGACAGACGTTCTGGCAGAGGTGGGGAGCATCCACACTCTACCCCACCACACATGACACCCTGCCGAATGACTAACTGCGGTGCACCCAATGTATATTGCCGGCTGGACAGAGGCAGTGGTGGTGGCGGTGGTTTAATCATCTTGCCCCGTTCTTTCAACTGCCGCGCCAGGAGATCAACCCGAACCGATGAACCTCTGGATTGCGAGTCCCGGCGCGCTCGCCATTAATTGCCGTTTCGAAAAACGTCGATAAAGTTGAACGATCCCTTATTACGCGACCCACGAAATCACGCGCTCACGAGACCGCACGCGCGTACCCACGGTGCCATGCGTGCGGGGCTTGCACGTAACTCCACGAGACCACAGGTCCGGGCGCGCGCGATTAAAAAAACAAAACCCCGCGGTCACGCGCCGGGGTTGCACAGTGGCTGGGTGACGATTCTCTTACGCCTGTTGTCAGTTGGGGGCCGGGGATTTCAAATCGCTGTATGCATTTCTACACACGGTACATTAATTATAAAAACAAATGTTATCGGCTCCGTCCATAGCAGTAGTTCTTCTTAACCTGGGGATGCGTGAGAACCAGGCTGGAGAAAAGGTGAAGAACCACTGCTCTATAGGATAACGCAGGGGGACAAAAACAAACCAAGCCTGCTTGTTGTGCTAATCAGAGGCATTAACCAGGAGGATATATACATTCTTGTATTTTATATATAATGTATAGGCAGTATACAGCAGATATATGTCGATGCGTGATGAATCTGCATGTAGCTTTGCATGCAAATCCCGTTTTGTTGACGGAGTCAATCGAAATCACTGGATCATCTCGTGGCCTTCATCCAGCAGCGGATCGAACATGGCCGACGACGATAATTGCAAATGAAGTAAAACGAACGCACAGCTGTGCACGGCGCGGGGTGCAGATGGAAGTCCTGCACAGAATAGCCCCAAAGTGCCAAGCAGCACGGCAAAAACAAAAAAACAGCACTTTTAAAGTTGCAATAAATAAGACCCGAAATAAAGGTTGTAACAGATCACGTCTGAAAGCGTGAGGGCTTGAGAAACTCGGATAATTTGCAGCGGAAGAATGTCACAGCTAGAATTGTTTTGAAACTTTGCTTTTGAACCTTTCTTTAAATGTACCCCATTTCAGGCGACTCTCTGCAGAGGCCTACATTGGAATATCAAGAGCACGACGTTTGTAGAATCGTCAACAGATGAGCGACACGAGGTGGAATGCATTTTTTTTTCTCCATTTGATTACGCACTGATGAAAACAAATGGTTGTTGTACGGGGCGTGACATGACGTGGACAATGTCGGCAATTCCGAAAAGTGAATCTGACTTGGCGCGTGGAGGGGAAACGAATCGTGTTGTGTTTCGACGCCAATTAAAAATTAATAAATTGAATTATTTATATGGGATGCTCGCAAAGGCTCTAAAGAAAGAGGCTTCAACTACACCAAGATTTTCAGTGGAATTAACACGCCAATGCCTCTTTTTCCCCCCACCGGGTTTGTTGGAGCTCAAACCTGAAACGTGACCTCCACAATGTAACCCTCAAAAGTTGATCGCAAGGTCGGCAAAGTGTAGTGGTACACTCCCCCCCCTCCCCCCCCCCCCCGTTAACCAGCTATTTGGAGACAAGGGTTCATGTGTAAGATCTGGTGGTAAGAAGTAGGTACGTAGAGAATAAATTAGAAAATAACGGCACCCTGTGTAAAAGGTAAAAGAGCAGCCCTGCAAGTTCATTCTCACACTCCAAGCTTCACTGGAGGGAGCTGAAAGTGGCCCCCGCTCTGGAGGTGAATTTGGCCGACTCTTCGATGCTAAACAGACGTCTTGCAAGAGCTGTGAGTAAATCTGCATCGCACGGATTTATGAAACTCCAAAACCTGCCGGACTGCCAGGGGAAGGGGGGGGGGAAACGAACTGGGCTCATGAGCTCATCTTAAGGTGTGGACCTTAAGAGTTGTTCCCCTACATATGCGTGGATTTTCTCTGTATAATTCCAGATCCTTCCCATAACTCCTTAAAAGGAAATTGCCAAACATTCCAATCCAGAACCTCCATGAGAAAGCGCCTTGAGAATCGGCGCGACGTTTCTGGATGAACAGAGCACATTGCTTGTCGTGTTCTCACGGCGTATAATGGCACGAGTGGATTATCTCCCATGTCTGCGAGGCTTAATTGGTCCATATGGAAGGGTTTTGTTCACCTGTGTGAATATGTACTTGTGGATCCACACACACGTTTCTACGAACGCGCACGTGTACGCGCAAGGTCCATGACCGAGTTGCGCTTGATCCGGTGAATGCGCGGCCGTTCACCCTTACGCACACGGACGCCGGTGCGGGAGTGCAAGTGCGTGTGCTTATGCGTGTGACACTCTGAATTCAACCGATGAAAACAGTTCAGAAGCGACCCTTCTCCGTCCAGACCACATCGGTAGAATCTGCCCTTATACCGCAGGTCACATGTCTGCGTGATGAGGCCACGGCTGAAAGTGCTCTCAAGAGTAACCGGTCAGAACCCACTGAGTGTGTACAGCCACAAAAACAGGTTTATGACAGCAACGAACCGACACTTTTCTGAGAAGTGCATATGCAATGCGGGCTCTGCATGGCAACGCGTGTGTGCGTGTGTGTGAATGGCACGCCTGTGTTCACGGCATGGCATTCTGCTCCGAGGCTCCCTCCGTTTCCCTGGCACTGGGCAGGCGTGGAGGGGTTGGCAAAGAATCAGCAGCCAACATTTGTCCTTGGCCTGGTGTCTTGCACTGCGTCGATAAGATTCCGTGCCAACACTTCGTTCCGAACCCGGAGCTCTCTCTTCAAGGGCCTGCATGCAGACGCACTTTCCTGACACGGCCGTGGGGTTCTTTTGATGTCAATGATATTTGTGCTGTGGTTTATCTCTGGGACACAAACACACGTGTGCATTTACACCGGTATCATGTGGGGGGTGGGGGCGGGGGAGGGGGGGGGGATGAGGGTGGCGCTTGCTGGGGCAGGTGTGGGATAGAGGCCACGTGAGGTCGCTTTGTTTCACTTGTTTGGTCCCGTGTTGACCTCCAGCTGCTACTGCTCACATGACAATAAACTCCGCAAAGCAAAGCTGCTTCACGTCAACAACAGCTACCTAGACACCGGATGAGAGAGTAGCTGTACGGAAATTTCTTTCAAGGATGCTCGGGCAGACTGCACTGTGGACACGCACGGTGCATGCCAGAGGAGAAGCACGTCTCAAACTCGGACACGTGACTTCAACAAAGGGCTCTACAATTTCACGAGCCAGTATGCTCCAAGAGACTGGGCTTGACGATGGCTGGAACGGCAACATGCACCACTTACTTGCACCATTTTCCGACGCAGAATTTGGAAAGCCAACGGCGTGGCAACGGCAGCGTGTGTTCGTGCCGCGTTGACTTCAAAAAATGAACGCGGGCAGACGTCGCGAGTCGAGGGGGACAAGCGCCAGCCTTCGGGAAAATACGTTGCGAGGAGCGACGCTGCGCGACGACGCTCGTCGGCGCGGCCCACAGGACACGCGGCCGCACCCCACAGATCCGGAGGTCGTCGTTGTGCGTGCTGGCCCAGAAACGCCCATCGACATACGCTTGCACGCGACATTAACGGGCCCGCCCCGGCTCGAGAAGCGCGCAACGTTCACCGGAGGCCCGAACTCAACTACGGCGTCCCGATCCAGCGGCGCCGGGCGGCGGCGCGGGAGACCTCTCCCCGGTCGTCGCAGCGGGAGCTACTGGATGACGCAGCGGGAGCTACTGGATGACGCAGCGGGAGCTACTGGATGACGCAGTACTTGCGGTAGTCGGACTCGAAGTCCTCGTCCAGGCTGCTGGTGTCGACGGGGCAACGTCCGTGCAGGGTGGGCAGGAAGGCGCGCCCGTCCAGGCCACGGCGCTCGTAGAAGAGGAGGTAGGCCGAGTCCGTGTCGATCTCGTCCTCGTGGACCTCCTGAGGCCGAGAGGACAAAGCGCCAAGTGAGCAACTGGTAACATTAGCGGGGGCAGAGAAGCGGCGGCAGAGAGAGCAACGGGAGATACGAGGCGGAAATGTAATTCGTGAATGGAAGTTGCCGTTTTGACTACTGCGCGGGGGTTTCCGTGCTCGTGCTGCACAGCTCTCCCACGTGTTTTCGGGTCGAGGTGCATTTCGTGCCAAGTTCTGGAAGGTTCTTAAGTTCCTGAAGAAGGTTCCAAGCAGGTGGAGAGAAACATCGGGACCACCCCATAACCCCCACCACCCCCATCATCAAGCTTGAGAGAGTTCCACAATTATGTGTGATCCACAAACCCTGGCCCTCCACGGTGCCCTTCGGCACTGCGGGGGCGTCCACACACGGCGATGGCAACACAGCTCCAAGTGTCCCGCTGCTCACCTTGCAGCTGCTGTCATTGTAGCAGTACCACTTGGTGTTGGGGTTTCGGGCATAGGTCACGTAGTGGCCTCCGCCCATGATGCCAGAGTGACACTGCGTACACAGACACACACACAGCAATACTCGCAATTTGCCATTGAATGACGGCCACGTCACCACGGTGTCTGTGCCAGGCCAGGTGAACCTTGAGGCCATATAATGTGGGAGCCAGAGGACATCCCTGTCGCACCCCCAAGGCCCTTAATGATTGCTAGCAGAGTCAGGGACTCCGAAACAAGCCCTGGCCTGTTTGATGCTTACACATACGTATATAAAGACAAACATACAAATAGACATATATACACAATCACTCACACAAAGATCCCCTTAAGACTGTTGGGACGGGTGCTGTTAACGAGAACCAATGTTGGCTAGCCATGTGTACGATGGGGTGGTGTGGCTAACACCATGTGCTGATGTTCATACAATGCACCAGGTACTCACTTAAAGCTCATCTTTACCTAGGGAGGGCTGAGAACGATATCAGCTCGCTACAACTGTAGTAAAAAACCGTAGAACCGTGGTATCGAACAAGGCTGAACGATAATATCCTTGTGGCTCTCCCGTTCGTATTCTTTTTTGAAATGGTGACTTTAAACTTCACCGCTCAGTATTAAAACCGTTCACATATGTATAACTTTCAAGTATGAGCCGGTTGTGGAAATTCCACATTCGCATGGCAGAGTGCAGTATCTCTACAGGTCGATCACTACTTGCTCCCACAAAAGGGCTATTTATTAACTCTACGAGATTTGTGAGTAAAGTGCTCTACACCAACTCAGTCGTACTTGTATATAAAATAAATATCATTGGCACGCACACATACACAATGCAAAGACAAATATTCACCGTATAACCTTAACAGACTGTTTGGGGCAAGTGCTGTTAGTGAGCACCAATGAAGGTCAGAACGGTACACATTGGCATGGGCGGCCAACACCACGTCGACCGCCTTTGTCTCCCTAGTGGCGATGTTTATGCACTGCTCCAGGTACGCATTTGAGGCCGATTCGATCTAGGGGAGGCCCAGGACCGGTTCAGAAAATCATCACCGACGTTGGTCGTGAGCGGGAATCGAACTCGGGCCGCTGGGTTTCTAGCGCAGCACACTAACCGCTACACTAACGCTCCCCACACACACACACACAACCGCGCACACTCACGGGCAACGCCCCCCTACCGAAATGGCGTAGAGATCGTAGATGGGCTTCGTCTCGTCAGAGTCTTCAGACGTTTCCGTTTCACAGTCGCTTCTGTCCGCACTGGCGGACGGCTCCAGAGCGATGGTACCGATGCCGGGGGCTCCGTTGGGGAGTCTGTCCGAAGCCACGCTCGTCGGCCACATATCCCCAGCGCAGTCCTCCTTCACCCCATCCTACACATAGAGAGAGAGAGACACGCAACTCCGTCACACACACGCTCATTATTCCCACTGAAACCTCATCGGCGATAATTATCAATGGAATGGCATCCCTCGCGAAGCCTCTGCCATCTCGCAGAATCCCGTGATGTACGAATTATCCTAGCACCTGCATACGAGCCACTTTCATCACTCCATCTCCAGAGTGGATGTCCTCTCAAACTGATGCCATTCATTGGCTCACACTGCGTCATTATTATTGCCGAGTGTGCCCTTCTGATGACGTCTCCTGCCCTGGCCCACTCACTTGTCCGTCTCTCGTTATGACCACTTTCGCCGCACACTATTTAGTCCACAATTATTGAACATTCAAATTGTGCGATCATGGTCTCGAGCTTTTTAACTTGAAGGCGACTGCACTAGGGTCTGGTAACAGAAAACTCAACATCCGGAAGAACACTTAAGATTACAAGTGGCTGCGAAAAAAAAAGAAACCTAAAAGCTAAATAAAATATAGATTACAAGCAATTGAGTCTTACATGCACGGCTCATTGAATGTATCTTGAATGAGAGCACTGATTCTAACAGATTAATTGATACATCGTTAAATCTGTAGCTCTAAAATCGTAGTTTTGTTTGTAAATAACATCGTCTCGTCTATATATCCCTCCCACGGTCTTGCCCCGCCCGATCTTTCTTCTCCGATATCTTACGATGTCCCATCCCGTAACTCTCCGCTCCTAATCTCTACCATCCTTCTCTGTGCCTCCCTCGCCCTGCGCCCAGTCTCGCTCTCGTTCCCTTGCCCTTCTTGCTCCCGTTAACTGGAACAAACTCCCACTGCAGCATGAAACAATCGTCTTCACGGACCTGCTTCCGTTTCCATCGCTTCTCTGTTGCCTATCCTACTACTGCTCCCTGCCCCCACCCCCCCCCAGTTACAACCAGGCCTACACCAACCCATATCACTAACCGTATCACTACCCCAACCTCTATCACTACCCCAACCCCTATCACTAACCCGATCACTACCCCAGCCCCTATCACTAACCCTATCACTACCCCAACCCCTATCACTACCACAACCCCCATCACTACCACAACCCCCATCACTACCACAAGCCCTATCACTACCACAACCCCTATCACTACCACAACCCCTATCACTACCACAACCCCTATCACTACCACAACCCCTATCACTAACCCTATCACTACTACAACCCCTATCACTACCCCTACCCAAACCCCTCTTAACCACTCCCACCTCTTCTCCTAACTGTCACCAAAACTACTACACCACCACTTTTTAATACCCCCACTCTTTATTTCAACCACTATCATCTTATTGTACAATGGTATAATTGTTGTAAAGTGCCTTGCAACAAAGCGCTATATAAATAAATCTAAGATACGATGATTGATTTAAGGCCAGGTTGCTTTGGATCAGAGGAAAGACATGCTGTGAGACTCAACAAAGTACGGAATTTCGATTTCAGACTGTCTCCTCGACAGACCTGTTCTCCACCTGAGGACGGCTGCTTGCGTTGTGGCCCGAAACGTCGTGAGAATTATTTTATTATGTTTTATTTTTATTATTTTATTATTTCCATTCTACGTGACTTTACCGAAAGAACCGAGAAGAAGAAAATGTACGGAATGTCGCTGCAGACGGCCCCGGGGCAGGGGTCACCTGGGCAGAGAGGTCCTCCTTGCTGCTGAAGCCGCTGCTGCTCGTGTCCAGCGTGTCGGGGCAGCTCACCGCCGCACCAAGCGGCTCCCCGCTGCCGCCCTCCAGCGTCTCGCTGCTGCTCCGCTCCAGGCACACCTCGCCGGACACCTGCACGCTCCCCTCCGCGTTGTCACCGTGGTCGCTTCTACTGCCGCCGCCGCCGCCGCCGCTGCCGCCGCAAGTGCTCACGACCTCGAGGCTCGCTCCGCTACCCGCCCTGCAGAAAGCGTCCCGCAGCCGGGAAGAGTCGCTGCATTCAGGCCCCGGTGCGCTTTCGCAAACTCTCACGCAGCCTTGCCGGCCGCTCTCTGTCGAAGGAAGGCACTGCTGGCCGCTGTCACCGTTGGGATTTTGGTCATTTGGCAAAACCATGGAAAAGGCGTCTTCGCCGGCACCGCCAACGAAGCCGCCTCCTCCGCCTCCCGCCGCCGAAACGGCGTCCGTCGAGCTGGCCTTGGAGTCGCCCCCGTGCAGCGGGGCCTGTCCCTTGCAGGGGGCGGCCGAGTCGGCTCCCTGCAGGTTCTCCCGGCTGCCCGCGGCGAGGCCGTCTTTTTTTTTACCCCGGGCCAGGCGCAGGGGACCCTTCCCCGGCGCAAACTGCTTGGGCCGCAGATGCGAGCGCGCCTTGGTGCCGAAGCGCGGGCTGCCGGCGGGGCTGCCCGGTCCTGCTGCCTCCACTGCTCGGGCTTGGGCTGTTGGAGCCTCCTCCTGAAGCTGTCAGGAAGAGACCGGTCGCGTTTCAAGACCGGCCAGGCTGTGTTTGTAAGATTAACGAGTGAAAGTAAAGATAAACCACCTTGCATCAAGGTGTGGATTAAAAGCAAAAAAGGTCACTCGGGTAGTTCTTGCATGGACCGATCTCTAACAATTGGGGGGGGGGGTGGGGTTGGTGGTTGCGCCGGGTCTGCTAGAGTTCCGAAATGATACCGAGTATCAGGGGGACATGACGCCACGAAAGCACAATTGGAATAAGGCTGGGAGAACGAGAAACTTAAATGAACAATGAAGCTCGCACAAGGGTGATTTTTTTATCACAGATCCTGAGCGCAGACAAAAATGGCCAAGTGGTCAGCAACAAACAAAATTCTTGAAAACGTGGTCAAGAGTGAATATGTTTCTTAAATTGAGCAAGAGACGATGGGAGGAAATTCCAAAGTGGAGCAGAAGTGTAGAATGAAGCAAAGAGAGAAGACGCATTCAGACCTGCAGCGTGCCGCTTGAGTGAACATAGTGCGGAGGAGAAATTAAACGGTCATTCTGGTCAGAGGCCTCAACGTGGCGAAGAAGAATCAACGAGCGATGGTCACGGGAACACCAACCGCGGTCATAGCGACCGGACAGTGATCAGGAGGCGACCGACCGCCGGTGAGCCGAGCAGGTTCCAGCCGCGGCCCTACGAGTCGAGCACGGTGTCCGCTGCAGGACAGCCGCTCACCTTTCGCGCCGACGGCAAACCCCGAGTCGGACGAGGACGACGAGTGGACGGCATCGAGGCCGCCGTAGAGATTGGCACCCGGCGCGGCCGCCGCCCCCCCGCCTATGTCGTGCTGCACCTCCTTGAGGGCCGCGATGGCCGCCGCGGCCGTGGCGAACATGGCCGTGGCGGCGGCCGCCTCGGCGGTGGCGGGCGAGACGGCGCGAGCGTCTTCGGGGTCGCGGCGCGGGGCCAGGAAGGCGCTGGGGTCGAGCCCGCGGCGAGGGAACTTCACGATCTTGTGCGACTTGATCCAGCGACCGTTCACAAACTGGAACCGCTTCAGGTGGATGATCTGTGCACGGCAGCGAGCACACAGGTGACGAATCACTCAGTCTTACACTCCATTCTGGATACGCCCACCACACCCCTGCACTGAGCAGCAGGGTGAAGTATGCGCAAAATAACTCACCCCCCCCCCCCACCATGACCAACACGGCACAGGTAGGCAATGGATTAACAGAGGCCTGCATATTATTATGTTCACGCCGAGCACTCATCGAATACATTCTTGATCTGGCAACACGCCACTGCCCAACGCGGCCACAGCAAGACGACGGAAGACATTCTATCCGTGGACCTCAGCATTTCCAAAGAAGGCCCTTCGGCCAAAACGAGTGACAGCATACAGAAACCTGTTGTTGAAAATATAAGAAGAGGCTTTACCCTTTCTGGCAATGAAACAGGAGATATTATAATGTTCAAACAGCAAATAGAAACCTTTTGCAAGGAATCATGTCTGCATTAACCATAAAGAGTACTTGTGGTGAACATGCAAACAAACATCGCTCCGATGATATTTGCATTGCATTTGAAACTGATTGGACTGCACCGGAGACAGCCTTCCAGTTTCAAAAGCAATGTAAAAATGTATTTATTATCACAGCATGGTTGTTTCCATGTTCAACACAAGCACTGTGTGTAGTGAATGCAGACATGATTCCTTGCAAAAGGTTTCTATTTGGTGTCTGGACATCTTAACATCTGTTTTATTGCCAGAAAGAGTAAAACCTACTCTTATTTGTCATACTTTGATACTGGAAAAAATAAGGTCCCATGATAAACCTGTTGTTATTTTTTTATTGTGCTGTTATGTTTCCTGATACGGAGTTGCTTCTACGGGATGTAGGTGACTAAAGTGCACAACCCAACACAGCAGCTATCACACAATATTGAGCAGGCATATAATGATGCGTCAATTCCTCGATCAACATTACTTTTCTATGCTTATGGATGTAATCATGTGCTTGACAATCATTTACATGGTTTATGCGCATTATGTGAACGTTACATTGGGCGATTACATGGCCTAGCGATAGCACGTCCACCGCTTGCTGCAGAGGTTCACGGATCTAATCCACAGGCTGCCCTGTTTTAATACCGCGGGTGTATGAACAGTAAACATACACGGCATCTGCTACGCAGTGGACGTCATTCGCATTAATAGGCCGTTGTGTGTGCCAGCGTCGTGGTCCAAATTTGAAAAATTCCACATTACTCGAATTGAAATATACAAAGCAATCATCACACCCCCCCCCCACACCCCCTTACTGTGGAAACTTGGCAGGACCCTCCTGAAAAGGAGTCATGAGGATCACTGGGACTTTGCTGGATAAACGAGTGCCAGTAACAATTGTTATTATAAGGGTGGCGGAATGGACAAAACTGTTCAAATGGAGACAGTAACGAGAGAAACGGTAAAACGAGACAACAACAAAATCGATTCCTTAAACTTGAAAGGAAATTTACGAATATTAACAATCACTGGAGGGGGTGAATCACATCAATAATATAAAAGGAATTCACGTTAATGTTATTTGTTGTAAAGTGCTCTCCGAGTTGCCTTTACGACGTAAAGTGCGCTATAAAAATATAGATCGACGGAATCCGCCTGACGCGTAACATTGAGTGGGGGGGGGGGGCATCCAGCGGGCAGCGCGGGGGAAGCTTACGAGGCTGGGCGGGAGCCTCCAGATATCCAGCTTCTTGCTGGCCAGGCGGTGCGCCCTGCACTTGGAGCAGTAGTAGAGCTCATCCTCGCCCAGCTCCTCCTCCTTGGTGAACGCCTGCAGGCAGCTGTTCAAGCTGATGGGCTCCGTCTGCGCACGGCGAGACTCGCCCACGCTCTCGTGCTCAAGACACACCTGGCAGGCCGCCACGCACGCAGGAACACGCACGCACGCAGGAACACGCACGCACGCAGGAACACGCACGCACGCAGGAACACGCACGCACACAGGAACACGCACGCAGGAACACGCACGCACGCAGGAACACGCACGCACACAGGAACACGCACGCACACAGGAACACGCATGCAGGAACACGCACGCAGGAACACGCACGCACGCAGGAACACGCACGCAGGAACACGCACGCACGCAGGAACACGCACGCACGCAGGAACACGCACGCACGCAGGAACACGCACGCACGCAGGAACACGCACGCACGCAGGAACACGCACGCACGCAGGAACACGCACGCACGCAGGAACACGCACGCACGCAGGAACACGCACGCACGCAGGAACACGCACGCACGCAGGAACACGCACGCACGCAGGAACACGCACGCACGCAGGAACACGCACGCACGCAGGAACACGCATGTACGTACGCACACAGAAACATGCATGCACGCACGCAGGAACACGCACGCACGCACGCAAGAACACGCACGCACGCACACAGGACCACACATGCACGCAGGAACACGCACGCACGCAGGAACACGCACGCACGCAGGAACACGCACGCACGCAGGAACACGCACGCACGCAGGAACACGCACGCACGCACACAAGAACACGCACGCACGCACACAGGACCACACATGCACGCAGGAACACGCATGCATGCACGCAGGAACACGCACGCACGCACACAGGACCACACATGCACGCAGGAACACGCACACGATGGTTGAGTGGGCCTAATTAGGCCTTCGTGGAATTCAAGGGGTTTTGTCAATACAACCTCTATACTGCGGCAACCCGCCACTAATTAATGAACCTAGTACTTGGGAGGACATACTCAGCATAGACTGTACCATCAGACTAACTATTAAATGCATCACATGCTATGCCAATGCAACAACAGCGCCCACCAATGCCCTGTACTAGCGCTAGTGCCCGGCAAATGTGGGACGAGAAAGACACAGAGCGACGATGCAATGCCGCAGTGAGCTCTTTGCTTTACCCGTTCCTGTGCCGTCTGATAGCGCAGATGCAGGGCTGTGGGGTCCCAGTCGATGGCGATGTACACTCCGCTGCTTCCGACAAAAACCACGGTGTTGCACTCGATCTTGCATCCACGGCAAAACCTGTGAAGTGCGCGCAGGCAGTCCAATCGAGACACGAGAACGAGGCACGGCAGGCCTGTCACACTCGCAGCTGTCAACGCGAAATGGCACAAGCGGATGCTGTGCACACAGGATCGCACAAATGCACCGCTATATGCTTGCAGACGCAACGAGAACAAATGTGGAAGCGCAGGCACACGTTGAGACGTGCAAGTCGGAACATCATTCTCGGTCACCTCGAGCTTACCGATGAATCATCAGAATAATGATAACACATCGACAATAATGATCAGCTGAGTGTCCAATTACTGCTGCAGCAACATGCGGTTGAGTGCAGGTCGGAGAGGTGGGACCCAAGCCAGTTCAGACCTCACTTGCCACTGACATTAGCCATTTATGGGAATCGAACTTAAGACAACGGCTTCATAGCCAATTAAAAATGTGACTTAAAAAAAATTGACATTTCGTACACTGCCCGTAACTCCCTAGCTCCTGTTCAAACGCAGGATATAGAGAACACTTCCTTTTATTGCTCTGCCTCTGACATCCTCCCTCTCGAGAAGAGATGTCCACAGTTTCTGCAGGGCATAATATTATTATATATTTGTAAACAAATGGCGTATCATGATAATTATTGCATTGCGCAACATAATACATTGATAGTAAGATACACACAATATGAACCTGATTACTGACCTATGTGAGAGCCCATTTGAAGGGGAGGCCCTGAGGCCACACGGTAAAGAATGAGCACCGCTGGCTTGAGCCATCCAGCAGACAAAGAGCTCCGACAAACGCACGTTGGAAAAACGGAGATAGGGTCTAACGCGTCTGGGGACGTACCGGCGTAGAATAACCCCCAGACACTCACCCATGGCTCCGACATATACTCATACTGGACCAAGAGGGTATATCAAAAATTACCCCGAAGATGGACACTACCGTGCAAAAGGAAAACTGGGAGACCCAAGACCAGCTGGCGCGAGACCGTGAAGGCCGAGCCGGGAGCAGCGACCGACGTCTCTTGGGGCGAGGCTCAACATGTTGCCAGGGGCAGGAAAAAGTGGAGGAAACTCAAAGCGTGTCCCACAGGAGATGAAGAGGATTCACTAACTAACTCACCTATATTCTTAGGTTTTTTCGGTAAAGTCACGTAGGTAAAAACAGCGTGCTTCAGCCTCACAATATTTATATCCAGGGCCTACCTTGGCTCCTCCCACCCTCAACCAGTATATATACAAGGACTGTTTACTTGGAATTTCTCTTACGTGATACAGCTATCGTGCTGTGATGGTTCCACCTGAAGACGGAGACTTGTGTTGCCTCCGAAACGTCGTGATTTTTATTTTATTTATATTTATTTTATTTTACTTTTATACATTTTTATTTTTTACCTACGTGACTTTACCGAAACAACCTAAGAATATGAATCCTTGCAGTCACGAAAGCTTCAAATCTAGAATTAACTCACCTATACCAAGGGCACCAGGCGCACGTGACCCCGTCCTTTTGCACAGCGGACAGCGTGAAGGGGTACTGGTAGCCCAGGCTGTCGTCACTGCAAGGAGAGACACAACAAGGGCAAGGAGTGGCACCATTGCACAAGGTCAACATTCTGTTGGCAGAGTTGCACCCACATGGAGGAAACCTTCAAACGGCATAACAAGAGTTCCACCGGCTATGGGGGAACTGAAACAAGCTGTGGTAGAGGCTCATGAAAATGACTGGCCTACAAAATACAGTTACAATTCTTGATTGGGTTTATTTTGAGTCAAGCTGTATAGATCTGATGTCAATTAGAGCTAAACCCCATCCACTGCCTGACACAATCGTTTGAATCCAGTTGTCATGCGAGAATCTGAATCTTTACTTAGACTGGAGGAATCCGATGAGCTATGAAGCTCTTTTTTCACAAATGTCCATCCGGATAAATGTTGGAATTGATTTTGTTTACAATTAGACAATTAAAGTTACCTCTAGAACACTGTCACTTTAGGCAAAATAACATGCGAACGGTAGTGTAACATGATTATCACGTGATATTTTAATTATGACGGCCAAAAAGCTAATTTAGTTAATTATGCTAATAACCATCAAAACATGAAACAAAAGTGAATGTCGTGTTAGGGGAAATGCAATGGTAGCTGCCACTTGGACACGAATAATAATGAGTGCAATAACGGCCCTGCTATCACAGTCATCACACCACTGCTTAGACCCAATAACAACACGAAATTACATTTGAAGTTTCAGGACTGAGCACAACAAAAAAGACCTGTTCAAAAGACAAATCATTTGTCAGAATTGGCAATTAAATAGCGAGTTAGGGATACTGCAAGTAAAGCTGTATTTTTCACATTTATCCTGGGCAGTAACAGTTACAATAATTTACTTTTTTTTAATCCAGGAGAGCTGCGCTGAGCTAGAGGACTCTAGTTCAGGAGAGTCCTGCATTGGGCCTTTATTTTAAGATGTTTTCAGCCAATTAATGACGAGAGTATTTTATAAAAAGCGGGAGGAGAGACTGGAGCACCCGGACTAAACCCATGCGTGCGAGGGGACAACACTCTATCTCCGTACGGATGGAAACAGATGGCAAATTAGTCCACGTACTGCACTGCCTTCTCCTAGTGAAGGCAGTGTTTGGGCTCCTCAGCGCCCGAGGCGTGGCACCAATACTTGTAATAACTGCACGGTTTAACATCTCCGTGAGTGCGTGTATTAGCATCGGGGAGGTCAAACGTGGCCAGGCATGGTGTTTTACAACACTACACCCCCTTTGTGTGCCGTGCCAGCCTCAGTCGGAGCTTGCAGTCCTGGCCACGACAGCTTGTAAAAGGATCTTATTGGGAGGAACCACCTGGTTCCACCAGCCCACAGGGGATTATTGTGTCCGTCCATCCGTCCATCATGCATCCAAAAATGTGAGGGGTGGGGCTGGGTGGAGAGGGGAGGGTGGGGAGGGGCTGGGTGGGGAGGGTGGGGCTGGGTGGGGGTGGGAGGGGCTGGTCACCCCGTGGGCGCCCTTATAAAACTCAACGTTTAACCTACTCACGCCGGCTTGTGCCCGCCTTCACAGTCGGCCATATTTGCAGAATACACCACGCCACCGTTGACCCTGGCCATTGACCGAGCAACCCAACGTTCCTACCAGCTCCCTCTGCAGGAATGTGTTTGTGTTGTTGTTGTGCGAGTGATGCGCGGGTGGCATTACCAGTCCTGTGCATGATTGCTGGCCTCCTGGGGTGGCAGTGGGCTGACGAGCCGAGCCACCTGGCCCCACACCAAGTCGTACAGGTGGCAGTGCTGCGTGCCGGCCGCACACGGCACAATGAGTGGCATCCCAAACAGGCTCGGTCGGTTCTTGTGCGATGACAGGAAGTAGACCTCCATACGCATCTGCCACGTGCAGAGCACCAGATCAAGCTAGAGGTCAAAAGGCCGTCACAGATACTATTATGGATGCCACTGCACGTGGCTATTTGTTTTCTTCCGCGAGAATCTGGAGCCGTTAAACAGTCGACAACTGACCTTCAAAGGACTGTGTTGACAGTATCTGCACCTCTGGCTAGAGGTCCTCCTCTTGGATGCCGACCTCTAGGTGCCACTCCAATACATTCCCTTAATAAACTTCCCTCTTCTACCCTGCTCAAGTTTCTCACCCATTACAAAATTGCTAACTCTACCCTGGCCATACAATTCTTAAAATCCTCCGCGTGCAAAGGCACAGCACGAAGATGCGCAGAGGAAGAGAAGCGAAACGAATGCTCAGCCCATGCCATCACGTCACAGACATGGGTGGAGATTTGATAAACCTCCAAACGCAAAAAAAAATATGGAAAATGTATAGGATAGTATTTATTCATAAAAAGACATTGTAAAAGTACTAAAACTAAACTTTATTTTATGTGTCCTGAGCTATACAGCTCTTTTACTGCAGCGACCTAACCACAACTGCAGCGTCCTAACACAAGCGATAGCTCAACGAAGAGGCTTATCATCACGTGGAAATTTATAGCAAAAACATACTTGAACCGCATGTTTCTCAATGTGGACGTAAAAACTGGAGGCCCCGGAGAAAAAAAACGCACGACCACGGGGAGAGAGACATGCAAACTCTAAAGATACAGGTGTCAGGGCCCGGGGTCGAACCCACGACCTCCTGTATACCAGGTGAGGTAATTAACATCTCGCCACCGTGGCGCCATTCCTACTCCTCTTCACCACGTGAAGAAAACAACGTCAGATCGGCTGTTCCCCATATAAAACAGGTTTTGTGAATAAGATGATAATCAAAAACAGGAATTTTAAGCAAATGTTTACAAAATTCTGCAATGACAATAACATAAAATACTGTTCCCCGAATAGCTGTCGACATTGGCCAATGAATGCCTCAGCTGTCATTGCATTAAAAGCACAGCTCTTACAGAGACACTCAAGCCTTTTACTGTGACACGGGCGTTTAAAAACAATCCCGCTGAGCGGCACTGTGCTTAGAGCGCTTGGCTCGCAATCGGAAGGCTGCACACGCAAATCCTGGGCTAAGGTTGATCACGCCCCATCATTCATTTCCTTCATCTTCTCAGCCAAAAGTCCCATGACTGGATGGTTGTCGGCCTGCCCGGATTTTCTTTCTCCACGCGCTTCCATTCTGCCGCATACACAGCGCCTGGTGCCTCGTTCCGTGCGCGCGAGAGGCGCGGGGGCCAGGACGGTCGATCCGCGGGAAAGGATAACCAGCCAGCGGACAACGGAGAGCGAGCCGTGCGAGCGAGCGCCGCGAGCGGGTACCATCTTGCGGTGCACGGCGATGGCGTATCCGGAGGGCTGCACGCCGCCCAATTGCTCCGGACGACAGGACTGCGCCAGGTGCCCGTTGGTGAGCCCGTTGGAGGCGCTCTTGGCCACTCCGCCCGCACCTCCGGCAGGGGAGCAGCCGCTGCTGCTGCTGCTGCTGCTGGGCATGCAGCTGTCGCTCTTTGCCTTGCGCAGGCAGCCCACGTCCACGGGTGCTAGCGCGTCGCTCGCGGCTCGCTCCTCTGGGAGGGTCGCGCAGGCGGGGGCACAGTTCACGCGCAAGTCGGTTGTGGGCATGGTTGATGACACACCTGGGGTATTTACACCATTGGAACCTCATTTGCCAGAAGAAAAAATATGATAATTGTTTTTTTACCCTTTTATCTGGCAACAAAACTGACACCTTTTTACAAGGAGTCATGTTTGCATAGACCACAATACCTGCAGTCGTAATGCAAACAAAAAACATAACTCTGATAATGTATGCACTGTCCTTGAAGTTGATTGAGTGCGCCTTTTGGCGTCATCTGGTCCAACACCATGTGAGACTAGGCTCTAAGGAAAGCTGTCTCAGGTATGGACCAATCAACTTCAAGGACAGAGCATACATTATCTGAGTTATGTTTTTTGTTTGCATTACGGCTGCAGGTATTGTGGTCTATGCAAACATAACTCCTTGTAAAAAAAGGTGTCAGTTTTGTTGCCAGATAAAAGGGTAAAAAAACAATTATCACACCTGGGATAGTTTGCTTGTGCTTGTGTGTGCGGTTGGGGCAAAGCATGGTGGCAGGAGGTTATCGTTTAAACAATGAATGAATGTATGCTTGTACAGTTCCAAGTGTTACGCAGTTCCAATATCATTTTCAATTCAGGATTTCTTGTCACAGAGCCTGAAATGATCATTTACTAAACTCACACAACTCATTTACTTTGCAAGCAATCACCGTGTTGTCTGGGTTATAAGAAGATTCGGAAAGTGTAATGTTTGAGTCACGCAACCTTCCAATGGCGAGCCTCACGCTCCAATCATAGCTCCACCAAGGCCAGGTCCAACAATAAAAACCGATTAGTACATGAACGCTCCATTTATTTGTACATTTTTTTCCCAATTTTAACTCCAAATGTGCCTTCGTCTTCGAGAATGGCCCACCAGAAGGGGACATTGCAGAGCCACCTCTGAGCTTCTCATCAGGCGACCGCAGCACTTTGTTCACCGCGTGACCGTCAGACCGCAATTAGTGATTTTTAGAAGCTGCTATTTAGCCAAATGAAGTGCCGAACTGAAGTTTTATTTGACTGACAGTTTTTTCGCGAAGTCAGTGGTGGTGACCGGGATGACACCACCAACTCACTATATTAGATAACCCGGTTTAATCACAAGCAGCTGTTTGGAGTCAAACCCACGATCTCAGCGGTGTCAGCTCGGCACTTAAAAAAATTAGCTGATCATGTGGAAATTTATAGCAATCAAATACTCTAAGACGTGTGATGATTTTAAATGAGGGAAAAACCAGAGGACCCAGAGAAAAATCCAAAAGACCACGGGGAGAGAGACATGCAAAACTCCAAATATACAGCAGGCGTCAGGGTAGGAATCGAACCCACGACCTCCTGTAGACCAGGTGAGCCAGTTAACATCTCGCCACCGTGGCGCCCTACAGAGACACAGACTGCAAGAAGCAACGAACTGACCTCCGATGGGTGTGGAGTGCGTGTCGGTGGGCGACGTGGAAGCAGGGTCCCCGGATAGCACCGGTATCTCGAACGCGCACAGGTAGCTGGTGGCACCGGACCTCACCTTCTGATTGTCGTCCGGAAAGTTCTGGCCAAACAAAACGAAAGTCAATAATCCGCCCCGGTGTTTGCGCACAATAGCCCGGTGACGTAACGTGTGAAAAATCCGTTGAGCCAAGAGGTAAGTGGGACTCCATAGTTTCACCATGGTTTTTGACGCACAGAAGAGGTGGCGGGGGGAGAGGGACTATTTCCTTACTGAGGACCAAAATAGAACCTTTGGTGGACCACACCATTAACACTCTTCCCCCCGGCATCAACAAAAAAATGCTAAATAAAATGCTACAAAAATCCCGTGTCTGTCGGCCGAATATGAAGCCCAAATATATTTACACATCTGACTTGTGTAATTTTTTACTTATACGTTGTTCGTACTTTTGTTATTATTTGTATGCGCTGAAAACGTGACATATGGATCATGATAATGCTTAGTTAATAATGGAGGATGACAAAGATGATAACACTCACAGTGATGACGATGACGATGATGGCATACGATGGATGATGATGACCTGACGACGATGAGGGTGATGATGCTCTGTTGACGACGATGATGTCAATGACAATTGCTGAGTTTGCAACGCCTGCAGATGACGATAACAATGCACAACGGCTTACAGCGATATCAACGTGTTCTTTTGATATTTAGCATCAATCATGAAAATTGCGTCTGAAAACGCTCTAGAATTTGTGACGTGCACAGATTTCGCACGGAGGCGTAGGAAACCACAGACAAGTCAGAAGGGAACCAGAACCAGTGACGGCTCCTGCCCAAGCTCTGTGGGTCCTATGATTATTTAGTGCTATTTTTATTAATATTTGGCCAACTCCATGAATGAGCATTCATACACAACAGGAGGAAGCCAGAGTACGGGCGAGGGGGGTAGCACACTCAATCCCAGTACAGATGGAGTAAAGATGGACACAAATCCACTTCTTGTATATTACCATCATACCATGGGCAAGCCAGGAGATGGCGACTTCGATACCCATGAGTAGGGAGTTTCACGAATTGATGCGTTCCACCATCCCTCGCCTCCCAAAGTGCTGGATTACAGTCATGCGCGCCTGAGGACCAAGCCGATGAGAATGATGACGGTGATGACGGTGACACTGATGATGGTGACGATGATAATGATGACGACGAGGATGCTAACAATGCCGCCATCGCCCCATCCTGTGAGGCTCACCCTGATGTTGGAGGAGAAGACCTCGGCCAGCAGGATCTGCTGGGGCTGCAGGCTGCACAGCTCGCTCAGCTGCTGCTTCAGGCCGCTGTACTTGTCCTCGACGCCCAGACGCAGCCCGTACCTCACCGGCACAGAGCCGTCCAGGCGGATCACTGCGGCAGGGCAACACGCCGGCCGGCAATCCGCAAAAGCACACGCGTCAAACGGGCTTCCCGCTCACGACTGAGCGCGCAAGTTGGTTGGAGCCTGCTCACCGCTCGTGTACCAAGCCCTGTGCCGGTGGTGAAGAGGTTTCCACGAGGCTAACAGAATCCGAAGCAGAATTTTTATTTCGACTGCAGGAGGCATCCCATGAGATACGATGCTCTCTTTTTAAAAAGATGACCAGTATGGGGCACGGGGTAGGCAAAGTTACAACTACGTTGGGGACTCACACGACCCCTGCACCCGGAATGCGTACGATCTCGCCAGATCACGGAGGCTTAGTAGCCTTTGAGAAGTGCTCATACAAAATGTGATCGGATGCTGGGGCCACATAGCAGTGGGCAGCAGTGGAAAGTGCGGCAAGGTCCATTATTGTATTGTACTTCTATGCTCCTCGCCAAACGTAATTAAAAAACTCTGCATGATCGTCAATAACACTGTGGCCTTAAGTGAATATATATATATATATAACAGGTGACAATTTGAGCATTGGCCCTTCTTCATAACACAATGACTCCAAAATCTTCTAAAGTTCTACTGTTAGCAATGGACCAGTATAATACGAAAAAGTGTTCAGCACACAAACAGTTTATCACTCAATCAGTTGTGAGCGCATGACACTTCAAGGTTTTCATTAACTTCCTAATCTCACTGCAAGTGGAGTTAGATTTGGTAAGTGTGCACATGCAATTTGGTAAGTGTGCATGTGCGTGCGTGCATGTGTGCGCATTTGTACGCAGGAGCCATGCCGGTCTCCATACGTGCTCACGAACAGCACTTGCCTCAGCAGCTTTTCTGACTACAAGAGGGATCTTTGTCTTTGTGGCGGATCAGTAGTGCAGTGGTTAGTGCATTTTTACGAACCTGGTGGGCCCGAGTTCGATTGCCAGCGACTGCTAAAACAAGGGGCAATTATCTGAACTGGTCTCAGGCTTCCCCTAGGTCAACTCAACCTCAAATGAGAACCTGGCGTGGTGTGTAAATATCAGCACTGGGGAGACAAAGGTGGCCGGGTGTGGTGCTAGGCAAACTGCCCCCTATTGCGCCATGCTGGCCTTCATAGGTGCTCGCTAACAGTACCGGCCGCAACAGCCTATATGGCTATACGGGGGAACTTTGTCTGTTTAAGCACACGAACGTGTGTGAAATGTCTGTGTGAGATGTGTGTGGGGAGCGGTAGTGTAGCGGTAGTGTAGTGTTAGCGCGCTGCACTATGAACCTGGCGACCCGGGTTCGATTCCCGCTTACGGCCAACACCAGTGTCGATAATCTGAACTGATCCCAGGCCTCCCTTAAGTTCGACTCAGCCTCAAATTGAGTACCTGGTGCAGGTGTGTAAGCATCACCACTGGGGCCGGGCAGTGAGTTCTGGCCACCCACCCCCTCGTGTGCCGTGCCGGCCTCCATAGGTGCTCGCTAACAGCACTTGCTCCTACAGTCTGTTCAGGCTATACAGGGGATCTTTGTTATTGCTATGTGTGTGATGTGTGTGATGTGTGCGTGCGCACGTCTCAGTCCCACGTTTACCCGTGATCTCCACGTGCATGGAGCTGTCCATGGGCAATGGCAGCGACAGGAAGTTGAAGGGGTCGAACCGCACGCTCACGTGGTCGCACATCTTGCAGCGAACCTGGGACTTGAGCTGCCCGTGAAAGAGGTCCACAACGATGGACTTGTTCCTCAGAAGGTGGTTCTCCCAGGCCTGCGATGCAGGGGCAATGAATTGGTCACAGGTTTTAAGGGGCGAAGGGGTATTCGGGTAGGCGGGATAAAGTGTGAAGATGCAGCCCTGCATTTAACTTGCTTCACACCACTGTTGTTAGAAGGGGCCTCTCCACTACGAGCGAACTTCAGAGGGTATTTGGCCTACTCTTTCACACCGCGTGGGACCTGCCAATCGACGAACTGTGGTGTAACCATTTATACGGCTGGGTGGACAGGGGCCGAGTGATCTGAGAAACTTTCGCACTTTTTCAACTGCCCACGCCATGAGATCAAACTGGCGAACTCTACCTCTGGATTGCAAATCCTGTGTGCTATCCAATATGCCATGGCAGCATTGCAAGGGCTGGACTAATCGTCTGCAATTACCTCCATTTACCTATCCATACTGCTAATTCCCTGGCAAGTCCAGGCACAAGACTGTCCACATTTCCTCTGCTTATGACTATCTCTCAGCGTTGTGTGACTCCATTTGAACAGCAAAGCATAATGCCAACTCCTTTCTTTCCTCTTCATCAGCCCGCCTTACTTCAAGTCGTCAAGCAGCATCAACTGTATCTCTTTCCGTCTCTTGGCCTCTTTCAAAGCTTCCTTCCGTCGATAAACTCCCTTCCCTTACGCTTACGCGCGCACATGAGAATGTCTCCGATCTACACCTTTTTTCCCAAAAAAACGAATCCACAAATCGTACAATTTGTATTGGCAGCGGCGGGGGTGGTGGGCCAATGGGCGTCACGGCGCACTCACCTCTGTGGCGACCTCGTGGTCGGGGCGCCCGTCGCTGTCCTTGAGCTCCACGTAGGGTTTGTCGTGCACGCGGTTCAGGTCTTCGTGCAGGCCGTCCAGCAGGAAGGCGAGCAGCTCCTGGGAGTCCTGCTGCTGGAAGCCGTTGAAGCGAGGGGCGTACTTCCCGATGGTCCACTGCGGGTTGCAATCCAAACCTCGATCAAGCACGGTTTGGCTACGTACGGTGTGAAATAAGTTCTACGTACATATAAACTTGACATCGCAGACAAACCACATGCAGGAGGTGGCCGTGTGGCTCGCAGGTTGCTCACCCATTAATGTGCAAGGTGATCACCCATTCAAATACTAGCCAAGGGTTATCCCATTATTTTAAGCTTCTGAGATCTGATGAGATGGGGCGAACTGCCGGGGGCGATTTTTTTGTCATAGTCCATTGCAATTCAACGCATGGGCCGGAGCCGTGGGTGTGCAATGCGGCCGCGCATCCTCACTCGCAGCTTGAGCGGTGCCACGTTCTTCTGGGTGCCACTCCACAGCTCGTTGATGAGGTCCCCATAGCACTTGGCCATGTGGCCCTTCATGCCCAGCGGGTTTGTGCTGTGGAGAGAAGTGTGACGACAGCAGGCAGGTTTATACTGCGTGACATCAACAGTTGAGCAGTAGTGACTGTGTGTGTGTGTGTGCGTGCATGTGTCCACGTGTGTGTGTGTGTGTGCATGAGTTGAGCAATGGCTGGGCGTACTTGTGGTGTATTCATGGAAGCTGTGTGTGAATGTGTCCGTGTGTTAGTTGCATAGTGGTTGCATGTATTGTGTGCATGCGTCTGTGTGTGCGTGTTAGATTGAGTAGTGGCTGGGCATATTGTACGATTGGTAGCTGTGTGTGTAAGTTGGTGAGTAGTGGCTGGGACTATTGTACGATTGGTGGCTGTGTGTGTAAGTTGGTGAGTAGTGGCTGGGACTATTGTACGATTGGTGGCTGTGTGTGTAAGTTGGTGAGTAGTGGCTGGGCCTATTGTACGATTGGCAGCTGTGTGTGTAAGTTGGTGAGTAGTGGCTGGGCCTATTGTACGATTGGTGGCTGTGTGTGCAAGTTGGTGAGTAGTGGCTGGGCCTATTGTACGATTGGTAGCTGTGTGTGTACGTTGGTGAGTCGTGGCTGGGCATATTGTACGATTGGTGGCTGTGTGTGTAAGTTGGTTAGTCGTGGCTGGGTGCATTGTACGATTGGTGGCTGTGTGTGTGAGTTGGTGAATAGTGGCTGGGTGCATTGTACGATTGGTGGCTGTGTATGCGAGTTGGTGAGTAGTGGCTGGGCCTATTGTATGATTGACGGCTGTGAGCTGGTGAGGAGTGGCTGGACGTATAGTTACCGGTTGAGCTCGTAGAGGTGCATCCCAGAGAGGAAGTACTGCGTGAGCTGCCGCGTGTTGCTCACACACTGGATGCTCGAGTTCATGAAGCATGTGTTGCCCAGATTGCTCAGCCCGGTCGCTCCTTTTTCTGTGGGAACTGTAACAAACACACACACACATCCATAACTCACAACTCTCCCACAGCAATCAAAATTCTCGGAATAAATTTAAATAAAGTATTGATGTCCTATACAAGATATTCTTTTAAAATCCTTTACTTTACCAAGCACTTAAATGGGGGCAGCTATTTTGTCATAGTAATAAGCAGTGTCTTTATAATGCCAAATGGAAACATCAGTTTCGGATTTTTTTTGCCAATCCCCATTAATGTTGCAACAAAATGTCCAGATGTCACATCTTCTATAGTTTTTGTTCGATTTAAAGCTTTCGTGACTGCAGGGATTCATCTTCTTGGTTCTTTCGGTAAAGTCACGTAGAAGGGAAGTAATAAAATAATAAAAATAAAACATAATATTTTATTATGTTTTATTTTTATTATTACCGAAAGAACCAAGAAGATCTTCTATAGTACTTCCGTTTGCATGAAACTACCAAGTCATGTTAAACATATAAAGAGTTGTAAGCACAGAAACCCTCGGGCGTGGATTCATATCCTTCAAGTATCAATACAGAACTCCGCACTTGTGCCAATGCCATCACGGCACCGATTCCTTCAAAAAATACATTTGCACTGCAATTGCAGCAGAATAACGACAATTGATTATTTAAAAAAATCAGTCTTGTCTTTAAAAATGTTGTTCAGGGCACCTAGCTTGCTCCGCTCCAGGCTTTTGCGGTTCGCCAACGAGGACATCTCTTCAGGCCAGCTCATGTCTTTGTTCCGCACTGCAGGAACAAACCAGCAACAAAGTGATCGGAACACGAACGACCGAGGAACTGGGCTGACAAGCGCAAAGAACAATAACGGTAGAAAAACACCCGCCCGTTGTTTCACAACATTTTTAATTCGTCAAAATACGAGCCATCTCAAAATAGATTTCCACTTAACGACTAAACCGTGAGCGTAAAATATTTAGCATTCGTTTTATGTGGATCCAAAAGCTTCTTCGTGTCAATCAGAAACACCCAAGAGGTAAAGGTGCAACCCTGCAATGATTTGCTCCACACCACTGGTGGCGGAAGAGCCTCCACTAGAGGAAGCTCTTGGGACCTCCCATCTAAGAGATGAGTTGGGCCGATACTTTTTTCTGCTGGCCAGATATCTTGGAAACGGTGGGAACACCCACACTTTAACCCACCGACCCTACCAATCGCCACAACACCCACACTTTAACCCACCGACCCTACCCATCGCCACAACACCCACACTTTAACCCACCGACCCTACCCATCGCCACAACACCCACACTTTAACCCACCGACCCTACCCATCGCCACAACACCCACACTTTAACCCACCGACCCTACCCATCGCCACAACACCCACACTTTAACCCACCGACCCTACCCATCGCCACAACACCCACACTTTAACCCACCGACCCTACCCATCGTCACAACACCCACACTTTAACCCACCGACCCTACCCATCGCCACAACACCCACACTTTAACCCACCGAACCTACCCATCGCCACAACTCTGGGGTACCAATGTAAACTGCGAGGTCGACAAAGCAGGGGGGGGGGGTGGGTTAAAGAAACTCTCACGGTTTCAATTTCCAAGCCACGAGATGAAATCAGCGACCCCGGGATTGCAAGTCAATGTGATAACCATTACACCATGCCAGCTTCCCCAAGAACTTGTTTAACAAACAATATAATAATAAAAAACTATGGCTACGGATAAACCTCTAAATTATTTAAATACATATTCGGTACATGGCTGGTGCTGCAGTTAGAATGTTCAATTCACAAGCTGAACGTCAGGAGTTTCAACCTCTGCTGTAGTTCAACTCATTTTATAATCTGTCCAAGGTCAATTATTAAATGAGTTCCATGTGTGGGAAGTCAATAGTGGTTAGCCAAAATTTGAGCGAACGGCTCCTGCCACAAGGTAGAATGTTCATGATGAGCATGGACTTTGAACAAAGATGATTGCTGTCCCATTATTAATTTGAGCAGGGAGAGAGACGTGGCACTGTTAAAGTAATAATACAATTGAAGTTAACCTCTAAATACCGACATGTGTGTTAATTTGATTGATATGCACAGGAACCACAAAGGCTTTGGAAAGTTGCATTAATACGCCAATCGATAATTTGTGACACAACTTAGCTGTAAAGCGACGCCATCACTTACGGCTTGTTCAATATCATCAACATTTATCGTGAGCACACACATCTCACGCCAAGGTTGCACACTAATGGTATCTGTTTATAAGCAATTAACTTGTTACTAAAAGCTTTCTTTTGATAACAAGCATTTTAATGCACTGCGTCTGAGTGGACAGGAGGTTGGAAAACCCTGTGGATATTTTGACACGTGCCAATATTTAACAATTCCTTTCACAGGGCATTCACATTTCCAAGCCTAAGTAGGCTTGCGTCTGGATACAGTATTGCTGGGATGGCCATTACCGCACATAAAACAGGTCCAATTTTTAAGAGACACTTACAAGGCCTCCCATCTCTTTCGCCTGGCTTTCGAGTGACAGAGCTTGCCTCCGTGCCTCGGAGCTACGGTTATCTATGGCCGTGAAATACTGTCAAACTGCAGTATTATTATGAACACCTGTTAATAGGCAGTGTTCCCCAACTTCACCAACCCACACTGCTCAGCGTGGTGAAATCTATTCAATTTTCATTTTACCAGGTAAGCTATATAGCTCTTTTTCACAAGCGACATAGCCACCAAATGATAGCTCAAGGAAGCGGCTCATCATGTAGAAATGTATAGCAGCCAATTACTCTAAATCGCTTGTTCAACAAATGTGGAGGTGAAAAACCGGAGGACCCAGAGTGCAATTCACGCGACCACAGGGAGAACATGCAAACTCGAAACCACGACCCTCCTGTAAACCGGGGCGAGGTAGTTGACATCCAGCCACCTCGGCGCCCCTGAAGTAAGGTCAGATATCCCACCTCCACGACCCGCACGGCGTTGGGAGGCTCTCGGCTAACGGGGGCTTAACATTGGGCTGTATGTCAATGCCACGCAATAATCTTTGTCATTCGACGGTGCCCTCGTCGAGTTTGCTCGAATTTCGCGGCACACCGAACAAAAGAAGAACAATCGCTTTCAGCCCTTCCATCCAGCAGTGAATTGATGATGTGTGGAACGCGTCTCTTTCTCAAGCGATACTTCGCCACGGTCGGACTCTGTCCCGTTACGGAAATGTGGAATTTCCACAACCTCGTGTGTTGCTCTCTCCCCTCGATCGATGCGTGTGAAGGTCGGGTTTAATGTACGTATGTTGAACTTCTTTCGCGCAGTACGTAGCGAATCGTGTTAATCGCCGGGACACCCAGCTCAGCCAATTAACTAAGAGGGGGGTTGTGTGTTTTATGTGTGTCCGTCAGTGCAATGCATGTGTCCGTCTGTCTGTGCGTGAGCGGGAAGTAGTAGGGGCCTACCCTAGGTTGGCTCAGCCTCAAATGAGTACCTGATGCGGTGTGTAATCATCGCCACGAGGGAAACAAAGGCGGCTGGGCATGGTGTTGGCCACCCACCCGCTCGCGTGCCATTCCGGCCTTTTATAGGTCCTCACTAACAACACTTGCCCCAACCGTCTGCTAAGGCTATATGGGCGATCTTTGACTTGTCTATAATTGGGTGGCCATCTGTTTTTCTTGTTCATGGTTTTATTTAGATTTCTGTGTCTGTCTCCTGTGTTTATATCAACGCCTGTGTCTATTTAATGTATTATGCTGATGTATGTGTGTCTATGTGCTTGTCTGTTAATTATTTAATGTAACTGTGTGTCTGTTGTTTTATTTCAATGTCTGTGTGTCGGTGTGCGTATTTAATTACTTTACGTTAACATCTGTGTGTCATTGTGTTGACTCATTATTTTATTTCAATGCCCGTGTGTCTGTTGATCAATTCCAAATTACGGGGCCACGGCGGTTGCAGAGCACTCTTGTACGTGATAGGTTTCATATTTGCTACGTCCAGGAAATGGTACGCCTGCCAGCCGAATAGAGAACACTTCACATGATAAATAATGGCAAAATAATCGCTATAAAACTTACTACAGCTTGCCAATACCAATGCCCATATCTATACAGTTTTTTGTAAAATTGGCAATGCAATACTTTCAAAGAAATATTTTTCTAATGAAGACATTTTTTTAAACTGCGATAAGTATGTGTGTGTGTGTTAGAATGTGTGTGGATGAGCGGTAGTGTCGTGGTTAGCACGCTGCGCTCTGAACCTGGCGGCCCGTGTTCAAGTCCCGCTCACAGCCAACACCAATGACGATTATCTGAACCGTTCATCGGCCTCCTCTAGGTCGACTCAGCCTCAAATGAGTACCAGGTGCGGTGTGTAACCATCGCAACTCAGGAGACAAAGGCGGCCAGGCGTGGTGTTGGCCACCCACCCCCTGGTTGCTGTTAGCGAGCACATTCATAGGTGCTCGCTAACAGCAACTTGCCCCAACAGTCTGTTAAGACAATGCAGGGGGGGGTATTTGTCTTCGGATGGGTGTGAAGAGCATGTGGCCTAATGCACGCATCCGCTGGTACGTGTTAGACCCTAGGGCCAATTTACCGTTGCAATTACAAATCTAATGTTAAACTGAAATTAAAATCACATTGCAATTCATATTCATTATGAATTACACGATTACAATGGTAATTGACACGAGGCGTGTTGTCTCTGGTCTGTGCCTTTGCATGTTTGAGTGCACACATTTCGTTGCAAAGTCGAACGCAATCACAAACACAGGCCGGCTTGTTCAGGCGAAGAGGTCACCCCGAGGCCAAAACTCACAATCGCACGCACACAAACAATTGATGAGTGAGTATCACGATATGATGACCGCGCACAGTTTGAACGAATAAAACGACATTCAATCAACTCTCAGCGTTCAAACGTCGTGCATAATGACTGACTGGTGTGCCGTGATGGGACGAACCGATCATCAAGGCGGCTCTGTAAATCCCAATTGTATTGCACTGTAGGAATTCCAAATTGAAAACTAAACACCGGATATATGAAAAGGCATGCCATTCGTTGGGCAAGACCGTCCAATTTTAATTGAACATTGGCTGGTTTCGCGCAAATCAATAACATGCCCTTTCAACGCAGTAATCACTCTTCAAAATCTATTACTAAAAGGTCAAGTCAATTGTGCAGTGTTGAAATTAATAACTGTGGCGTGCGAATGAAACGCGCAGTGTTAATACACAGGCAAGGCATCCACAGAACCGTTAAATGAAAAATAAGAAGAGGCTTTACCCTATAATAATAATAGGGGTTTTCCCCTTTTTCTGGCAACAAAAGATTTCAGTTTTGTTGCCAGAAAAAAATGGGAAAAACCCTATTATTATATTTTGGTACTGGAAAAGGAGGTCTAATGATGTAGGTTTTACCCTTTCTGGCAAACACCAAATAGAAACCTTTTGCAAGGAATAAAGTCTGCATTAACCACACAGTACATGTGCTGAACATGCAAACATAAACATGCTCTGATAATATATGCATTGTCTTTGAAACAGAGTGGCCTACAGCAGAAACCACTTTCTTTAAGGTCCCATGACAGAACCATTATATACTTGGTCACCACCTTTGGATGGCCTAGCATTTGCTATTTTTATCCAATGATTGATTAATCTGATTTACAGGGCTCATCTGCCAAAGCCTAATAATCGCCGTCTCCAAAAGAGGTGCGATGGCGCAAGGTGGCCGGCCAGCATGGCGCAAATGCGGGCGGTGGTCCGAAATATTTTACAGCTACTAAAAAAAAGAACCGATTGCAGTGGTGCAAATGCACTTTTATCACTCTGAAAGAGGCGTTTACTCTCAGAAAACTGAAAAAACTTGCTTCCACCGGAAAATGAAAACGTGTCGACCGACAGATCAACGAGCATAATCGAACAGATAATCAGTTTAAGCAAATAGATTGAGTAGGACGTGAATATGGTAGATACTAGAATGAGCCCTGCCTATTCGTCTTTGACGGCGACTACCCCTCAGAAAACAGTTGAGACAATAGAAAAGGGCACCGCATAAATGTTTTTAAAAAAATCTACAACCAAATCACCGGGAATGTGGCCGATCTTATCAGATCTCAGAAGCTAAGCAGGGTTGGGCCTGAATAGGGCTTGGGTGGGAGACCATCGTGCACAACTCAGGCTCTCATCGGCCTTGGAGGCTACATAGCGGCAGAGGTCTCAATCGGGTACCCGATACCCGGCTACCCGTACCTAGCCGGGTACGGGTACCCGTTGGCGACCCTGGTGCGGCCCGGGTACGGGTAGGCCGTGAGTCACTGGTGAGTCACCGTTTGTCACTCATTTCCCAACGTCTTGTCTCTTCTCACAATTCAAGTTCCTAGAATCAACCCACCCGCGCCTGCAACATGGCTTCATCCCAGAGGTCGCAATCGGGTACCCGATACCCGTACCCTACCTGATACCCGGCCGGGTACGGGTAGCCGGGTATTGGGTAGGGTACGGGTACCCGTTTGCGAGCCTGGTGCGGCCGGGTACGGGTAAGGAATCAAAACCCGTTTGCGACCTCTGCATAGCGGGCAGTGCGGCAAAATACATTGCCGTACAGTACTTCTAAGCTCCCACATCTTCTGTGCTTCACGGCTTCATCAACCCTCACCGACCGGCTTGGTGAAGTTACACTCAGGCAATGCCCCAGGACGCACATGGATTGGACGGACCCTCATCCAACAGTAGATTGGCAAAAGGGCTGTACATGTAACTCACGATTGGGTCAGATCATGGAGGTATAATGTCAATGTTTTAAAATAATAACCCAACCATCACCCGGCAGCCAACGAAATCAAACTGTCACGTGGGACAATAGGCCAATTGATTTAGTTTTTCAGTAACTGTTTTGTGGAGCGCTTTGTTAGCGATTACACCCAGCACCGTCAGGTCTTTACAACAGCGCAACCGTCACGTGGCTCCTCATGTACATGATGGGTGTTGCAGCATCCGTACCTTCGATCAGGATCTGTTGGTTATCTTCAATCCTCAGACTCTTTATTGTTTGCTCATCATCGTCCAGAAGAGTCAGGTTGTTCTGATAAGAATAAAGTGAAAAACCTTCATCAAAAACACAATTATGAACTTGATCCTTCAACACCAAATATCAGGCTCTGGGGGAAGGAGGTAGACAGTAGTCAATGGGGCCTTTTATTATAATTTATATCCTTTTCAATGTACTTCCGAATCTTTATTTATCCTGGAGAAATCCGATGAGCTATGAAGCTCTTTTTCACAGATGTCCACAAAGGCTTGTTTTGCCTGCCTAGTAGCTCACAATATAAAACTGTTCAACCCATCCATTTGTTTTCGCTCTCCAAATTTCAGTGCCATCAATTCACCACATTCTAAAAATGGAAATGAAAGAATATTAATGTGTACAATAACAGTGACGGCCACAACGAGATGCCTGGGCTTGTGACGAACGGATTCAACCATCCACTCCCCCGGAATTCCTCCCCACGTATATTGGGGGGTGTGCCTCGTGCCGAGGCTTCAGTGTGTGTCCCAGGCTGTGTGGGACCTATACAATGACAAATGCACCCCCATCTGTATATATACAGAAAAGCCTCACCCGGGCGTCAAGACTCTTTTTGTAGGAGTGGTACTTTTTTGGGACGTTTAACCAGCAACTTTGTTCGAGTACTTTGTAATGCGGAAGGAACCAGGGTACTTGAAATGTACCCACGCACACTTATGAAGGGAGATACGACTCAAAGGAGCTCCACACAGATGGCTCGTTGTGAACTCCCTGCAATGTCACCTCTAGCTGATACCTTTGGCGGCCCAGCGGATCTCTACGTCTTGGTCTACATGACGATAGTGGTCGCGGCAGAAAAACCCAGACCCTGCCGACAAAGCTGGATTACAGATTACAGGTCTACGACCTGAATGCACCTGTTCTTCTCGGATCTCTGATGCGAAACTCGATTGAACCAGGTTAAGTACCGCATGAGTGACCGCCAGCACACGCACACACGATGTTGTCGGAGTGGGGTTGCCGAGTGGTCAAGAGATAGTAGGAGTATAGTAATGGCTTCAATCGACAGACTGAGTCAGTGTTATTCGATTATCTGTGCACTGAATCTACCCATGTAGAGCTTTAAGTGTTATCTTCTCATACGTGTTTTATTTTGTCCCACAGCTCCTCCGGGTTTGCTTCCACACGGCATACATCCCAATGCAGGATCCCTTCTGAAAGATCTTCAACTGAAACTCAGCGAGGCTTTCCTGGGGAGTGGTGTCCCGGTGATCATTACACGATTCTCAATTTGATTCTCAGCCACAGCAAACATCAACGGAGAGTGCCATTTAGACCTGCCGCGGACCCTCCCTTCACCAACGTCCCACACGAACCAGAGCGGTGAAGCATGGTCAAACAACCTCCATGATCGACAGAGCATGGGGGAGGCCCTTATCCAGCAGTGCGTGCGTTGTTGTTACATTTACATCTTGATTATCCGTGAGCACATTTGTACGACTTGCGGATCACACTATTTTAGTGCTTAAGTTAAATCATAAGTGGTCACCGACGCGCTCCGGACGATGACATTAGAATACCATTCTAGTGCCCAGCACTCAGAAATCTAAGCCCATGCAAAAAATGTCATTAAACATTTAGAAGTGAGGGCACCCCACCCCCTCCCTCACCCCTCCCTCCCTATAGGAGGGGGCCAGAGATCGTGCCTCCTCCACCAACGTGACCTCCCCGATTACATTAACAAAACTCGGTGAGAAAACACACCCGCTGACCTTAATCAATGCTACCACTCGCTTCCCAATGCCTTGACACGCCACACCTTGATAAATACTCGATGGCTACAGCCGTTACTTCACCAAGCCGATGAAGAAAAAGTTCCCGTGGCACCGAGCCAGGGAACGTTTAGTCCCGAGGACGATGGCCGAGGGAGAGGGTCACGTAGGTGGGGGCTCGATCCCCCGCTCCCTAACCCCAAATGTTATGAACGAGTGCAGGCACTGGAACGGTGTTTTAATGTCTGTCCGGAGTATGAATAAGTATGAATAAGCGTGCTTGCGATAGAAAGTAATACAAAAAATCTTCAACGTGTACGCTGGTTCTACGTATATTAACTTCCCCTCACTCATCTAGGGGTACATAACAACACAGTTCTGCAAATCAACCGATTGCTTTAAGAGAACAATAAACACACCTGCGTGGCCTAATTTATTACCTGGGCCACCAGTACTTGCAAACAATACTCCGAATAATCAGGAGTTGACTGTATTTGTTAACGTACCCGCTGCCGATAAAGGCGTTCACATTGCACTTAAGTTTAACATTTTCTGCGCGCTTCCTTTATCCGGAACATGCCACGCCCTCCAAAGTCTCACCACAGGCCATCCTGAGTTGATCGCACCATTCTTATTATTACTATGACCATCTATTTGTAGGCACGACTGCAGGCGTGCGGCACCAAGGGACCTCGCTCCTCACCTCGTCCTTGATCAGCCAGAGGCGCAGGTCCTCCTGCCGAAGGCGCAGCCTCTGCGCCAGGAACTCGTGGATTTGACGCACGCTCAGCATGGTGCTGAAGCACGCCGTGTAGGCCAGGTAGCGCTTGGGAGGCGCTGGCGCCGAAGCTACGCCACCTGCAGCAACAGCAGCAAACGACAACAATAACGAGCCGCTGTCAAGCAGAAGGCCTCCACCATTAAGTGGGAAAGGCAGGTGAAGGCAGGCGGTCCCCCCATTGAGATGTCAGTCGCATGGGGCGAAGCCAATATCCGGTAACGTATGCCTAACAAAATGCACGACGCTATCACATGCGTCCATCCATCGCGCAATTCCGGTGAAATTAAATTGTGGTTTCTCATATAGAGTCGTTGATTGACAATTATACAAGTAATGTGTTCGATGTTGACGTGTGATATAACTATTGTTCCGATATTTGAACGTGTTCCAAAGTATTGTCATTTTGAGCATTATTGCAATTTTTGGTTAATGGTTATAATACTGATTCTGTGATTTTTTTTTTTACTCGCGATATTTTTCTCTCGTCTTACCCTAACCATTTAAATCAGCAGAACTACACAGGCAGAAAGGTGAGATCCAACAACATTTTGGCATTTACAACTAATCAGCGCTGATGAACACACGCACGTGGTGGGTGATGGTGCACACACAGTAAGGTAGCCTGTGTGTACGTGTGTATGCAATTAGAGGTAAATGTGCAAGCGCGTTGCGTGGGTATTCTAAATTTAAGACTCATTTCCTTAGAACTGCTTCTTGTATTTAACTTTTGGTCCTTTCCGGCCACACCTCCGACGTGCGCGGTTGGCTCCGTCCGGTGCGAAAACAAGTTCAACGTACACGCGCTACACGTACGTACGGACGCGTGCCGAGCGGGTGAGGCTGTGCGGCGTGCGAAAGGCGTGGGACGCTATACCGAACATGCTGTTGTGGATGGGCCGCGCGCACGTTGGGGGCTGCTGGTGCCTCAGCAGGTAAATGCACACGGGGTAGAGCTCCAGCTCCAGGGGACGTCCGTTCACCTGGGGGATCACCTGCCAGGAACAACACATCCACTTATTTAATTATTAATCACCCCCCCCCCCCCTCTCCTACCCCTCTCCCCCCATCACAGTCTAGGCCAAAACAGTTACTTAAACCCCCCACATCACCTGCCAGGTCAACACATCCACTTAATTCATTATTAACCACCCTCCTCTTCCTCCTCCTCACCCCTCCCACTTCTCCATCACCGTCTAGGCCAAAACAGTTACTTAAACATCCACACCGACACCTGCCAGACCAACGCAGCCACTCAAACCCCACTGCCACACTGCGTCCGTGCCGCGTGCAAAAGGTGGTGCTGTGGTTTGAGCGCTCATCTCCTCATAGTGGGATACGTGCGAGTTGTAATCCATTCCTGGGTTGACTCAGCCCAACATTATCATCTCTCCCTGGGGTTGGTTAAACGAGTACTAGTCACCCTGAAGTAAGCATGGGGCTTCGAGATGGCCCAAGAAGAGTAGGACTCCCAAATGTTAAACGAGTTACAGGATTGCTGCTTGTAAATGCTGCTTGAAGACAATGATTCAGGAATGCCCATTGGCTGATGCTGTTTTGTCTCCCTTTTGGTAGTGAATGAAGCCCCGGTCCTCTTATTCATCGTCCACTCTGCCTATTCAACCCGACCAATGATCTGCATGGGGCTCACTTGCTCCACGTTAAATTGCTCAAAGTTCATGTCCACCAGTCTGCAAAGTGTTGCTTCCTGGCTAGATGACACAGACTTCCGTCCATGCGGCAGCCTAACGCGGTCCCCTTAGTTTTCTAACGCAAGAGGCAGTTCTGAAAACACTCAGCTCGGTCCAGAAAACTGGAATGCGTGGAGGCCCTGTGCTGTGAGATGCGTGCGACCGGTGCAAATGTTCCAAGCGAAAGAGAGAAAGAAAAAAAATCACCGTTCTGGGTAGCACGATGTTGTAGCCATACCAGTGAGAGAGGGAACGCCACACTGGGTCTGGCACAATCTCATAATCCTGGCCCCACATGAGTGGAGGGCTGCACTTCAACCTGCCGCCCTCTGCCGTCAGCGTGGGCACCTGAAGGGAGAAGCGATCATGAAAGGCGACAATTTCGCATCACGCGGCTCAAGGTACGTGGCGGACACTTGTCGGAAAAGTACCACACTTTTCTATTGTTATACTGGTAGGAACCTCCTGGATACACCAGCCCACAGGGGATTATTGTGTCCATCGTGCAGGGAGGGGCTGGGTGGGGCTGGGTGGGGAGGGGAGGGTGGGGAGGGTGGGGCTGGGTGGGGAGGGTGGGGCTAGGTGGGGAGGGGAGGGGAGGGTGGGGAGGGGCTCGGTGGGGAGGGTGGGGAGGGGCATGGGTGGGGAGGTGGGGCTGGGTGGGGGGTGGGAGGGGTGGGGCTGGGTGGGGAGGGGCTGGTCACCCCGTGGTGCCCTTATAAAACTCAACGTTTAACCTACTCACGCCAGCTTGTGCCCGCCCTCACAGTCGGGCATATTTGCGGAATACACCACGCCGCCATTGACCCTGGCCATTGACCGAGCAACCCAACGTTCCTACCAGCTCCCTCCGCAGGAATGTGTTTCCGGACACTCCAAAGGCACAAGTACAACCGACAATGAAATCCAGTCAAGTGGGACGGATTTTAATTACTCAGAATGACAATCAAGATCAACTCAGCTTATCATCTCTCTAGGATCAATAAAACGAGTACCGCTTTGTGGGAAAACAACAGTGCTTGTGTTCTGGACTCATCCTACCACCATAACGATAAACACTCCACTTTGCTAGGTCACCACCCCATTGTTTATTTAAGAAGGGAGACGCATTGATTTTTCAACTCCTAATGATTATGACTGAGTCAGAAACCCTCGACTCGACGGTTCCGACGTTTGTCAGCGCGGGTCAATCCGAAGCACACCTTGACGGCGTCGCTGTTGATGAGTGGCACATTGTCAATAACTCCGGGCTTCTGGGGTCCAACGGACAGGCAGGCTTGCTGCGGAACGATGGGCTGGCTGGCGGAGGACGGTACGCTGTTCCCGAAGCAGCGCGTGGTGGCACCGTCGGGACTCAGGCTCTGGCTGTGCGTCAGGAAGCAGCTCTCAGTGGCCGGCGTCAGCGGCTGGGGAAAACCTGCGCAGGCGCGTGGGGAAGGGAGGTTACACACGCGTGTACGGTGCGGGCGTGCGTCAGGGTGGGCAAATGATGGGGTCGGTTTACATTGTGGTGTTTAATGGGTTGGTAAATGAAAACCCGAACCGAAAAGAACAAACGGCCGTTGCTTATTGTCATTTGTACGTACAATCTGTTGACAGATACAATTATGAGAAGAAACAGCTGCCATCTATACTTGCGGCACCTTAGCATGCCACACCAGTTTGAAGCTTCGTCATTGAGAAATAGAAGTTTAAAATTACTTTCAGACACGCTCTAGTGATGTCATTACAGTCACCTTAAAAAGTAGAGCGGTCACAAATTGATGTAAGTTACCTCCAGGATTCCTAAAAGCAATTCAAAAGTTTTTGTTTTCTCTCTCAATAGATGAAGCCTCAAAACTCACATCGAGCAGCCCAGAAAAACACGGGCCAGATAGGCAGGTGTGCCTTTTATTTTGGGGTTTTATTTTCCTCTAATCAGATCACGAACATGACAACACCGAGGTTGGTGTCGGTGACAATCATCCTAAAATTGCCGCAATGCATGATGGCCCGAAAGCACTGCAGAGCGGAACGTTTAAACTTTTAACGATTCTGGCGCTTGGGGGGGGGGGGGGGGGCCTGACCGCGTGCACGCTCGCGGGAGAGCGCACGGAACCCACACGCGCAAGTCGCTCTCTCTCTCTCTCTCTCTCGCACGGCACGCGAGCGTCTTCTCACCCATGCTCTCGGAGGCCTCGGAGGCGAGCGAGACGCTGTCGAGCGACGAGCCGGAGGGCGTGCTGTGCGGCGGCGCGTCTCCGTTCTCCCAGGCGCGTGCCGCCGAGCGCCCTCGCGAGCACGACACCGACAGCGGCTCGCTGACCACCGGCTTCGTGTCCTGCGAGGGACAAGAGACCGACGTACGTCGCGTCTCGTAAATGTGCCGCAAGGGACAAAGGTCGAGGCGGTTTTTGGTGGAAATTCCGCATTACCGTGGCAGGAGGCGGGGGCGAGTGAGTGAATCTGTTCGTAGGAGAGCAACTCTTTTAATTTTCCATGAAGTGGTACTCAAATTAAGGGCCCTTGAGGGACTAAGGGCTGCGTTAACCACTGACATGGACCTTTCAATTACGATTCGCAGCAGGATTTTCTCGCAAAAGACTCTTCTCTCCATGAACTCTCTCTCAACTGGTTATAAATATTAAGTTTATATTCATATGAATAATGCCAAAAATGCCCTTTACTCAAGAAAGGCCCCCTGCACTGCAACCTTTGGGCACTTCCAAACACATGCGTGGCGTGCACTCTTAACCACCGAGCTACCCAGTTCAAATACAGACCAAATTTAAATACCACGTAATAAGCATAAACCAGCAATCCTCAAATATTACATCATGGGAGCTGTAGAGACACCGCTGGAGCCATGAAGCACGAAGCAAGTTACCATGTAACCGATCCTTATGGTCCACGGATCACAGCACCATGGCAGACACACATGACTGGGCATCATCCTGGCCACACAAAACAATCTCACGTGCGATGCTGTAACTAATAGGTGCTCGCTAACAGTACTTTCCCGAAAAGTCCGTGCAGCTGAATGAGTAATGTTTATTTTGCCCGTGTTTACGTCTGCTTTAAAGCCCATGACTACTAAGCACTGAAACTCAACCCTGCGAGCAGTTTTCATTTTATGCCAAATAAAACAGCCTATCACAATAAACCGACATAGATGTTTAATGCATTCATAAACTAGGACACAGACCAAAAGGATAAACACCTCTCATCTTCTAGGCCCGTATTTAAGCACTGTCTCTCGGGGTGTCCGGAAACCATTTGAAGCTTCGAGTGCATAAAAAAACAACAATACATAGTAACGAGTACTGTATCGACACCCTGCAATGCAGATGCATTTAACAGTATGGTAGGGATGCCACCAAAGTGCTCCTCAAAGTAATTTCCTCATCACCAAAGCTTCAAACTCGTGCAGAGACACAGTTAGATGTCTCTGTGGGTCACGCCAGCCAGTGCTGGAGGAGCGCCGGGTGCCCCGATTGGACGAGCTAAGGGCACGTGACCCGAAGCGGTGTCTCGATGGAAGAAGGCCCGTGAAGAGACGAGGGAACTCACGTATCTGACGTAGTCCTTCCACTGCTGCCACCACTGCATGGAGATGAGGTACCAGAGCTGTCCTGGCCTGAAACCCTGCCGATGTTCCCTTTCCAGCCATCCCCTGCGCACATCAACATGCACAATAGGTTTAATTAAATGAACAGATGCGCATATACTCATTAATTACAATATTCCCAGAAACAACAACCGCCGTTCACCACTGAGTGGCGGTGACGTCACCACGGCGCTTGTGCCAGGCGAAATGCACTTGAAGGCCACATTTAGTGTCGAATAGTCTTAGAAAATTGAACAAATGACACGCACACGCGCACACACAAAGATGCCCTCTAAGCTTTATAGAACGTCATGGCTGTGCTCGTAGCGAGCAGCTGCTTATATCAGCATAGCGCACAAAATAAGTAAGTGTGGCCCAGCCCTCCTACTCGCCTACTCCTAGAAATTCCACATTCTTATGGTGGGGGGACAGTTTACCAACCACTGTGTATTGTTGTTTTTATCTTTCCCCCAATTGTGCTCTCGGTGTCAAGTGAAGAGTTGAAGCATTCATTCGTATCTCTCGATGATAGGACAAGCCTGCACAAGTGGAATTCGGAGAGCGACCTTTGAGATTCATTCAATCGAACAACTGTCCTACACAGTTTGGGGGCGTAACTTTCCCAACCTACTCCACCACTGAGAATAATGTTTGTCGCATGACATTCAAAACACATCTTTTTAAATCCTTTATATTAAGTTCGCTTGCTTGCTTGCTTACGACCGTGCAAATCTTTCGGTCGTTTTTTAACCCACTTCCCGTGATCCAATCGAGCTGACATTTTGCACACAGACTCGTTGTGCGAGACAATGAATGTTCGTGAAATTTTTTTTCTCCAAAATTTTACACTGTTTAGGGAAAACAAATTAAATATTTAATTACCAATTGCTTAATACTGGCAGACAATCATCTGACCCATAGGTGGCAGCCATCTCAAGCCAGAGGACTAGAAGACTCTAGCCGCCACGCATATAAAGGATTTTTAGTGAAAAACTTTGTTTTTACGGGTTATTCAATCCTTTATTATTATTGTTACAATTGTCAGAGCTGGATTCGAACCCAGCTCAGCCCACAGTCCCTATGAGTCACCCGGCCACATCAGGACAACCTGTTGACTTCTTGACAAGTGGCACTCACTATTATCCCAGGGGGGGGAATGACAGGCCAAGGTAGCCGACCCCCTGATCAGAAGAGTCTATAATGCTGCGAGTGAACCCACAATTGGGATTCAAATCGAAATTCAAGAGAAAAGGATTCAAGGACAGTTTCGAAATTAAATTGTGTTCATCCTCGTTTGTTGTGTACATCGTCTACACCGTATTGCTTTAAAGCGTCGCATTTGGTCTGCAATAATTTCCTAAGCGAGTATTTATGTCCTACACCGCCAGTTCCCTGGTGTCTCCAGATGCACTGCACTGGGGGCGCGCGGCGTAAATAATAAACGAAGATCGTGCTGATGGAATGTAAATCAGACCGCTCTCTTAGTGCCACCCCGAGCGAAGCCTCTCAACGTCGTCTTGTTATTAGTTCATCGAGAGGAAACAAATTAAAGTGAAGAGATCAAAAGACAGAGGGGGAGCGTGTTGGTCACCTTATGATTTGCCCTTCTTCCCCAGGGCTCGCTGGCCTTAGACCCAGCACGATGTGACAAACCTGGGGGATGAAATACAACATTTGTATTCATTATGGCTTTCAATTTACATTCTAGATTTGAAGTTTTCGTGACTGCAAGGATCCATACTCTTTGGTTCTTTCGGTAAAGTCACGTAGATGAGAAAAAAAAAAGTTTATTTTATCACGACGTTTCGAAATCAACACAAGCAATCATCATCAGGTGCAAGCAATCGAAACGTCGTGATTTAATTTACTTTTATTTATTTATTGTTTATATTTTATTTTTCAATTTACACTTCGTTGAGAGTTTTTCTTCGTTTCACTATAATTTAGCATCGTATACGATTTGGTACGTAATTATTTTAAATTTATAGCAAAAAAAATGGTCATTAGAGGAATTTCACCAGGAAATAAAAACAAACGATGTAATTACACATTTTTTTTCATTATAAATTATAATCATGAACATATCACTTACACATTTAATGAACTGAAAAATTACCAAATGTGTGTGCATATTACTGGAAGGATAATCACCATGCTAACCGTGGTAATAAGATCGACTGTTATCCCTAACCCATAACTGAAACACGCAACCACCACACACACATGCTGCTAATATACAATTACTCCATGATCACAATACGAATCTTTATTTATATTGAAAAAATCCGATGAGCTATAAAGCTCTTTTCACAGATGTCCAGTCGGGGCACGGGGTAAGAATGTTACAACAACAAACAGTACAAAAGCACGATCGGAGTGAAAAGTACAAGAAAGGTAAACAAATCACCCAAACACAAACAAATAAAACTAAACCATCCCCATCCTACCAGGCAAAGCCCACTGAGGTATTAACCTTAATTTTCAGAAGAGACCTGGCCACAGATGATAGCTCAACAAAGTTGCCCATTATTTGGACATTGATAGCACCCAACATAATCTAAATAATCTCAATGCATGTTTATAAATGTGGGTGGGAAACATCGGAGGACTCGGGAGAAAAAAATCCACGTGACCACGGGGAGAACACGCAAATATCCAGCAGGTGTCAGGGTCAGGATCGAACCCCTGACCTCCTGCATACCAAGTGAGGAAGATCACATCACACCACCATGACGCTTACAGAGTCCCATAAAATTATCCTAAAAAAGTTAGTTTAAAAATGAATATTCTTGCAAATTAACAGGGGAATGGGCTATTACAAGCTGCACACCGCATTCCTTATCAAGAACACTCTCAGTGGCCTCCTGTTTAGAGCACTTGTTTAGCACGGAGGGCATAGGAATGCCCGGGGTATGCATGACAAACTTCTTTCGCACCCTACGTAGCCAACCGTGCTAATCGGAGGTGCGGTGCGCCCAGCAACTGGGAGGCTAAGAGGCTGTGCCCACCTGGAAGAGAAGCGTCAGAAACTCGTGGGCCAGTGTGCTGGTGACGCTCCATATCTGATAATCCTCAAGACTCAAGCTCTTCTCCTGTCCCGAGGAAGGAGAAGACAACGGAGCGTGGGAGACACACGGTCATAGTGAGACGAAAGCAGCGGCGGCGAACGAGATACAGTAAAACCTTGGATTGCGAGTAACTTGGTCTGCGAGTGTTTTACAAGACGAGCAACATTTTAAAATAAATATTAAGTTGATAAACGAGCGAGGTCTTGCAATACGAGTAGTACGTGTATACGCTTTGTCTGCCGAGCGTCACGTGATCACAACTGATGTACGAGTGCTTTGGATTACAAACACGTTTCCGGAACGAATTATGCTCGCAATCCAAGGTTTTACTGTACTCTGGGTGGGGACCTAGATACATCGTGTAATTTTCTGGAAGCAGGTTAGAGTCGATGATTTGATTCCACAGAATATCTTGCCGCTATGGACTTTTCAGGAGGCATGAAAGTTACAGAACGGCATTGCCCAGAAATATCATTCATGCGCCCACAATTCAGCAACGTATGACTAAATTAAAGACATTATTTCATGATAGCGGAGGATTATCTCGAAATAAGAATCTTTATTTTGACTGGAAGAATCCGATGAACTATGAAGCTATTTTCACAGATGTCCGGTAGGACATTAAATCAATTGGACAAAAGAGAGTAAGTCACAAGCAAAGTTTAGCTTTTCAAATGGTTTCTCCTCGTTTGCTGTTGTGTATACTGTCTATTGTTTGAGAACATCATATTCTGTCTGCAATCACGTCTTTGCAGAACGATTATCTCAAATACCCCTTGGCGCATCGACACGTACTGTATGGGAGCTACGATATAAATAAGAAATTATTCTAATGATCAGCAAATTTGACGACGCATCGTCTGGGAAGCCATTTCCCGTTTAACAAGGGCAGCGTTTGCAGGGACAGCAGTAGCATCTTTTACTGGCTCAATATAACGGTGAGGGTCACCTGCTTAGGTACAAGTAAACATTCTAAATTTCGATTTAAAGCTTTCGTGACTGCAGGGATTCATCTTCTTGGTTCTTTCGGTAAAGTCACGTAGAATGGAAAAAATAAAATAATAAAAATAAAACATAATAAAATAATTCTCACGACGTTTCGGTCATTCAGACGCTGTCTTTCTGACAGACCTGTTTCTTCACCTGAGGACGGCTGCTTGCGTTGTGGCCGAAACGTCGTGAGAATTATTTTATGATGTTTTATTTTTATTATTTTATTATTTCCATTCTACGTGACTTTACCGAAAGAACCAAGAAGATGTAAACATTCTGTCGCCTATGTCTGACTGGATGTCAAAGGACAAGGAGGAATTGCCAATAAAGAGTTGCGCATTTTCTCACCTGGTTGGTGTCGTGCATCTGCAAGATTGCATTGACCACAGCTGCCGTTTCCATGTTCATTTCCTGCAAGAGGAAAAAGGGGGAAATCAAATGAGCGATTGTGCAGCACTGCCTCCTTTGACAGGAGCCAGTTTGTTTTTGTGGAATGATGAGAAGCTATGCGCGCCTCACACAATTGAAAGTTGTGAAACGTTAAATTTCGATTTAAAGCTTTCGTGACTGCAGGGATTCATCTTCTTGGTTCTTTCGGTAAAGTCACGTAGAACAGCTGTCTCCCCGACAGACCTGGTCTTCACCTGAGGACGGCTGCTTGCGTTGTGGCCGAAACGTCGTGAGAATTATTTAATAATGTTTTATTTTATTATTTTATTATTTCCATTCTACGTGACTTTACCGAAAGAACCAAGAAGAGGGTTGTGAAACATTATTTAATTCTGTATTTGTTTAATTTTTGGAAGGATATAAAAGCTAATTTTTTTTGTGCAAAGCCAACGTTCAAGGGTGCAATTATCAAGCACTTAACTTTATTGCATTTTTGACATGTTGTGCAATATTCCACATTAAACAATGTGACTTTGTTGCTGCTGTTTGGCAACGCAGTATCGTGCTACAGATTCATTAAACTCAACGAGGGCCTATCTCTCATCATCACTCAAACTCTGGCCGTCCTCGCAGCGGCTTTTGACTGGCCCATAGAACAAAGACGGGTCACCGCATCGCGCGCTTTCAGATTGCGCTTCTGCGGCCGTCTGGAACGCTCTTCCTTCCGATGTTTGGAAGCCACTAAAGTTATCCACTTTTAAATCAAGATTGAAAACTCATTTCTTTAAAACTGCTTTTTGTGTTTAGTTTGTTGTCTCTCCCCCGCACCTCCGATTTGCACGGTTGGCTCCTTACGGTGCGAAAGAAGTTCAATATACAGACATCTCATTTTGTTGAGGCGTAATTAAGGCAAAAATAGGAAGAAAAAAAAGCATTTTCAAAGACAGATTCATCCAGATTCCTTACAACGTTTCCCTGTGCTGTAGGACAAACTGCCACTTTACTCAATGGCAAGCAACACAGGCAACAGAAAGTGGCTCGCATCGTCACTGCGTTTTAACGTTGGCTTTCGTATCAATCGTGCACTATGACACACCGTGATCACATACACTGCTTTATATTAAAAAAGTGACACCGTCCGAAATATTAATTTAACATTCAAACGATTTTGGTGGTTAAAATTCGACTGCGGTGTTGTTTCTTACGCTTTTCAACCAACGTTGAAAACGTTCGTGCATTAGCTCTGTCTGTCTGTAATGGGGGGCAAGGGTGGAGGGGGAGATTGGGGGGCACTGTAACTCACGTAAAGAAGCTCCAATATGAACAAAATGTGAGGTTTAAGTTGCGTCACAAAACTGGCCACGTTCATGAAAAGGTTGCCCCAACGTTTGGCAACATAAAAAAAAACCGGCGCTAAAAGTATCGCCATTCGCGATGATATCACTGCGTGCAACGTTGTCTCGGGTGAGGTCACTCTCGCGTGCCCGCATGCCGACGACACGCCGACCGTGTAAATGCAGCGGGGGGGGGGGAAGGGGGAGCACTTACAGGGACACAGCTCGGTGCGGTTGCCACACCACACAGTGAGCAGCGCTTCCACCATGTCGTGCAGCTCCAGCCACGACAGCAGCCCATCCCGGTCACGGTCAAACACCTTGAAACAGACTGCAGGCACGTACACATATGCCAACACACACGCGTGCGCACACGCACACACGCACAGAAAACAATGATGAAGATACACGTAGATAAATAAATATACCCGGTATAGCCCTGTTGGGGCAAATTCTGTTCGCCGGCAGATATGTTAAGACCGGCACGCCACGCGAGGTGCAGTCACCACCACGCCTAATCCCACTTATTCTCCCCAGTGCCAATGTTCGCACACCGTGGCACGTACTAATTTAAGGCCAAGTCGACCTATGGGAGGCCCAGCACTGGTTCAGATATTCATCACTTATATCAGTCGTGAGTGGAAATCGAAATCAGGTCTCTAAGTTGGCTGCGCGGTGCACTAACCACTGCACCACTGCTGTACCCACGCAGACCGACACGCGCTTGCTCAATATGCATGATGCATGGACCAGTGCAGAGCAATTACATTACCAATAGGCACATCTGACTTGCCCTGAACAAAGGAGTGAAATGATAAAAGATATGATCTATAATGTCAAAAGCTGGCCTATTTAATCTTTTCCACACATTATTATGCAAATGCTGCCTTCCGCCTATTTCAGACGCATTCAGTGTTAATCCATACGCCAGGAGATTCTGTCACTCAGTTTCAGTTTACCCTTTGAATTCTGCAATGCATACTTCATAATTGGAACAAAATGCTCGTCACAAACACGTCCTCAACGATGTCTGGTGGAGACGGACCACGGAATGGTGTTCACGTCACGAGGAATGTGTGTCAGCTGCTGTAGATAAGTAACATTTGTCATACACTACGATCTTTCCTCTGACTGCAAGTAAGCGGTGAAGGCGGGGAAGCCCTGCTGTTTGGCTCACACCACTGCTGGCGGAAGAAGGGCTCCACTGGAGAGATCTTCAGGGAGCCCCACACTAGAGGCTGTTTTGACTTTCTCTTCCACAACCTGGAAGAAGTGGGGGTACCCACAATTTAACCATCGATCGATTAAGTGTAGTGTACCCATTGATAGTGGACACAGGCGGGCAGGGGGAATTTAACCCTTTGCCATTAAATCAAATAACTCTATCGGTACGTCTTCAGGCCGGAAGATGTCCCGGGGCTTCCACGAGGCGATTCGGAAGGGCGTGTGGCCTTCCCTCATGGCTTCTGCGGTGAGTATAATGTTTTTTTAAAAACAACGGCGCTACGCCTCTTCTAAATCAAATTAACGCTAATCGCTTGCGCGTTCCGAGATTGAGCGGTGAAGGGGACCCACCCTGCAACTTGCAGACGTTTCAGAGTGTTACAGGGTGAAGAGACATGCCCATTTGCTTCAATTGCCTCATCGGGAGATGTAACCTGTGACCCAGCGGTCGGGAACCTATGGCTCGCGAGCCATACATATATGGCTCTTTCGGTGACGGCATATGGCTCCCAGACAATTTTGAGTTGAAAAAAAAATCAGTTTGGAACTGATTTTAAAATACTTGCGATATTGCTTAATAATACTGTGTCATTTTAAAGTAAAGAGAAATTAGTTTTGAAGATAAATTTCACGGGTCACGGGTCCCCTGACCAGAAGTCGCATTAAAAGTAAGACATATTTAATTTATTAAACGTTAAAAATACTATATGGCTCTCAATGAAAGATATTTAGAAATATTTGGCTTTTATGGCTCTCCCAGTCAAAAAGGTTCCCGACCCCTGCTGTGACCCCTAGATTGCACGTCCAGTGTGCTAAGCTTTACACCGTGGCAGGATCCCGACTGTAAAGACCCCTGTTATAATTGTCAATGAATCTGGTATTCACTCTATTAATTCGCAGCTTCATACGTTACATTCTCATGTATAGCAGTTTAAACCCATCTTCTAAATAGATCGTTTCAAAGTTAAGGAAACAAGTCAAAATATTGCAGCAAGGTAAATGAGCTTAAGCATTAAACATAACATCAAAAGCACGTCATAACCAAACACAGTGGGCGTCTTCTGAGATTGGCAGCGTCGACTGAGCATACAGGACGTCCGTTTTTTGTATCGATTTTCGTTAGATCAATGCCGTGACAGATAAGACCATCACTCTCAGGATTTATACTCACCATTGACATTATGTGTGGGGATTGTAACATTTTTCAATGAACAAAATTAGATGGGTTATGGTCCACGAACCAATGCAGCTTCACATTTATAAAGTGATGACTGTTTAATAAATTGGGTTGAGAAACCAATTTAATTTTAGCACAGTAGACTGTTAAACATTTAATCGGAAATGCCAGAGGAGGAGCTGAACTTGAACAAACAACCAAAAATTAAGAATATGGCCTCCGATTACAAATGCACACCGATGATTCTGTGCAGGACAGGGGGCAAGCAACGTGAAACCTCTAAATAAGACTGTGGTAAGAAGGCATTGTGGTATATGTGTGTACATAAACAGGAGGTTTGCGATGGGTGCGGCAAGACGTAAAGCCAGATGGTGGGATTATTACTGTAAAGAACAGCCATTGGTGATCGAGTGTCAACTTCGCAACCGTTGCAGGATTCAGCAGAATAAAGGAAGTGATGGCAAGGACGTTATTTGGCTCCTGGTGATGCCTTCGCCTTGCTCAGAGCAGAGAACAGTAGCCAACATTTAATAGTGCGTGCTGGTGCGATTGAACAAACAAAAAATGGGTTGGAAATATTTTTTTTTCGTCGGTGGCACATCGAGAACACGATCACACGATCACACGACCGACGCTGTAAACCGGTCGGCACACAGACACAGACACTCACATTTCTGGCGCTCCGCCAAAGGCCCACGGCAGCAAGCGGACAGGCCGCACGAGATCTCCTTGAAGTCAATGTGGTTGTCTCGATTCTCGTCAAAAGCGTTGAAAATGCCTGTGGGCCGAGCGCGGCAGTAATGCATCAAAATTGACAACGGTGTCTGCAAGGGCGTTATTTATGGCTTTCAACAACCACCAACTCCACGGGTAATGCCCATTAATGTGTTGATCCGAGACAAGTCGGAGCATCGCCACGCTCCGAAAAGCATGGGGTGACACTGTTCACGCGCGTACAGTATCTCGCATATCACGCACAATGCACTTGCACCGAGTGCATTATGCTACATGAGGAACAGAAGAGCACCCCCACTATGTGTTTCCAGCCAGGATATCGCTCAACAACAAAAACCACAGCCCCCCTTTTAAATAAGGTTCATCATGTCTCATCCAATCTCCCGTAAAAATATCAATGACTGATACTATCAACCTGCGGCAGAGTAGTAACATCCATTGCCGTACTATACTATCTGCATTCTTGGTTATTTCGGTAAAGTCACGTAAAAGGCAAATAATATAATAATAAAAATACCAAACTATAAAATTCTCACGACGTTTCGACTGCAACACAAGCAATCATCATCAGGTGTGAAATCCACAGAAAAAAAAATATTATTTCCCTTCTACGTGACTTTTTCCGAAAGAACCAAGAATATGAATCCCTGTAGTCACGAAAGCTTTAAATCAAAATTTATACCATCTGCCTTCACCAACCCACACAGAGCAGCGTGAAGTATGAACAAATAACCCCCATGACCCGCATGGCATCGAGGCCCTCGTCCAACAGCAGATTGTAAAAAGGACTGCGCATGTACATGATCAATCAGCAGCCTGGCTGCAGTTAAAAGTCGGTCTCTGCAGTGCGATACCACCGCCCACCAACAGTCTCACGGTGCTATGAAGCACTCATAATCTCATCGTGTGGCCATCACGACATCAGATAGATATGTTACCACCTATCCTCTGCCATCTTCCCGCTCTCATTATATTATTTATGCTTCTGCTGCTACTGGGTGTCATGCATACCCACAGTGACGGGCCCCAGGTGCCGGGTGCAATTTGCCATGTGTTATTTGCCGTGTGCCATGTTATGTGCCGTGTTCCATGTGAAAAGCGCCGTGTGCCATGTCCCGTGTGTTATATGCCGTGTGGAGTGTGCCATGTGGTGTGTATTATGTGCCGTGGGCCATGTGCTGTGCGCTGTGTGTCGTGTGCCGTGTGCGGTGAATTATATGCCATATGCTGTGTGGAATGTGCCGTGTGCCATGTGCCGTGTGTTATTATCGTGTGCCGTGTTGGTATGTACCGTGTGCCAGGCGCCGTGTGGAATTTTACTCTGTACGTACCTTCAGTCAGTGATGGCGGTAGAGGGGGAGACACCAGCGGGGCAAATGTCTCCAGATCGAAGTGTCCGGTCCTCGACTGAGCTTTGAGCAACCAGTAGCGCTTCTCCAGGTCAATAATGTCAGACTCCTCCACTGTTATAGGAAAAAGAGACGTGTCCCTTAGTAACACGTGCTTCGTATGAATGAACGGCTCTCTACAATATTGGTGAAAAATGAAAATTCCTGCAAGTGTTGCCTCCAACAAGAATGTGTGCATTGCACCAAAGCGATACTTTTTTACAACATTAATAACCGACTCAATGTTTTTATTGACCTAGTAACTAGACAACTGTGGTACATTCGTACCAACCGTACATTAGTGCACCTAACAACAAATGAGGATAAACAGCACAATTCAAGTGTTGGAATAAATGCAAATATTCGGCAGAAAAATTGCCACATTCCCACATCAAGCAGGACTGACTCAATCGTAGCCGAGAGACTTCTAGAATCCCACCACACAATTTTATTTATTTCACCTTCATTGTTCCAGAGCCAGGGGATTATCCATGATAATGCTGCCATGCACCAGTCAAAGTGGCTTTCAGGCTTATAATCATACGATGAATAGTATTCATGAATAATATTATTCATCTAGGAAGACCACATTCAGTCCTCGGACTCGTTATCAGCAGCGTCCTGCATTGAATTTTTATTGTATGATTTCTGTTTCAGCCAATGAATGATGACGAGTGTTTATACAAATGGTGGGAAACCGGAGCACCCGAGAAAAACCCACGCCATGTGCGGGGTGGCAACACTCTATCCCTGCACCGATGGAAACAGGTGGCGATTAATCCGCTGGCCAAAAGGCTGGATTATAGACCGGGCCAGTGGGGCCAGTGCCCCAGGGCTGCCAGGGGGTCTCCAAGCCTCAGGCCGCGCACACCGTGCGTGGCTCAAGTCTTCCGAAGGAAGTTGAATGCCAAGGCCCTCAGTGCGCACAGCGCAAGCTGACCACGAGGCCCCTGGGTGGTTATAGCGTGAGCTAACCACTAGGGCCCCCCAGACCCCTTGGTGTTTAAAACGTGATCTGACCACTACTGCCCCCCAGACCCCTCGACACTTACAATGTGAGGGCCCCCTAGACTCCTTGGTGTTTAAAACGTGAGCTGACCACTAGGGCCCCTAGGCCCCTGGGGTTTAAAGCGTGATCTGGCCACTAGGGCATCTGGGCCCATCGGCATCTACAGTGTGAGGGTCCCTGGGCCCCTCGGTTCTTAAAGCATGAGCTGACCACTAGGGCCCCTGGGCCCCGCAGCGCTTACAATGTGAGGCCCCTTGGTGCTTAAAGCATGAGCTGACCACTAGGGCCACCGGGCCCCTCGGTGCATACATCGAGCATAACACCTGGGGGCCCCTTGGTACATACAGTGCATGCTTAAAACGAGAGCCTCTCGGAGAGTGCAGTGCTTCTGGACAACCGAGCCACTGGTTGGCACGCTACAATACGCTGTGACATGATACAATATTCACCAACAAGTCAGTTCATTCTACATAACAGGACAGTTTGAAGGGCGTCATTATGGCAAGCCGTTCGTTATTTGACTCACCGTAACTAGCTATCCCTTTATTTTAGCTAGCTGCACATTTTCCATAGCCAGCATGTTATATGATTCAGCTTGTTAACATACATTAGTTAGCTAGCTGCCCATACAACCAAAATTGCTGCACTAAGAAGCCAGCTAGTGAGACCGAGGGCTCGTCGTTTGTTGAGAGCTTAGATAGCCGTTGACAAATCAATTATTAAAAATACACCGCGGTTTTGTGAAACATAAAAAAAAATATGGCAAAAGTTTTATTTTTTCATACACTAACACATGTATGAGACCCAATCCATACTTAAAGACTAAGGAAAATCTTGACTTAAAGCTTTCGTGACTGCAGGAATTCGTATTCTTTGGGTCTTTCGGTAAAGTCACGTAGATAGGTTCAAAGAAAATAACAAAAAACCACGACGTTTCGATCGCAACACAAGCGGTCGTCATCAGGAAAAATGGGTTATCTTCTAAAGCGAAACTGTTTTAAAGTTTTGAAATAGGCGTAGTCCAAATGTCAGCAGCATGGGCAGGGCAGCTAATATTCTTGGGTTTTTTCGGTAAAGTCATGTAGGTAAAAAATAAAAATTAATAAAGTACTTTTATTAATTTTAATTGAAAAATTTACTTTTATGAATTTTAATTTCAATTTTTTACCTACGTGACTTTACCGAAAAAACCCAAGAATATGAATCCTTGCAGTCACGAAAGCTTCAAATCTAGGGCAGCTAATGTTAATGTAAGTGATGGGCAGCGACCGTGAAAGTGGTGGGTTTTCCACCAATCAAAGGGCTGCCAGGTAAAAATGAGCATGTTAATGTAAGATCGGTGAGCGGCCTCCACGGCGAGCGCGCTGAAGTGGCTATGTTAATGTGAGAGAAAAGCATTGGCATCCTAGAATTGCTATCGCAATTTGACCCATTCTTTGCTGAACATATTAAAAAGTTTGGCGGAAAAGGAAGAGGCACAGTGTCCTATTTGTCATCGACAATATGTGAACAACTCATTGGGTCAAAAACTCGCCAAACAATAGCAGATGAGATTCGGGATTGTTGACTCCACCCCAGACCTGTCACATGTGGACCAATTGACATTTATATTCCGGTTTCTTAACAACAGCGAGAACGTGGTGGAGCGATTCCTGGGCCTTGAGCCAATTGAAAGCCACACTGGTCAAAGTTGAGCAGACTGTGTGACTTTGATGGTGGAGGGCCTTGGACCTCTCAAACTCTAGAGGGTCAGTCACATGACAATGCAAGCAACATGTCAGGAAAATACAATGGGCTACAGGCCCACCTGAAACAAAAAAACCCTCTCATAGAGTATGTGCCTTGCGCTGCGCATTCACTTAACTTAGTTGGTGTTAACACCTCAGACGGCAGTAGCCCAGAGGCTGACGAGTTTTTTTTTACATGTTGAAGTCACTGTACACATTTTGCTCTTCATCCACACACAGATGGGGGAAAGTCTTTTGGAAGACAGATGTCAGACTGGCATTAAAATCGCTGTCCAGTACCCGGTGGAGTGCTCGGGCAGAGTCAACCAAGGCAGTGTGGAGAAATTACACCCACATTAGAAAGGCCTTCGGTGGTGTGTGCAATGATGATAATGAGAAAAGAGATACTCGAATTGAGGCGGCTGAACTATGTGCTAAATTGGACACCTTAGAGATGGCGTTCATGGCACATTTCTGGGACGTCATAGTTGACCTGTTCCACAGCGAGACCAGTTTGAGGCTTTTGAAAGGGCAGCCTTAAATATGACAGGTGTCATATAAGCACGATCTTCAGCAAAAGAGGAAATGCAAAAAATTTGCAGATGAGAGCTCAGAGCCAGGTGTGACACTTGCGGGGAGAAGTTCAAAATAGAAACATTTTATGTGGTCATTGATAAGCTAGTGACATGTTTGAACATCGCTTAGACGCTTACAAGCGTTTGACCAGTCTCTTTGGAGTTCCATTTATGTCAGATCAGGTGTCTAACAGTGATGTCATAGTGGAAAAGGTAAATGCACTCTCCGCTCCATATCCATCGGAACTGGACATGAACTTTGCCAAACGAACTCATCCAATTCAAGTCTTTCATGTCTGACTCTGAGGGTGAGAAGTGCCCAACTAAATTTCTTGAGCCGATGCAGGCACCAAGTCTGCAGTCAGTGTTCCCCAATGTTTTCGTGGCACTTCGGATTTTTCTAACTTTGGCAGTGACAAACTGCCAGGGTGAGCGGTCATTTTCCCTTTTAGGCAGAATAAAAAATTAGCTGCGAAGTAGCATGTGCCAAACACGTTTCAGCTCATTGCCACGCATGTCAATAGAGTCAGACTTTGTCAGACAGCTAGATTTTGACGATCTAGTGGATGTTTTTACGAAGAGGATGATTTTGCGAGGAGGAAGAAAGACACCAATATAGGAAAGCGGGGGGGGGGGGGGGGCCGGGCTCCAAAAGACCTGTGCCCAGGGGCCTCACAGGACCATGATTTGGCCCTGGCTGGCAGTACCGCGGTCTCTTTGCGAGCCAGGGTATTGCACCTCGAACTCCATGGGCAAGGGAGTTTCACAATATTTGCGCAATCCACAAACCCTCACCCCCACAGCTCTGGATTACAGGGGTATGCATAGCCCCCACCGCCTGGCACTTAAGCATAGGGTGGGCAGTGCTTATCTCACTGTGTAGGTTTATCGCAGTTATACACAGTGGTAGTTCTCCTATATATTTCGGATTTGTGCCACAAGTTTTGCTCCATGAATTGGGAAGCTTCTGCAGGAAATGAAGCTTTCAACACGTGGAGAAAAATGTCAGAGATCATACTAAACAAAACGCAGTACAACCAGAAAATATATTGCAGTGGCCATCTCATGTTGACATCCCAGAGACGGTGGTGGAAAGTCCACATTCTTATGGTGGGGGCAAGTTATCCATAGGACAACCACAGGCTTCTAAAGCTAACGGTCTCCAAGATTATTGCCAGTAATAGGTAAAGAGTGAACACACAAATCGGAGACATCTTATTGACTTCTAAGATAAGTGGGCCAGGGCAGGCCACTTCGCAGGAAGGAATGATGGCTGATGGGTAACATTAGTAACAGGATGGCAGCCAAACCAGCCAGACAACCATAGTGGGGAGTTGGAGTAACGACACCAGTTCACGTGCAGTAGTCAGATGGAGCGTGGTAACGCAGTGGCGGATGGAGCATGTGAAGGGGAGGCCTTCATCCCAGGTGTGCATTGATAATGACTGCTGACGACAATTACCATAGCCAGCAACGCATATCATTCCGTGTGGCTTTTCAACGATTCTACATTGCAAGAGTGATAAGATTCTGTGCATTAGGCACCGTAAGTGCGCTTTGCATGCACGTGCAATATTCAACCGGATAAATACTACGGCAGCCTAGGCTCGGGAGACTCCAGTGAAGACCGTCCCTACGTGACAAAAGGTGTACGGAGCACCGGTGGTGTGAAAAGGAGTTTAAGTCTGCCAACCGTAATGGGTGCAACAGCATGTGGACCGTAATGTCGGACACGATGCAACACGCGGCAAAGCCCGGAAACAC